TTTTTGCTTCTTCTTTTTCTTCTTCTTTCCCTTCGTCTTGCTAGCGGTTGGCTGGTTGGATGCTCATTTGCTCATTTGCTCGCTTGCTTGCTTGCTTGCGTAGGTGCGCCTTGGTTGCTGGCTTTGCGCGGAGCAATGGAATGATGCGATGGATATGTGGACGCTTTGATGGACGCATTGCATTGCGTTGCGTTTTGTTGTGCATGCCTGTGCATATGCGTGTGCATGTGCATGGCTGGAGTGGCTGGAGTGGCTGGAGTGACTTCTTTGCCTTTGGTTTGCTTGCTTGGAGTGCTGTGGAGTGCTGTGGAGTTGGCGTCTACCTACTGCTTTAGACTACGCTACGATACACTGTATTGCACTACGCACGTATCTACGCTTGTATGTACCTACTTGGTCGCTTGGTTGGTAGGTTGCTTGCTTGCTTGCTTGGTTATGGGCTGGGTACGTGTAGTACGCGTGGTACGGATCTACCTATATAGGTAGTTATGAATAGATAGATGAGCTGGTTGCATCGACGGATTTGGGAGTAGATGCAACATCTGAACGCGCGTGTAGTCTCTGTTTCTCTTCTACCAGTGTTTCCCTGCTGGCCCGTCCAAGCTCACTTCTTCGTACTGTAGGGGTGCGAGAGCTGGTGTTGAGAGGGCAAGCTTGAAAGGGCGGGTGCTGCGGGCCATGGTGGTATGCGAGGGTGGGCTTGATGGAGCGCGGCTTGCGCACTGTGGCCTGCGGCTGGGGAAAGTGTTGGTTGCGTTCTTCCTACTCTGCTCGAGGGTTGTGGGGTTAGTTGTCCATGGCAAAAGCCCTTTGGTTTCTGTTTTAATGTCCAGGGTGGGTTCTATAGATATAAATTATTGAAGTAAAGCATTTCTAGGCCACTTCTATAAATTAAGGCCGCGGATGATTTGCCTATTCTTTGAATTTATATTAAATAGAATCTACTATACCTACGGGGTACTTCCTAAATATTTATATATATAAAAAATTACGCCGTGCCTAGTAGGCGCTATATAACTATATAAAGGTGAAGAGATATTATTTATAATAGTACTTAATAACATATAAAGGAGCAGATACTTATAAAAACTAGAATAGTCTATAAGGGTACAGAAATTATAAGAAACGAATAGTATAAATATACTTATAAAGGTATAGAGATATAAATTTAAAGAGTATTGGGGTGGGCAAATTATCCGAGGCCAAATTAGTGCTAGGTGAGCCGGATAGTTGTAGTGACTAACAGTGGCGGAGGCTGGTAAGAGAGGAGTTGCGACTTGCGCACTACCTTAGGTGCTGCGTGTGATGGTGATGGTGGATTAGAGAGATCAGAGGAAAGAATAGGGTGTTGCGGTTGGATTCACTGATATTTAAACAACTGAAGCATTTCTCGTACCGTTTGCCGCTTTTGACTTGTGGTTTCATGTCTTTCATCACGCTGGGTCTATGCTGAGTGTCATCACTAGTGGAAAACACTGCCCATGATCGATATAATAAATAGTTGTATATACAGAAGTCCATCTTCCAAAATGAAACATGTTGATTTCAGTGGAGGTTGGTGCTGTCTTGACGCTAGAAGAAACGGCCAGCATGACCAGTTATGATTTCATGCCGTCTTGCTAGTTTAAGTGGACTACCGGTTCTTGTTGAGAAAGCGAAGGTTCTCGTAGGGGCATTTTAAAGGACGCAGAATAAACATTTGTAGGTACATTTGTACCTTTCGGTCTTTTTGTTTCCGTAGAGTCTTCCGGATCTTTATATGTTTTTACTCCATATAGGTATCTTGCAATTACTTGCCATAGCGTACTACTTTATTATACCTACCCAAGAATTACTCTGTGGGTGTATACTCAATATGTTACTGAAAGGCGGGCAAACTATCCGGTGCATTCGAAGATAGTATGGCATGACCGCCTGTGAAGCATCCGCCTGTGAAACATTTGCACTGCGCTGATGCGTTACAGCTTAAGACACAATAACCAACTGCATATTCACTCGTACACTTAGAGTTCATACTCGCGTTTATAATGAGTCCTGATTGATCCTCTGATTAAAGTTATTTGGTGCTCGCAATTACGCCATACCTTACGTTATGACTCCGTAGACTGCAGTATAACCCTCCACTACCAGAAACCAGCAGTGGCCAAGATTGCTCATGCCTTCTAGGAAGGCAAAGACTCCACACGAGCCAGGACACTGCCCTTCGGCGAACGGTCAAGCTCCTCGTGTGTCCCATACTCTCTTCCCTTGCAGTGTCCCGCTCAAATACCGGCTTTTTGGACACCATTAACCGAGTTCCGTGGACACCACTGAGCGCCTCTCAGCCGTCCAGCAGAGCTCTAGAGTGCCGTTGCTCCATGTCGAATAATTTGATTAGTGTGAGTGCCGGTTCGTTCAGATCTAGCCTCAAAATACTGCTCCATGTCGGATGCTGGTGAGTGGTGCAAGAACCGGTTAAGCCTTTAATTTTGTGTTTCGCTTACTACTCCCTGGAATAAGCTGTGTGTAGTTACTGGCAAGGTGGTATCCATAGCACCGAGATAGGAAATGGGATATGAGAAATGTTCGAGAAGAGACTAAGCCTTCTTATCGGCATAATCTCTGAACATATCCAGCATGTGCTTGTTGGAATTAATCTTGCCCTTCCGTTGAGTTTTCTTTCTCGCTTTAGGCTTGGTCTTCTTGACCTCCTTTGGAGCAGTCGTGGGATTCAAGTTCGCGGCTACTAGTCTGCTGCGTAAGTCGTCGGGGTTCTGCGGTAGCTGGATGTTTAGCCACATGCTCTTGAACTCGTCATCCATGGAATGAATCAGAGTCATGGGACCAGCTAATGACGAGTCGTTTTCCCATACTAGTAGAGGCTGGTTAGTCTTCTGGTGGTGAGTGACGAGTATCTCTCCTTCGGACTCGAGTTCGTTGATCGTGTCGAGTGCACCCGGCCAGCCGTCTTTGAGCTCCAAAACCCTGATGCCGACAGAGTTGGTCTGGCGCTGTAGAAAGCCCTTAAGTTCATCGGCAGAGCGAACGTTGTGCTTGGGTCGGTAGCGGTAGGAGCTTTTGCCGTTAAAACCGTTCGGGTCATAGTCAACTTGCTTGTGCTTTTGCAGAATACTCTGGATAGTATTCCAGTCTCTCCCACCCTGCGGGGCCATCTGAGGTAGCGGGTTGCCTTCGACGTAAACCTGGATCGAGAGGTGGCTAAAGACATCGGAGAACAGAAGTGGATGGTTCTTCTCCCTGAGGTATTCGCATGCATAAACGACGCGCGTCATAATCTCCCGACCGGTGCTGGTGGACTTCGGCTGTGAGTACACGATGTTCTCATCGGGGCGAGAGCGCTTCTTGGTCTGCGACTGCGAGGTTATCTGTGACAAGGTGGATGGCGTGGGTGAGGGAGCCGCCGTACCGGCGCCCTGGCTGAACGACATGGTTCTGTACGGGTGCACTCGGCGGATGTATTATCGTTGCTAGCTGAGCAAATGTGTTTGTCGTCGGTAGTTGTCGTGGTTGAAAGTGAGAGCACGCCGGTCAAAGAAGGTAGCTGTCAGTAAAAGCTCTGTGTGAAAGAACAAAGAAACAAGGAAGGAGTAAGAACGGGATCATAAGCAGGAGCCTCTTCCAGTAACTCAACCAGTCCTGAAAAATATGTGAGAAAAGAAAAGAAGAAACGGAAAACTGTAGCATTTGCATTCGCTGTCTCGGGATTGGATTTTCCGGGTAGTATCCCAGAAATTTGAGGCGCCTGGTGTCGCGTCGCGTCTTCCGCAACGCGTACTTCTCACACCTCAACCTCAACCCGCGACACCAACTTTCCGCGCTCAAGATGGATGAACAAATGGTCGACGCTCAAGAAATTGCCCAAGAAACACCAGCCGAGCATGTTTTCCGCGCGCCCTCGATCCACACGGCCGAGATCCTTAAGGGCGACTCGTACTCGCACTTTTCCAACATCCCGCAGACCATTGCCGACGACATGACGACCGAGTGCGTACTCGGTGTCGACGAAGCAGGCAGAGGTCCAGTAATTGGTGCGCAATGCCCGCGATCAGGCTAATTGTACTTGTGCTAATGCTCCGCAGGCCCTATGGTGTATGCACTTTTCTACCTTCCCGCGGCGCAGCACCGCTCCCTGCTCGCCGACACACACCACTTTGACGACTCCAAAGTGCTGACACCAGCCGTGCGGTCCTCACTCATGGAAACGCTCTGCACGCCCGACAGTGACTTGCATCAGACTTGTGGCTGGGCCACCCGCGTCATGTCTGCCCGCGACATCTCAGCCGGCATGCTCAAAGCCGGGGGAACATACAACTTAAACGCGCAGGCCATGGATGCGACCATAGAGCTGGTGCAGAGCGTTCTCGCACGCGGCATCAATGTCGGCCACATTTATGTCGACACGATCGGCAGCCCGGCCGTCTACCAAAAGCGCCTCGAGCGTGTCTTCCCTTCTGTGCGCATCACCGTCGCCAAAAAGGCCGATTCGCTCTACCCCAGCGTCTCGGCTGCGTCGGTTTGTGCCAAGGTCACCCGCGACGCTGCTCTCGACGTCTGCTACGAGACATATGCGGCGGGCGCAGATGCGAGTCCCGCGGCTGCGGATGGCTGGGGTTCGGGCTACCCGTCTGATGCGCGCTGCTCAAGCTGGCTGAAGCGGAACATGGATCCAGTCTTTGGCTGGGGTGCCGAATGCCGCTTCAGCTGGGGCACGGCAAAGGATCTGCTTGAAGACAACAAGAAGGCGCCACTGAAGGTCGAGTGGCCGGTCGAGGATGGCGACGATGGCATGCAGATCTCCAAGTTCTTCACTGGCGCTGACGGGGACGAGGATGGCGATGAGTTGTCGAACTGGTATGGCAGGCGCGTGGCGGAGGAGGTCTTCTGAGCTGTTTGCTCCTGCGGTGACGAAACTGCAGGTGCAAATACCCTCATTCGCTGCTCCTCTGCCCACACTTAATAGCCTCGCCATTCCACACAACAAGCTGTCAGCGCCCAGGCATCTCACCAATATGCCTCCTGATCTTAATGGATGAGATCAGATTCCATTCCTCAACAACCGCCTGCTTCAGCTGCTCCAAGTTACGCCATTCCCATTCATGGCGACGGAGACTGGCGCAAAGGTCAAGCCAGCGTACAGCCACGCCGGAAACATGCATCGACTAAGTCGTTGCCATTGCTCATTCTTCCTATTGGGTCGAGGAGCGTAAAAACGCAGGAATGTATTGACTAGAAACGGCAACAAAGGTCCGAAAGATAATAATGACGTTTATGATACCACATAGAGGAGTACCTAATAGTACTCCAATAGAGCGTGACCAGGAGATAAAACAAATAAAGAGGCTGTAGATTGAGCTTTTAAGAAAGAGTATATTCTTTGTGCCTACCAAATAGAACTATTCAAATACCTACTTGTCTATGTCCTAGGAACCGAGTCATTCGGATAACAAAATCTACCCCTCCGCCTGTAACAGCCCAGCGCCACACTCTCCTAACCTTCCAGAACGCCAGGCAGCACGCCTTCTAGAAAACGACGCACACACGCGACTCGAATCGTGCCCAGTTGCCAGGATCGTTGTCGATCACTTTCCTGCCCGCCTTAATTTCGCCCGTGCCCGTCCGCTGTCCTCTCCGCCTGGCCGCCGCACAGATCGTCCAAAGTGCCCACTTGCCCACTTGCCCACTTGCCCGCTCGCTCTCGCGATTCAAGGCTCTTAAGTTAAGAGCACCCAGAAGTCAATCACGGCGCAACGAACTTCCCGCCCCGCCACCGGCTCGACTTCCCAATCCCGCTCCTCGACCGCTCCTCCCTCCCCGCTTGCTATTGCCGAACAACTCACGACAGCAAGCGCCATCCTCTTCGACCCAAAGTTCACCAACCGGCCCCCGCCGACTCACCTCAAGCCCACGCACGTCGGCACTCTCTCGCTCGACCGGACAGACTCTACCATCAGCATCCGCAATCTCGGCGGAGGGCAGGCGATCGCACACATGGACAAACGTCACCCGAGTTCCTTCCAGCAGCTGGAGAAGCTGGGAGAGGGTACTTATGCTACAGTAGGTACCCCGTCCGTAGGGCTGTTTCTGTCGCATGCTAATTCCTCAGGTCTTCAAAGGACGCAACCGTCAAACCGGCGAGTTCGTCGCGCTGAAGGAGATCCACCTTGATTCCGAAGAAGGCACGCCGTCTACCGCCATCCGCGAGATTTCGCTCATGAAGGAGCTCAAGCACGAGAACATTGTTTCGCTGCATGATGTCATCCACACCGAGAACAAGCTGATGCTCGTCTTCGAGTACATGGACAAGGATCTGAAGAAGTACATGGACTCGCGCGGCGACCGCGGCCAGCTGGACCCTGTGACTATCAAGTCGTTCATGTACCAGCTCCTGCGCGGCATCGCCTTTTGCCACGAGAATCGCGTGTTGCATCGCGACCTGAAGCCGCAGAACCTGCTCATCAACAACAAGGGCCAGCTCAAGCTGGCTGATTTCGGTCTCGCTCGCGCCTTTGGCATTCCCGTCAACACGTTCTCGAACGAGGTTGTCACGCTCTGGTACCGCGCGCCAGACGTCCTGCTTGGTTCGCGTACGTACAACACCAGCATCGACATCTGGAGCGCCGGCTGCATCATGGCGGAGATGTACACGGGCCGCCCGCTTTTCGCCGGCACCACCAACGAGGACCAATTGCAGAAGATCTTCCGCCTGATGGGCACGCCGTCGGAGCGTAGCTGGCCTGGCATCAGCCAGTTCCCCGAGTACAAGCCCAACTTCCACGTATACGCCACGAATGATCTGCGCATCATTCTGCCGCAGGTCGACCAGCTCGGCCTGAGCTTGCTGAGCAGCATGCTCCAGCTGCGGCCCGAGATGCGCATTTCTGCCCAGCAGGCCCTGCAGCACCCGTGGTTCAATGACATTGCCCAGGCGAGGGAGCAGCAGAGGCTGAACGCCCAGCAATTGGCGGCGCAGCAGCAGGCTCAGCAGGCTCAGATGGGCGGTGGTTATTCCATGGCGCAAGGTGCTTACTAGGCGGCGCCTATGTTGCGGACATTTGATAGCTCGTGGGTTTGTCGCAGCTGCTAATGGCGAGTCGTAGGTGTCGCCACAGCCATCGACGACGCGCCAACAGTTGTCGTCACAATGCACGAAGCAAGCATTCCTGTCGACCCTGCGCTCTGGGAAGGCGTTGGCCATGGCGCGCACACGCATGGGCTCTAGTTACGTGTCGACGATTAGAAAGCGGATTTTGTTTATGATGTGCCAGCAACAGAGGCAATGGGTGGGTTTGGTTTCTGTTCATTTGGCGTTTTCTGTTCTGTTCTGTTCCTCTCTTAAGCGTGGAGTGCGGGCATAAATAGGTGGTATTTTGCATGAAGAGAGTCTCGGCTTTTGAAGATAGACTACGTGATTGCTTCCAGATGGCAAACGGTCGTAGATGCTTCTTACTACTACTAATCTACCCGCCAGAAGCTGGAACTCAATCAATCTATCAATCCCACTTTGCCTAGCGTGCCCAGCGCACCGGATTGGAGCCTACGTATCGGTGACAGCGTACGTGCGTGCGTCGGTGGCGTGCTCTTTTATCCATCGCGCCAGTCAGCGTTGATTAGCAGTGGCGTGGCATGTACGTACATAACATACTCCAATTGGCATCCCCATCATCGATTTGGTTACGCAATGCCTACGCGCGCCAGGCCACTGAACAGTCCCTATATTCCTCGCCGCCGCGCCTAGGCAGGCAGGCAGACGTAACGTCACACGCCTCAGTGCGTGGCCTCGATATCCGCCAGCACCTGCTTCGCAATGCCGTCGAAAAGCGGGCACAGCGAGCAGCTCGTGTACTTGTCGACCAGAGCAGCGGGATCCCTCTTTGCGTCTTCGGCGTCACCAGCAGCCGCCGCGGTAGTAGTAGTAGTAGTAGTAGAAGTAGAAGAAGTAGTAGCGGAGCCGACGTTCTGGCCAGCAACAACAGTGCCCTCGGGGTAAACCGGGCGCTTGCCCTCCTCGACCAGCATAACGAACGCCGGGTCAATAGGCACGCTGCCCAAGAAGCGGACGCCAAAGTCATTAGCCATGACCTCGCCGCCACCCTTGCCAAAGACGTTGGCCGAACAGGCGCACATGGGACACACGAAGCCGGCCATGTTCTCGACGACGCCGAGGACGCGCACGCCGACCTTTGCGCAGAAGTTGAGTTCCTTCTTGACGTCGCTGATGCTGACAGCCTGGGGGGTAGTGACGACGACGGCGCCAGCGAGCTGCTCGGGCCGCGCCGCCGTGTCCTTGAGCAGGCTCTCCATGAGCGAGATATGCTCGTCGGAGGTCCCGGGCGGGGTGTCAATGAGCAAGTAGTCCAAGCCGGGCGGCCACAGCACCGACGACAGGAACTGGCGCACCATGGCCGTCTTCTTCGGGCCGCGCCAGATGACGGCGTCGGAGCGGTTCGCGAGAATGAAGCCCAGCGACATGCAGGACAGCGCGCCGACCGCCTGCCCGCCGTTGAGTGTCTGCGCGCTGTGCACCGGCACCGGTATCCAGCCGCCGGGCGCCTGCCGCACTTTCTCGCTCTCGACGTTGAAGAACCGCGGGATTGACGGCCCCGTCAGGTCGATGTCCAGAACCCCGACCGAGTGCCCTTGCAGCGACAGGCTGAGCGCTAGCTGCGTCGTCACGCTCGATTTGCCTACGCCGCCTTTGCCCGACAGCACCAGGATGATGTGTTTTGCGTTTTCGAGACCCATGGTCGTCGTCGGCGTCGTTGGAGCGGAGCTGCGCGCGTCTTTGTTGTCCTTTTCGTTCTCAACCCGGGTTCCGCAAGCTGGTTTCGCGTGTGGGTTGTTGTGGCGAGGGTTGGTGCTGAGCGCGCATGCTAGGTGGGTTCTTCTATGGATGTGACATTCGTGGGTTTTGATTTGAAATGCCCCGCGGCTCCGCGCGGGATGCCAACCATGTCGGAGAGATAAGATCGGCCGCCGCTCCGCTTTGCTTGCGTGCCTTTTTCTACGGACACAATTTGGAGACGAAACCTTTACATATTATTTACTTATTGATTGAGACGGGCTTCATGTTAGCTTTGGGTATTGACATGGCGCTGAACCATTTAAAAAAATGTATTGTTCGAAAGTCTCTCAGCAGGCACATCCATATCAAAAACAAAGGCAAGACAAAGTAAGCCCAAGCAGGCAGGGAGACAAAGAAACAGCCATTTCCGTGGAAATAGTCAATTGAGCAATGAATTGAGCTCAACTCCTCCCCTATTAATTCAATCCCCCATATTACGCCCGCAAATGCAAATGCAATCACCAACCCACCAGCCAGCATCAAAAAAGCCAGTCCTCCCTCAAAGCCAAACGTTTTGGGACCCCTAATCCCACCCCAAGTAAATGCAATGCAGTGCCAGCACCAAAAGCCAGCCCACCTACTCAAACTACATCCTCGAAGTCGTCTTCGTCCGACTCGGCCGCCTCCGACGGTTGGGCCGACGACGCGGGCGCCGCTGCTGCTGGGGCCGGAGGAGCAAGTGAGAGCGCCGTAGCCGTGGCTGGTTCCTCGAGCTTGATGCGCTTGGCGTCGGGCGCCGCGCCATCGGCAGGTGCAGCTGCAGGCACTGGGGTTGCGGCAACGGATGGAGTGACCACGTCCTCGAACTCGTCCTCATCGTCTTCCTCTTCTTCCTCCTCTTCCTCCTCCTTGGCCTTGCGATCCTGCTCTTGCTTCAGTGCCTCAAAGTACGCGTCCAGGTCAGCGTTGCTTGACTTCTTGTCCTCGGTCGCCGCGGCGCTGTTGCCGGCCAGTAGGGACGTAGCACCATCAGCAGCGCCCGCGACACCATTCTGCTTGAGTGACATGCCCTCGCTGCCCGCGACCGTCGACTGCGTATGCCAGACGGGGAGCTGATTTTGAGCGGCAATCTTGGCACGGCGTTCGGCCTCGGCGGCCAGCTCCGCCGCCGTGTTCTGCTCATCCGTCTGGATCGTGATGTCGACCTTGTCGGGGCCAGTCTGGATACCGCGTACGGCGGTGGGGCGTAGCATCTCGTCGACGACGACCTCGGTCTTCTGCGCGGGGTTGATCTGCTCATCACGAGGTACGGGCTTCGCGTTTGCGACAGCTTCCTCGCCCGTTACTGCAGGCACGACCGCTTTGTCGATTTGCTGCAGCAGGTCCAGTAGCGGCTTGAACTGGTTGTTGAAGCGCGCGGGCGCGTCGTCGGCTTCCGGCTCGGCGTCAGGTCCTTGGTTGCGCGCTTTGAGTGGCGCGTTGCATCGCTTGCACAGGAACCCGCTCCCTTTTCCCGACGGGTCTGGGTTGTCCAGTACTTCCATCAGTGTCCATTGTGAGCTACACCGCGGGCAGGCGTACTCCTTTTTCTCTTGCGTGGGCTTTGCGACCGCCTTGATGTTGTTGTCCAGCATGTGAATGCGGTACTTTGTCGAGTCGACGGCTTTGCGGTAGTCGATGTAGTAGTACTCTTTGTTCGTCGGCTTCTGCGCACCCTCGCGCGTCTCGGAGCGCACATAGCTGTCATCGCCTTGCCGTGAGTTCATTGTGCGTCTTCGAACTCAAGCAGGGCACATCCACTACTCACACTGACACCAGCCCGCCCTCTCTCAGCTTGGCGCAGTACTTCTGGACCTTCTTGTGGTTCTTGCCCTCGTCCATGACCAGCGACAGGTCGGCAGCGGAGATGCTGCGAACAGGTTAGTCTTGCGACAACGCAGCGAGTGGAGAAAAACCTACGCGCCATGATTGACAAGCGCATCAATGACGACTATCTGCTCGACGTCGTAGAAGATGCGCGCAATGGTGCGGACAAGGACTTTGGCAGTTTCCATGGCAGCCGCGGCGATTTAGCAATGTGAGGAGCTGCGGACTAGCATCTGCAGGGGGCTGGTGGAGCCGGGGACGAGACAAGCCACGGCGGGAAGCTAGGTGGGTGGTGTAAAGTGAGGTAAGTGAAAGGATGAAAGCTGGTGGCTGCCTGCAGTAATCCATGGCTGCGCCGGGGCGGCGTTGCGAGCGGTGAAAGAGGGGAGCTGGGAACGGTAGCGTGGCAGGTCGGAACGAATACTGGAAACGGTTAGATAGCAATGAGGTCCGTCACTACTAAGCAATATTCATCGCCTCATAAGATGATGATATTTTTACGGTGTTGAAACAAAATTCAGAATTTGTAATAGACACCGAATGATTTGCCTAGCCACGTAATAATATACCTGCAAGTTTATATGATATACTCTCTGCTCTTGGATAATTTAACCTCTATAACCTTACAATAATCCATTTTGGTACCCTTAAAGGATGTTCCAGTGCTTCCATATATTTATACCTTTGTATGTTTTTAAGTACTGTCATATAATCATATCTCGTATATTTTTACCTTTATGTAGTTACCTGGTGACTACTACCTGTCGTGAGATGGCTTATTATAACTACCTAAGTATCCCCTACGTATAGTAGAGCTTACTCGATATATGGTTAAGATGGGTAGAATATCCGGAGCTATTGTAGTATATATGCGCTCCAAGAGCCTTTCGCTCATATAAAGTACTCGGGTTCCAAGCTAGACAGAGAGCATTCTATAGAGATTGATTGGTATTCTTTCCTGTCTCGCTGACGGTGACGGTTATGAACATTAGAGACTCATATACATGGCTACCTAGCTGGAAATCGAGCTCACGTTGGGTGATATCATTATGTGAGCGTAATCCAGTTCCCCCCTTTCCGACTTTCACTGCATCCGAGACCCCAGAACTCGACGCTACGCCATCCCTTTCAGCTGAACCCCAGTCCCCATGGACCATGTCATTACCTTATATCCTACAGAGTCGATGGCGCAGAGACGGACGCTCCTGGTGTCAAAGAAGCTGGATGGTACTTGTGTTCTGACGTGAAAGGAGCCGAAGGGATCGCAGGCGACACGGATGCCGAGTCTAGCTCTGGCGTGATGTTCCATTCGTTCTGTGTGGGTGCGGGACTTGTATCCTCGAGCTCGGCGACGTTGACCTGCTGCGTTACCTCGCCGTAGGGCCCGGAGGTTGGACCTTGCCAAAGGGGCGGGGATGAGTTGGAGGCGTTGTCGTGCTGGTTTCGGTTGCCCTGGTGCTTGACACAGAACCATGTCAGAGCTGCAATACTAGCGAGAGCAACTAGACCGCCAATGGCTATCCCTATAATGGCGCCAGTAGAAAGCTTCAAGCCATTGTTGTCGGAATCCTCCCCACTGCCAAAAAACACATCTGAGGGCGCAGCTGAAGCTGACGCTGATGCAACATCTACTGAGGTTTCAGTGATTGTAACTACCGTCGATGTTTCAGAATCATCTGGTACCGCCTCTGTTATGACCGTCGTAAAGATTCGTGTGCTAGGGGCAACCGAGGCAACGGTTTTGGTCCCGAAGGCAGTAGTGCTGGAGTCCGTTGTCTCTGGTGGAAGTGCTGTAGACAGAGATGGCAAGTCAGAGTTTACAACTGCATATTGCGTATATTCCATGGTGCTAGTCGTCGCGCAGAACATTATAAACTGGTCGCTAAGTTGATTGAAGATGGTGGCGCAAAACGGAAGCTCGGGCTTGGAGCTATGTACCGTGTTAGCATCTAGAGCATTCTGCTGCAACTTGAAGATGGGATTTTGGCTTCTTACCAGACGACGCATCCTCCAGTATCCGGGTCGCAATCAGCCTTCGATCTGGGATTGTAGTCGATGCATGTTGTCCGCGCTGCACAGCTCGACCTGTGTCAAGCTATCAGTGACTATCCCTGCGCGCGTGAGATGCTATACGTACAAAGAGCAACATCCGATAAATCCATCGCTTCCAGCATAGCAAGTGCCGATCGGACAAGTGACTGTGAGACGTTAGATGGATTTACTCTCGCTGTGGTCTGAGTGTGAACATACAGACTCCCGCACCATCGCAATCCGTGACGTCGCGCTTGCCTAGCCTGGGCTGATGCCCGAAGAGGATCTCATTGAGGGTGTCATTGTAGTCGACCCTGTAGGTAGGTAACCGAGCCGCAGGTGTGATAGCATGACCTTGAACGAACGGCAGATGCAGACAAAGAGTGAGGACGAGGAGAACCACGGCCATGGTTGACGTGTGCGACAAGGCAAGTCAAAAAGCCTCCATGTCGCATGGACGGGAGTAAGTCCGGGTGAAGTAAAGAAGTGGAGGAGGCAGGGCTGGTGTGGGTTACCAAGGTGTGTGGGTGCGCAGGTTGGGGGGAAACGCGGCCTAATTGAGAAAGCGGGTGACTGTTACAATAGAAACTTTTTCAGGACATCTTTCCTTGGAAGTGGCTCGGTGCAGCGCAAATGTTTGTGCGTGTGCGCGTCACTGACCTACTATTTGTGGATGGTTTTTGGAATTCATCGCAGCCACACCACTAACACCTCGTCCACCACCTGACGTCTGCTCCGAGTCTTCAATCTCCACTTCGCACCTATTGTTTCAGACATCAAGCCTGGCCCCTTAAGCCATGCCAGCCTTGCGTGAGAGCCGATTAACGAAGTAGTGGTAGATCTAGTCATGGCCATTGTTGTCGCGCATGAGCATGAGGGACATGATCAGACCTACTGTAGATGTCAGTTGCCGACAGGAGAACAATCAAAACAAGTTATAATGAGATATGATCGGGGACTATACAAGAAGCATATCAACCCCACCACGAAATAGTTATTCCAGCTAGATAAGGAACTGCGGGAGAGCTAATCGTGTGCTGCACACAACCCGGTCAGGGCCTATTTGACCGCGCCTCGAAATTGAATGATTATAAACCCGTATGTCTAACTTGCCACCCATACTGCCCACGCCGAGAATGTGGGTAAAACAAAACACCTGTGACTTGGGAAACTCGTTACTCGTTGATGTCCAGCCCTGCAGCGTACTCGCTGTACTCTTCAACGACCCATCGGCAAAAGTTCTCCCACGCTTCATGAAAGTACTCCAGTCCCTTTTCTTGATCCGCATCGTTCAGGCAACTATACTCCAAGCTCCATTCAGCCAGCTGGCGCCAGCCATGTAAGCTCATAGTTGGCGTACCGACCATGACCTGGTAGAACTCGTGGGACATCCTGGCACTGTGGACATAATCTGGTTAGTATGCTTGAATTGACATTGAGTGGGGAAAAATCAACATACCCGAATAATGTGATGTTGTCTGCATTGACGGTACACGGGATGCCGGCTGCAAGAAGCTCCGGGAATGGGTGTTCCTTAACATTGCGACACAGGTGAAGGAGTTCGTTTGAAACCGGACACAGCTCTATGCAGATGTTGTTGTCTTTGAACGCCTTAATGAGACGAGGGTGCTTGGTGAGGGCAAAGCCATGGCCCACACGCTTAGCTTTAAGGAGGACTGATTCGTAAAGATTTGACTTCTTTGGGTCCTTCGAACCACCCGTGTCGAGGAGTGTTTCACCAGCGTGGAACATGAACGGGATTTCGATTCCCAGCCTTTCACAGGTCTTGGTGAAGGCCATTAACTCGTCGCGATAAAACCCTATGGAATTTGGGCGATCCTCCGCACCCACAAGGTCAAACCCTATATCCGTCAACTCTGTACATCTTTATGGCTTTTTAGGCTTTATACTTACCACAGATAAGCTTTGGAAATTCCTGCTTAAGCTTGATGCAGTCTTCAAGCTCACTTATCATCTTCGCTTTAGGGATAGAGCGAGGCGTACAATAGATGATCTTGATGCCAAAAGGAAAGACGTGGGATTTGCCATCCCTTGCAAGCTCATCCATTTTCTCTTTCACCGCCTCCGTGATAATGCGCATCTGGTTGCTGAGGTCGATTTTCTCCTTACCATCGTCTGAAGGTATAGATTTATCCATAAGCATCGGTCGTAGCTCGGCATACATCACTCCGTCATCGATCATGGCTTCGATGGCTGCCTTGATATACCATTGGTAAACGCTCTTGTAGTTGAGGAGGCCTTTGAAGCAACGCGTCGCCTGATTAAAGCGGGCCCAAATACTAAAAGACGTCAGTATTTATTGTGATTGTAGCTTTAAGAAACCGTACCCATTTACGGTTTGCTCTTTTCCGTATACCTCGTCTTCTCCAAGTATCATTTTACCCTTTACCCAGGGTTCTGCGTCTCCCCCATTTCGACGCTGGGCAAACTCATTCCGGAAGGTTTTCCATTTCATCCAAGGATTGTTCTGTCCAGACTTCCATTCAGGATTATAGCTTGAAGCGAAGGGATCTGCCTCCGGAGTATCCGCTGGAAGGACATTGAAGACTATTTCAGCCTTGTAGTAGTCTTCTTCTTGCAGTAGAGGCTGTGTACTCCGTATGTACATATTATCTTCCATGTTTCGAGCCCGTTCCAGTAGAAGAGTGACTGGAAGCTCCGAGTTGAAATGCTGATGTAGATGTGCACCCTTAGGCATACGAGCAGTTATCTTAAATAAATGGCTCTCGTGAATGCGATCCATGTTCGTAAGAAATTGACCACCCATGTCCCGAGTCTTCGGGCCTGGTATTAGCTCAGAAGCTTTATTACCAAAGAGATTATCTCTCTCATGTTCCCTTATTCTCCGCACTATCTCGGCTGCCTTTTTCTCATCATCTGAAGCGGACCTCTTAGCACGTGAATCCCAACTGTCGGTTTGCTCTTGTAACAGCTCTTCGCGTTCATTGTCGTAATCTTGCTGCTTCTGCAAATCGTCTTTGAGTTGTTCAAGGTTCCTGCGGAGCTCGTCACCGGCTGGGAGGGCTCCTTGAGTACCATCATTCGGCCCCGTCATATCTGCGTCGGTTTCTGGGGGCGGGGTGACAGGCACTTCATTACGCTTGCGCTTGAATTTGCGCGGTGATATATCCATTGGATGCTTCCTGTGTGTCGACAGGCTCAAAGTACGAGGTTTTGAATCATTTTCGTTGGTAGACACCCTACTTTTCTTCTTCCGCAACCTGTTACGTTGTCAGTGTGAAACCCTTTGTTAAGTGGCGGCACTCTGTAGCAGCCGCATGCAGAAATGTACAAAAATAGTATAAAGAACGAGTAACTTACGAATCGTCGCATGATGAAAGTAACTTCTTCATCGGTTCGTTTTGTAGCTCAGAGCTATTTTCATGTTGCATACTTTGTGTAACCGTAATGGAGGCCGGAGCCGTCGTTGAAACTCGCAAAAGCTCCCCAAAAAATGAAAACCAAGGCAAAAAGGTCTGCAAAAATTTGACTGAGCACTGTGCTGAAATAAGTATGCGCCCAGTGAAGTGAAAGCTTGAGACCAGGGGGCCGAGAAGGCAGGCTGTGCACAGCCCTGTGTGACAAGGACACAGTAACACACTGATAATCCCCGCACGGAGGAAGACAGGATCCGCAGCAGGCCGCCTTGCACCAAGTCAGCCTTGCCGTGTAAAAGATATTGAAAATGTTCTGAAGTGGAGGCAAGAAGAGGGGCTTATTACCGCCTAGGCAGTCGCACTTGCTGCGCCCCCCTTGGCGTTTTATTGCTGATGGCTGATGGTGTAGCCAACGACAGCAAACAGTGTGTGCTGTCACCAGCAGCGGGAAACAAACGGGTAAAGGAAGGTGATCAATGAAAAAAGACAGCCTAAGCTAGCTTCTGACAAGGGTCAGGTGCCTGCGGGCGCAGTGGTCACGAGGAAAGTGTTTTGTTCAGCCTTGCGGCCCGAAGGATGACATCCGGCAAACGAAGAAAGCTTGGTATACTCACAGATTAGGGTTGAGCACCGGCTATCGGCACAGCTTCTAGGTAGGTACTCTGTCCGTTCCGAGTGTGGGGTTGCCGCTAGATGGTGCCGTGATGGGAGGAGGGATGGCATTGAAGAGGGGGCAGGGCGTCAGAGAGGTAAGAGCGCACGTCTCTGAGTGAGGCCTCTGCCGTCGATCAACCGAGCGCGATGCAGCCTGGAGCTGAGTTTTCTGGATGCCACCTTGCGAGAGCCGCACCAGGCAATGTTTGCTGATGCTGGTAAGCGCGTTGTCTCCTCCGTTTCGCGGGGACGGTGTTGTTTCTTGAGGGTTTGCTGACGTCGGTCGGTCGCATGAAGCCTGCTCGTGCAGCCGCCCGTTCGGCGGCTAGACATGCAACAAGCGCAGATCAATTAGCCAGCTCAGTGTGGGGGCTGAATCGCGCCGCATCGAAAACTACTCAGCCTTCCGCTGTCTTCTCATGTTTGCTTAGACAATATCCAGACGCCGCCTCGCTCATGGCTTGACAATCGCCACCTGAGGCTCTCTCCAAGGCGCACTTGTTTATATACGGCCCGAGCCCGCCCAGCCCTTTCCGTCTCCAGCTAGCATTCCCGTTACTCTACTGGAGTAAACAATGTCGTCACAAGGGAACAATTCTGACGATTCACCACATGGAGATTTCTTCAGCACGATACCCAATTTTACCAATCTCCAGCTTGATATCGTCGGTTTCCTGGCAATCCTTGGAGAAGGTTCCGTCCTAGCAAACGCTCAAGTCTCTACCCTCTCAAAATGGATCTTCCTTCCTAGGCTTCTTCCTGCGCCGCAAGCTTTACTGCGTCCCTCTCGGCCAACAAAATTGGACCAAGAAGAAGGATATGTGACCAGCGTTGTCTCTGGTAACCATAGGGATCAGTTAAACCATATTGGACACATAGTGCTGTAAGGAATCTGTCTAACTTTGCTGAGAGCTTTTCTGGTTGCTAATATCATAAAGACAGCCAAGTTCTATGAAGGAATATGATGTCCGTTGCGTTAAGGTTACCCGGAAGGAAAAAGGCAAAGCCCCCATTGTCAAAGCTCGGGTCAAGAGCTATCTTACGATCAATAACTTGCTCGGTTGTGCTTGTTCGATTGCCATACTGGTCCTTTCGATAATATGGGAAGATGGGATGGCCATCATCTCCGTTTGCTCGCTGTCTCTCCTGTCAACCATCATTGGATTAGGCAACTATTGGACGCTTAAATTGCCACGAAGGTACACCGAAGGAGAGGTTCCTCAAGGAGATGTGGTGATCCGTCACCCCAAAGGAAGTTTCCTGGTCGTTGAGTGCGACGAGGACATAGCCCGGGAAATATTCTTTGCACCAGAGAACATCGAATACCTTATCGAACACCAACACATATATCGCCTCCTTTCACTAGCAGGCTCGATGTTGCTGATGGCTGGCGTCATTTGTCTCGCCAATTGCCGGGTCAGAACGCAAACCTGCTTCGCCGCGGCGTACATGATACTCAACGCCGCATACTGGATCGTGGCAGCCTTCCCTGCCAGGCTTCATTGGGACACGTCCGCTTTCGAGGTTCACAAAGCACGCTTGAGTACGTGTGATAAGAGCGACAAGCACTTTACGGATCACAACAAAACTTTTACAGAAGCTCTATGGAAGGTCATTGTTGCCACTAAAGGGGAAATTGGCTGGGTGCGTCTAGGTGGCGCTGCTCCTGATACTGCCGGTTGGAATGCCTGGCTCAGGGCTGCCTCGGACGCGGTCAAGGCTTCCAACAGAGGACACCCGGTCGCATATTACAACCACACGGACGACATGACAGAATACAAGGTCCCGGACTGGAATCCACAAGGAAACTTGGGGAAATACTTAAATAATCCGGACTTCAAAGCTCCTGATACTCCTATGGAACATGCCCCGGAGACACCCGTGGCATACGCTCCTGATACTCCCGCTACATCAACCAGCAGTCGGCCTGACGGACCTCTCAATAGGAATCCTACCGCAGCAGTTAAGGACATGTACAATCAGCACAAACAGGCCGCATCGACAACTGCTTCAATCTCACGCCACTCGTAGGAATACCGTCTATCGCAAGCTATCGGATCCACTCGACCTTTGTTTGTTACCTGAATGATCTGTTACTTTATTTGGACTTCTCGTGGATACTTGCACCAATTGGATACCCCTCATTTACGACCCGACCTCTGTCAACGCCTTCGAACACTATTCTAACGGACGCAACGCACGACGACCTCACGACACTTACACACGAACCTTGTCCTTACGAAATCCGTACACATGAACATCATTGTAGTTGAAGCGTTTCAGCGGTATTTCAAGTTATTGTCATCTGATTTGGGACAAAATGTCCCTTCCATCTACGCTCTCTGGGCAATGTTCGATGAAGCTGGCACATGTTATCAATTAGACACGCATTTTTGGGCGTAAATGACATTGGAGGGTGATATTTATTGCATTTATCGGCATGGAATGGCGTTATTGGCTTTAGACGTTAAAATCAACACCGATTACTACTTCGAAGATTGGGTCCGTCAATATTGGTCCTGGTGCATGGTGGCTCTAATGTGTTTAAACGAGTCCAGGAATCCAGTGGTGACACGACTGACCAGTCTATCTGTCGTCGTACATATCGCCTGCACGGCACCCAGAACCGCTTGCTAACCCCTCACTGTGTGACTCTATCATGTTATGCAGTCAGCATGTGCTCCGCCCTCTAGATTCTCGCGTGCGGCTTTCCAAACAGCCTTGCCTGTACTACTAAGCCATGTGCGCTTGGCCATTAAGGCGCACACTAAGCCTTCTTTCAGTACTTAGATGCCTACCCGCAGATGATGCCGGTCAACTGTTTCAGGCAAACGGAACCTTGTCGCTCCGCTGCAAATAAATGCAGGCATGACCAGGCTTCTCATTTGAAAGCCATGAGGCGCCCATACTGCTTATCATCACGCTCTATGTCGTCGTCCAGTCGGTCTAGGCTACGAACCTTCTGCGCTTCGACAAGGCTTCAAGACGCCTCTTTCCACGCTTGGTCCCGCTCAATCTTCTGCCTAACAGCCTCTTTCACGCGTGCAAGCAGATTGTCCGCGGGTACATCGACCTCCATGCCCGTCTCGCCTTCTGCAGTCTCCACATTGCAGCATAGTCGCTGCGCGGTATCGTGCAGTGCGTTCCACGTATCCATGTCGCAAGCACCCTCGCTTTCGGCGAGCAGCAGGTCGCGCGCGCCTGAAAAGGCGAAGACATGCGTGGACGAGGCTGCAGCGAGCTGCTTGGGGTTGGGGGAGGCGATAATGGAGGCGTCGGGGGAGACGCAGAGGAGGACGGCGGTGAAGGTGCTGCGCAGAGGGATGTTGGCGGAGAGGAGGGTGAGGACAGAAGAGTTAAGAAGAGCTGGGAGGAGGGAGATGGACTGGTCGCGCAGGTTAGCTGAAGTGCCTGGGTGTATGAATGGACGATTCCGTCGACGTACAGACGAGGCGCTTCTCTCTGCCCCCGGATCGCCTTCGGGCATGCTCAGGACCTGCAGCGTGAGCTGAATCAGCGTCCGAGGGAAATTCCGCACGAGTACGATGTGCCGCAGCGTGCTGTGAATGATAGTTTCGAGGTGACGTTCTTTTGGGCCTGCGAGCATATCTTCAGCTATCTGTGACACTTTATTCCACGCCATGGGATGTCTTACTGCCAACGCCGATCGCCGGTCGAACATTGACCTCAATGGCAGCCTCCTCTGGCAGCTCGTCTCTGCGCTGAACCTCGATGGGGCCATTCACGGCGCCCAGGACCGAGTAGCCATCCTGAGTATAAGTCGCGGAGCCGTCGGCGCGGTGGAGGTCGGAGAGCGATGCCTGGATAGCGGGCATGGTAGGTGTGTGTTTTGTCCGTAGCTGGTCGTGTTTGCGGTGTCGACGAAGCTGGGCACGAGCGCGTCAGAAGAATTGGCTTCACGGACCAGCTCGGACGGCTTTTTCCCCAGAATCGGCGCTCGCGAACGCCGACGCGATGGATGACATCTCACACGACCGAGGCAAAGCCTACTACGTAAAGGTAAAGCACAACATACGGCCATAGCTCCGCGCAACGGTTGCGCATCCATCATTCGCGCCTACGCGTGCCCATAGTCGGGAGCCACGAATCAATACCTCTGGGAGGATCTATCTTCTCGAGCGCTTTCCGCGATTTCTCTTCGTTTCTTAGCCATGGCAGGCCGCTCTCAAACACCGGCCAAGCGCCTCTTAGTCGAGCTCCAGACATATCAGACTGACCCGAACGATGCGCTACTTCACCTAGGCCCTGTCAGCGATGACGAGCTGACGCGCTGGACCGCTGTCATGAAAGGCCCGACGGGGACGCCATACGAAAGTACAGACATCCGCGACATTCTCAAAGTCCTAGCTGACCTGTGTAGATGGGCGCTGGTTGCTCACTATCAATATTCCGCCAAACTACCCTCTCACGGCGCCGATTATAAAATTCGTCACACCAATATGCCACCCGAACGTCCACTTCAAAACTGGGGAAATTTGCCTTGACACGCTGAAGACGGCGTGGTCGCCGGCTTTTACCATCTCCTCGACCATGACATGCGTGCACCAGCTGCTGACGAGCGCTGAGCCGGACAGTCCCCTCAATATCGATATCGCGCAGCTGTTTCGGCAAGGCGATAAACTGGGAGCGGAGAGCTTGATCAGGTTTTACACTGCGACTGAGAGATATGAGGGTCCAGAAGGGAGGTAGTAAGCGGAAGTATATTTTGTATGGACGGTGGGGGGAAAGACAAGAATGAAACTCGGCTTGGGGCGAGATCGCTTCAAGCTTCGATATCCGACCAAGATCGGCGCACTGGGTGGGTACAGGGTTTTGGGCTTGGTAAGAAAGGATACCAAGGACGTGCATGCAAGATGATACAGCACTGGTGTTGTTATCAAGCATTTTTCTCCTACTCATGCGGAAAGTCTACGTGGAGCTGATCTGTGTAAGGTCCTGAGTCCTGTCTGAAGTCGTGTCTCTTTCTCTGAGATGGTGCAACACTAAATAATGTGTGGGAAATATTGGGTCCAGGTAGGGACTTTGAAGACATCCTCAGGTAGGTGGGCCATATTGATAAAGCATTCAACCACCAGATACACCCGCGCTGTCAAGTAGCAGAAGGCGGACAGGACAAGCAAGAAGGTAGCCAGATGATAGCTGGTGGAAATCCAGGATTGGAAGCCAATTACAACCACCCGTACAAAAAAAGCTCGGTGGTAACGTAAGGGTTCGTCCTTCCATTCTTCCACGCCATCTTTGAACCAAGTTCGTACCACAAATACGAGGGCACAAACAGGACCAGACAGGACAAGTACAAGGCCTGAACTGCGCCACAATAGTTTTTCGACTGAGGAAGCGAATGGAGCATTCCAGGCTACGAGGTGAAGGCCACCGTAAACGGTTCCAGCTAAAACGAAGCCGGCATATGCCCAGGAAATATGTTTTGCTGTCCGGATTCGAGTGAGCTGGATATCTGACGGCCAGTTCACGTTCCGATCGCATAAAGTATCATGAAGAGAATCTCCTCGGTCTTCGTACACACCATTTCGGATATATTGGCCCTTTACGAAAACCTCATCAGCGCCCCATCCGGCTTCTAGTAGTCCGTACTCGAGTGCTTCAGAGGCATACTTCCAGCGTGCCTTGTCGGCCAAACTGAGATAAACGTGAGGGTGCGAAAAGTTTTGGACTCCGGTGTTCTTTGCTGGGATTCCTTTGCCTTCGATACGCTCGTAGCGGAAACCAAAGAGGGTTTGTCCCATATACAGTTTTACCGTTTCCATTTCCCTGTGTTGAAGAACAACAATCAGCATCTAAAGAAAGTCGGGATGAAAAGTAAGCCTTACTCAAGCTCAATGTCTTTTCAAGTGGCGGCTTTGTTCTTCTTGATTTTTTCGTGTGGACATGACCGAGCTGCTCATTAACGCTACCTCCACATCCTTTGGAACAACCTCAAGATTGTTCTGGTCTCTGGCTTCGTTTGCCAGCTTCGGATAATAGCGGATGCGCGAGACCCCGCGAAGATCTTCTTGTCCTTCAAATGGATCTCGGTAGATAACAACCCTCATCTCAGCCTCCTGATTTGCGCCGCTAAGCTGCACCGTCGGAAGGCGCTGACACAAGTCGAATTTCGGTGACTCTCCGTCTAAGCTGCTGGCCAGGTACATTAGAGCGCAGATCCTCATCATCCTTTGATTTTGTACAAGACTAGGCTCGTTGATATCAAGAGGTTTGTGCCACCATAGTATGTAAATCAGAAGCGTACATATGGAATGTCCGAATGTGTTGAGTTCAAGAAGACTGATTGCGAGTCCAGCACATATGCGATTAATGCACTGAACGCAGAACCACAGTGCTTGACCGCATACTAGGATTTTTGCGAGACCGTTGGCTTTACTTTTATCTTCGATGTCTTCCTTGCTTAGATCTGGGATGAGATACGGGTCATGCCTCGCGATACTCGATTCCACGTGGAGTGAGTCAGTCTGGTCCGTCCACCTGGCATTATCCGTTGTCCCGTCAACTCCGTGTCGAAGGCGAAACCACCCATAACGGCATAGAAGCCATGCATACTAGTCCAAGGGTGTCTTTTTGTCGATTTGTCGCCATAGAGATACCCTTGAAGCTTTTTACCAATAGCATATGCGTCTCTCGCCTGCCGCCACGCAGTGTATGCGACCTTCGAGACCGTCAGTTGATATACGTATACATATATTCTGGAAATCTTAACATCTCCGGGGCGAAAAGTCCTAATACTAACCAACCAGTTTTGCGCCATTTTTTGACGCGAGGCCGTCTTGTGGGATGGGATGTTCAAGTGCACAGCTGTCCACACGCAAAGGCCAATGGTAATCAGGCAGCTTGAGAGAATTCTATAAGATCCACGAACTGCATCCAGGACACCGTCTCATTTGAAGCATTGGTCCCGAAAAAGTAAGGCACGCTGATACCGCTGGTTTGCGACAGTGGTCAATTGAAGTCCCCAATGGTTAACGCGTATTAAACACCTCGTTGCAGAATAATCGTTAAGAGGGTGGAATTTGGTTTGATGACTGGAATTATCTGCAAGGCTGGAGATGTATATACTCGCAAGGTTTACAGGGCACGTGGTCTGTAACCCTTGTACGGTGTGTATCCCCTGTTATTACCCCGCAGGCACCTTTTTCTAGCAACCAGGTTCATAATTGCTGCCTGCTTTGGTTATCAGAATCAACCTTGGCATTCTGCCTACCGCGTGCAATTCTTTCCATTTCACGTAATTTGCGCGATGCCCACTCATTCCATGTCTGCTCCTTCTCTCACACCTACAATCCAACATCAACATCATCAAATCCTTAAGTGATGGAAACTACGACGTTTTTCAGTGGCGGATTAGGAGGTTTGAGCTTGCGCTTGGGTGCCGTTGTAGTCCCTTTTCTCGGAGGAACTCATCCAACCTTTGGCTCACGCGCTCTTTCAAACACAAAACTAAGTCTGATGCCACAGCTACAACCTTCGCTTCATGGACTTCTCCCATCCGCTAGACCAGCATCCCCGGGTAGTATCTGGGCGTACGTAACGGGGGTCTCTACAGGTTTCCATAGACGGGCGCTTCCAGCGCGCGCAGCGTTTTTCTTGAAGTAAGTAAAGTGCGTTTTATGAGCTGTTTGTCCAGAGTACGAAAATTGACCTTATGAACAGTGGGATAGGGACGCCAAGTTCCTTTGCGGTTCATTGTATCAGAATCAGCAGGCATGACACCGACAAAGCACCACTCTCATTCAAATCCAGCGGTCCTTTTGCGAGTTTAGCTCTACTGGGCGCCCTATTCTCTTGCCTACTTATCGTGTAGGCGGCCTTGCACGAAGACGGGTTTGGGCTTCTTTGCAGTCACTGCATTTTCGCTTGCATCAAGCTTTGGTGGACTTGCTAATCAAGGCAAGATCAATGCTGGCACAAGACTTACAACCGGAAGCATCTCCAGCGAAAATGCTGTTATACACTATTCTTCGGGGGCATTTGTGGTTGTGAAATGCAGTACACGAGATCGGAAGAAATATTCTTCAGCTCAGAGACTACTTCATATACGATCGGGGCTCGATCCTACTTTTATGTTGCAGCTCTTTACTCCACTCTGATCAGCATCGGCATAGTGTTCGTGGCGAACGCGCAAACAAGATTCCAACTTTCGTTCATTGCTGCATAGGCCGCGTTGACGCTTTTGGATGGAATTGCATCAGCGCTACCGTCAAAAATTCACTGGTGTACTTCTGGATACTCCGTTCAGCAAGAGCTTTTTGAAGATCCCAGAACTTCCTACTGCACAACATTCTCAGAGGTATTATGGAAGACAATTGTCCTGACTCAAGGTTCAAGCTGGGCCAGGACAGGAATGGCTGTTCCGGATACAGGTGGATGGAATGATTGGCTTAAACAGGCACACGAAGCAACACAGAAGACACAGACACGCGAGGACCCGGACGGTATCACCAGATGGTCCATTCCTCAATGGAGCGTCTATGATACTTTATCAATTTGTCTGAAAAATGATCATTCAGAACAGCATAATCCTATTATTGTCTGACAGCTTATCTATCAAATGCATGCCATGCCGCCCGCGGGGGATGTATTTGGGTAAGAAAGATTTAATTGTATTTTGTGTGTAAGACTAGTTACGGGAATGGAGAAAGTAAATCTCAAGTGTCTGAAACACACCAGCCTCAGCTTATAGTATTTTTATATTTATGAACCGTTGGTGCTGTCAACTGGACCCAAATGCTCCCAACCGACTCCGAACCAACTAACAGACATTTTTCTACAAAGGACAAAATTTTCGGTTGATTTTACCCACTCGTGTAGACACATCAAATATTCCCATCATTCCCTTACTGTTCAGCTCTCAACAACGCCATTCCACTGCACAGCCTCAAAATCTCCATCTCCACAAACAGACCCGCCACCACCACCAACACCGACGCTTACCCCACCCAAAGGGCTCTATACAACACCTACTCCTTGATCTCTTTCTTCTGGAACGTGTCTGCGCGCAGTTAGCAACTCCACCCATCCCCCTCAAATCAGCGCTCACAACTGCGCGCGGACGGCATGCTTACTCGGCACCTCAGGCATCCAGCTCTGGCGACTACGGCAGAAGAACTCGCCCTTTGGAGGCAGAGCCTCAGGATCATCAAGGCTGCCAACGCAGATATAGCGGAAGTGGGGTTTTGCAGGTTCCTGTGATTACGGATTGTTAACACTGTAACATAATATATGCCGGAGAAGTCAAGACGGAAAAGGAACACTGAAGTGGACTGGAAGATCAATGCATGATAGGGAAGGTTTGGTGAGGACTTACTCCGTATTCTAGGATGAAGCTTCCGCAGGTATCGCAGAACTCGCGGTACAGCACTGTGCCCGAGCCGTTGTCGGCTGCGTGCTCCTTGGGCGTGCCTTTGGTGTACTTGAACGCGTCTTTGGGCAGCTTGGCCGTGAGGCCGTAGTTCGTGCCGAAGGCTTTCTGGTATCGCATGTAAGCACATTTCATTCCATGATACTGAGTGACAGTGGCCCAATCGATTGGGAGTTTGAAAAGAACTAGATAGTACAGTGAATGAGACATTGTAGCATGCACTTACTTTGCAGTTCTTGCAGTGACATAACGATGTGCGTGCATCCTCTGTCGAGTCGAGGTTAACCTCGTACTCGAGATTTCTGCAGTAGCAGCTTCCGGTAAGCTTGACGGCCATGATGTAGTTGTAGGTCAAGGAAGCGGATGTCAGTTTCAGATAGCTGTTTAAGGGGAGAGCAGGATTGATAGATATTTGGGAGCAAAAGCGCAGATATTATGATGTGGAAGACAGTGAAAGATATCAAGGGGCAGATAAGCACGAAGTTGGAATGTAGGACCTGCTATGTGTCGATGTTGACGTCAGTCGTGCGGATTTCCTATTTTAGAATAGATCTACGAAGATCCGGGGAAGACCGTTATGCGGCTCTTAGCTAGCGGTGATCGGTGCGAAGCTGTCCGTTTATTGCCAATCAAAGCATGACTCCAAATCATGCAAATCAATGGCAACAAAGTTGTCACGATTTCACTGGGAAATCAAACCTGGGAGTTTGATGCCGTCGAAAGTGGAGAATGCATTCTCTAGGCTTACAGTGAAGATATCCGCTAAGTTTCATACGCCCAACTCACACCACATTGACATTGTGTGGTATTTCCATATTACTTCTTTTTACCGCCGCATCATGACCTGAGACCCAAAAGGAAGTTGCCGCTGCCAGATCCGCCCTCGCCCTTGCTGCCGCCCGGCAGGTAGGTGACCTGCGGGTTGTTGGCCAGCATCTGGGCAATCTCCCTCTGCGTCTCGATACGTCTGATCTGGATGAGACCGTCACCAGACTTGGCGACAGCCTTGCTGATAGTGTCGGCGGCTTCGGCTTCACCTTCCGCGCGGATAACGTTGGCTTGACGCTCCTGCTCGGCCTTCTCGACGATGAAACGGGCACGCTCAGCCTCCTGTTGCGCGATCTGCTTCTCCTCAACGGCGCGCGTGAACTCCTTACCGAAGGTCATGTGCGTAATCGAAACATCCTCGAGGGCGATGTTAAACTCCTGCGCGCGCTTGAGCAGCTCGGACCGGATGCGGTTAGAGACGGCTTCACGCTGAGTGATGAGCTCGGCGGCGTCGAACTGAGCGACAATGGCCTTGAGCACTTCGTTACCAATGGAGGGAAGGACACGCTCGTCGTAGTCTTGGCCAAGGTTCTAGAGGCGCATGCGTTAGTGGTGTCCATGACGGGTAAAGTGGCGCCACTACGGCGAGCACATGCAGCGGAAGCGCATTGCCAGTATGGAGGCAACATACCTGGTAGATCTTAGGCAGCATCTTGACCTCGGGCCTGTGCAGGACTCTGAGCGTCAAGCTCACCATCTGCAGGTCCTTGCTACCGGTGGTGGTGGAGATGTTTCTCGGCTTGGTGCGCACATCGTAGATGATGCTCTTCTGCAACCACGGGACGAGGAAGTGAGTGCCCTCGTTGATGACGGTTTCTCTGACACCGGATAACCTGTCGAAGATGACAGCTCTGGTGCCGCCCTTCACATCGTATATGGAAGCTTGGACACCGGCCCAGCCGATGGCGGCGGGGACGGCCCACTTGTAGAGGGTGTTGAGAGCGTTCGCCATGGCGGTGGCACTGCGCAGACGGGGGTGGGCGGAGGGGCGGGAGGGCAGCTGGTGATGGGATGCTCTAAGGTTCTCGATCGCCTTCGTCGGCCGGAGCTCTGGTCTTCGATAGCACTTTTCGGGCAAGTTCGGCGCCGCACGTGACGCCAAGACTGGATTGGTTCATCCGCGCTGCCATTCGGCGAACAACGTCTCGAAGAACCTCCAGCTTGCCAGCGACCGACCGAGCCCGCACCACCACCAACAGCCCTCGACCCCAATCTCCCCTCCCTTTTCCAACCTTCGAATCAATATCGACACAATGGGTGGCGGCGGCGAAAAGATGCCCGGCCAGTACGTGCTCCCCGCGACCTGCCATTCTCCCCGGCAATTCCATCTACTGCCGGATCCCCGATATCTCGGAGCAATGCGTTGACATGTTGTTTCTTGCAGGTACATGGGCTGGTGGGGAAGCCTTGGTATGAATCCCTCCCCGTGAAGTCCTCCGCTGCCTCCAATGGCCGATGCGCGCATCCCGCGCTTGATCGCACGCCGGCTTCCACACCCCCGATGGCGAGCAATCACTCATGCAGTCCACAGGCTCCCCTCCGCAGAAGGGCGTCACCTCCTACGCGCTGTCCAACAACCGCCAGCGCGCTATGGGTGGTGCCTTCCACAATGCCATCTTCAACACCTGGCGCCGCACTCGCCAGCAGGTCCTCTACTGGGCCGTTCCCATGGTCATCGGCTACTCGACCATGGCGTGGGCAATTGAGAGGTGGGTGTCTCATAAACTTAAGGAATAAGGCTGGAAATGGCTGACGATGCGTAGGAACGAGTACCTGAACTCCAAGGAGGGTCGCGCTGAGTTCGCCGATGAGGAGGAATAGATTTTGGCTCAGAGAAGGGCTGTAAGAAGCGGTGATGGTTTCAGAGCATAGCGGATGCCGAGTGTACATTACGGGAGCCGGCAATAGATTTCTGCGTCTCAATCTGTTCGAACTTCCTATCCGAAAAGCCGCCATGGAGGGACAGCGTTCGTCACACCGAACAAGGATCTCCAGCCCTTTACCAAATCGGGTCTTGGGTGACTTTTCGAGAAATCAGTGAACAGGCTATAACTACGGCATTGGCTACTGACTACCCGAAGGTTTCCCCTAAATCAAACATTGTTCATATTAACTCGCGGGACCTACTGTTTTGTGCACCAGACACCTGAAACTATTTTCTTTGCATAGGAGGGTAAGTGTCTTACCGGAATAAACTGCTGATTTCAATCTGAAATTCTATCAGCATTTCGTCCCAATTAGGTTCAAGTTTACTATTCCTGCTGGGCTCAAGACGTCAGAAGAGAAGAATGGAACAAAATCGGTGTTACACTTCATGTGTATGCGTATCTTGGACGCATTAGTGGACGGTTGACCACCCGTACCGCCAGCGATGTCAGCTACTTCTGAGTTATCCTGATACTATTAGTCAACATCCTCTCACGATGTTTGTCATCGCCGGGCAAGGCTGGGATCGGACCGCGAGACTCGAAATCCAGAAGGGCTGTGAAGTAAAGACACAGATTTGGGTCGGTAAGCCCAAATCTCTTGGTGAGTCCTGTACTGAGTCTTCAGGATCACCGGCGCCCTGCAGTAGCGGAGTCGGATCAGTTCCAGCAAATACATGTCGTGGTAGTCGGCAGTGAATTCCTCAATGAATTTCGAGCTGGCTTCACAGTTTATTACAAGCCGATGCGCATGTTATTATAGAACGAGACAAGAGACGACAGAGGCAGCTTTATTACCGAGAATTCCGATATTGATCAAGGATGATGGGAAGCAAGTTTATTATCAAGATGAGGACAATAAATCTTCGAAAGCAATGGCACCACAATTTGGAAACAGCTTCGGTCTGGAAAAATAAAGACAAAATTAAGTTGATTCTCCATCTACTCCAGAGCAATCATTTATCTTACGGGTTGAAATAGATAGGAGAAAATGGCAGGTAGCAAAGCCTTCCTCATCGGCTATATACTTAGGTTGCAAAACCACCTAAGTCCAGAATTACTGGAGTACCTCACTTTCGCTCGTGGTGTAATTCAGTGTCTTACGTCGTGTTTGGTTGGTGTAAAATCAGCACGCGATGGCAAGGGAAGTATGGCGAATGAAGTTGAAGACGCCCTATAAGGTCCTGGCATGATCCTGGTCGCATGAGCAACAAGCGTGAGGTTAAACGCCAGATCGCAGTGTCGTGCTTCCCCTGGATTTAGTTAGCGCCCGCGTCCCACAAAGGCTTGTCTCGACGTTCACAGCATAATCGAGTTTCGGAGCTTTTTCCGGCAGTTGTTCAGTAACCCATCAACATGCCGAACACGAGACAAGGTAACTTGAAGATCAGAGTTGGTAAGACATGATTCATGGACAAATGTCTATGGGTCAGCTTACATCGCTTCAAAAATATTCAGCCCAGAATAGAACCGCCGTGTATGACGTCGCGGTACAAGTTGACGACGTCGTGTTATCATCAAGGTCTCCTATATCTCGCAAAATATATGCCGTGGTGTTCCGTTGGTCGGACAAACGCCGCTTGCGCAGGTACGTTGTCGATCGGTGTTTGTAGTTTGGCTGTGTACATGATAAACCGAGTTGGAAGTTTTCATGAGAACTGTTGACTTATCAGCTGAGAATCTATCAACGAAGGTGGTAGATTTATAAGATACCTTTTCTTAGATATTCCTTTGTCTCTCTAGGAAACTGTTCTCCAGAAAGTCCCAATCCATGATTGAGTATGTTCATAATAATCGCGATGAAGACTCGGAAACATCAACTCAGTTAGTAGCTTTCAACCGTTGTCCAAACGGTTGTAATGAATAGCTGATTAGCAAACTCTTTGGACATGTTCATATCCAACCTTTCAGTCTTCTGCGTAGCATCAAGAGCGATTTACCTGAGTATAAGCAGGGACACGGCTACCTAGCTTCAAAAGACCCTGGTGTAGAGAATTCCCAGAGGCGATGCGGCGGTATCTAGAGTCAAAGATGTATCTCATGGCGAAGTCAGTTCGACGTGGCCTCGTAACTAAGATCCCAGCACCCTAAAGATGGTTCAAAGACGTGAAGTTAAGTCCAAGATATCCTCCAAATGGCACTGCTAGAGAAGACTGAGATGTATTTCGCTTGGTAACATCTGAAGGGTTAGGTACCTGGCTTTTCCAACTCCATAACCATCGGAGTTTGATAAATTTGTATATGTATAATCAGTCGTTTTGCTCTCTCGAACTCCCGTAGAGATAGAAATGATGTTCAGAAATATGTCAAAGGAATATTGCGATCATTGTGAGCAACCCTCCGTGGAGGGTCCAGTGGTCTCCTGCCTAGATCCCAGGTTGAGAGAACCACGCACACCTACACTAGAAGCAGCTGAACTTTCCCGTGTCTTAGTGTGATGAAGCTGAGAGCTGTACTGGAGGCAACGGTCAAGGGTAGAACAGCTCAGCTTCAAGCCGTGCGTTGCAGGATCGAGTTCTGTCTGACCAAGTGAGACGAGGCTTGGTCAGACGGCAGCAAGCATCGCCTGCTTCAGCAAGGCATCAAGAAGGAGTTTGTCTCCAGGATTTGCCACAGTGCTCTTTTACTTTCGTGGCATGCAGCTTGATGCAAGCGCTGCCTGCAGGGGGTGCGGATATTTCGGGGGCCAGAACAAGGGGAAGAACCGGAAAAGGGCGTGATACTGGGACCATCTGTCGTTTCTTTTTCCCAAGCGCTCAGGCAAACGCTAACTGCTTCCTACTTCGTCTAGCGGATCTTCGGCTGGGTCATCCATTGGTTATTGCACGATGGTGTGGCGTCTCGTACCAAAAAGAAATCCCTTCGTCGATGTAGTAAATCACTCTCAATGGTCAAATCAGAAATGAAGAAGCATAATGATTTGAAAGCATTCGAGCGGAACAGGCAGAAGAGGTGCGGATATGCACGATGATCGTCAAGGATTGACATGCGGGGATGGTTCGTAGATTGGGGATGGGCAGCAGGGCAGGCGGTGGCCTCGAAGCGAGCCGGCTCCAGCAGGCCAAGTACAGTATCCTTCCATCACCAACAATCCAAACCTGAGAAACCACCCTACTCCATCAACGGTCCGCCACGGAGTGGCCGACGGCAAGGCACTCGCATCGACGGCCATTGAACGCGATACGGGTCTTGGGTGGTTCGATCTTGATGCAGACTACAATCGCACATCAGCCACTGTTAGCGCCAAAGGCAGACGACCAGAAAGCCACATCAACAAGTGTGACAAGGACATTCCTGCCGCTACACGTGGTAGAATGCGTCTAAAGCCTGAAACCACGTCATTTTCTAATTTGCTTTGGCGGTGAGTGTTGGTCATGCAGTCTTTCATTTATGCGCTACTTGGTTTTGATGCCTCTGCATCCCCCGCCTCTCATGAGATCTCAAGCCACTGCGAACCATAGCATCTTGCTTCTGTTTGATCATCCCCCAGATCTCACTGATGGCCAGGGATCTGTCGATAGCTGTACCGACTCGCACCACCCGTTCCACACATAACCTGCCTGAATGTGGCTGACTACCGTGGCGTGACAGCGCCTCCTGCACGCGCTACAAGCCTCGACTCATCCAGCACCTCCGAGACAGCTACTGCGTTAGCCTGTATTGTGGCTGGCGTAAATCAATCCGGGGAAGACGGTACGGACCGTTGCCGGGTCGGACATGTTGCCGAGTCGGGCATGCCACATGAGGATTCGACCAGAGAAAATTCCGATCTTCAAGGCACAGCTAGCTCGGTTTTTAGCTCATCCAGTCGTGCGGGCTCTTTGTAGCCGGAGCTTGTCTTTCCTCGTCTTTTCTGCTCAACATATGCCAGTTGACGATCAGACGATAAGAGGGCATGGGTCAATTCGAACGAGGCAAATCCACAATATCTGCAGTAGGTAATTCGTACTAGTTTCTTTTTGCCCGCATTTGACCCACCCATACTACGCTCTCGCTTCCAGAAAGACATGGCCTTTGAAATTTTCAGCTCCCCACTTCCGAGCATATAATCCTTGCAAGGGACCAATTCTGGGCTCATGTTCCACAACAGTCTCCAAATCGGGACCGGGGGATAAAAAGCTGCATCCGCCAAGCTCCTTCGCGGAACATTGTTGTTTGCCCTAACGCGGCTTGACGACATATATCATACCTATGGGAATTAGGGTCCACTGTCTATGGAGACATGTCGAGGCCAATCAAGACAACGAATATGAGCTATATGCGTTTTTCTTATTAGTTTCTGTGTCTCATTGGATCACCTAATGCTCACTGCGTAGACAGGCTACGTACTCTCTGGACTTAAGCCTCAGAATGGCAATCCCGACGGCTTGCGTGGTTCGGATGATAGACACCAGCCTCCTCGATCTGACGAGTATTGAGCAGCTTTTCTCTTGCCATTCATCAAGCCATTAGTTCCTTTCTTGTCAACACCTCAACAGTAATCTTCCTCGATAGGATCTTGGCAGCCTACCACGAACAGTGTCATCACAGCCATTGGGAGGTAATATGTCGATGGCCACCAACTCCACCCAACGAATGCGCTTGTTGTATTCCAAATACGTACTCGTATTGGATGCCCATTCGCGACACTCTCGCTGCGCCACGACCAGCCATGGTTGATGCTGCATAGGCGCTTCGGTTGAGCGGATAAGCAATTACTTGTACAGATGGAGCCAAGCGATAGCATGCCTCGGCCGTGCCCCTACAGGTCTTAGTCGGGACACCCAGGACTCTGCATAAACGGTATCATGATCGACGATCAAAGAAGCCTGCGGCATGCCCACACTCATTTGATGCAGCTGGCGGTCGAGACCCACATCCCTCCGGGGTCATCCGCGGCAACAGTGGTTGACAGACGACGGGCACGTGGGGCGATGCCGTTTTTACTGACGAGGCAGGATTCTTTTTAGCAGTCATAGGCGTTCTCCGCTTCAATATTTGTCCACGGTCATGGCGGACTAGAGGCTCCGCACAAGCTCGACTAGTCAACTCTAGCAACTGCGAGAAGATGTCACTCATCAGGCGACTGCAGGAGCAGCTGTCGCTACCACCTGAGCAAGAGCCCGCGGCTGCGCTCAAAGGTCCCAATCCACTATTACACAGCAAGCAGTGTCCCCGCAGGCTCGAGACATCCCTCATCCCGGCATGCAATCTTCCTGTAGTCTCTATTGAGATGGCTTGGGAAGTGTGCTTCAAAAAAGTAACGCTAGCTGCAGCAATATGGCGTGGTGAGGCTTCACACCGACCTTCTAGCTCTCGGCGTAGGCGTGAACGAACGCTCCTCCGTCGTGTACAATGACAGTAGAGGCTTGAAACCATAGAGTCACGAGGCTTGCGCTCCCACAACACCATAGCACGGGAGTGTTGGCTGGACAGCTGATGCTGATACGAGCAGGAGGCGCCTCAATTGCCATCGGGAAGCCACCATGATCATTACCATCCGTGGCAAAAGTACCCTGCCAGGGGTTATGGGGATCGAGCGTCTTCTTGCATATCGCGTGGGAACCAAGGGGACCCAAAGGACTATAAAGAGGACGTCGTCCCTCGGATTCTCAATTCATTATCAGCACACAGCATCTTCTCTAGTCTTCACTTCACTTCCAAACCAGCCAGCTCATTCTCTGCTTCTTTAGCAATCCCACCAAAACAATCAAAATGAAGTTCACCGGTGCCATCACTGCCTTCGCCATTGTCGCTGCCGTCGCCGCCGCTCCCGGTGGCCTCGAGGCACGCACCGACAAGATTGGCAGCAGTGCCAGCACCTGCTCTACTGGCTCTACCAGCCTGAAGTGCTGCAACACTTCCGCCCAGTCCTGCAGCAACCTCAACAATGGCGCTAGTAAGTAGCCAGGGACTTCGACCAGCATGTGTAGATGATTTGGAAATATTTGGCTAACAGACTTCTACAGTTGAGAAGGCTGGTCTCGGCGGCCTCCTCAACCTCCTCAGCGGCATTCTCCCGCTCGACCTCCTGAGCAACGCCCAGTTGACCCTCCTCAGCAAGAACGGCTGCGACAGCAACAGCCAGGTTGCTTGCTGCTCTGGCGTAAGTTCCATCATCCTCGCATGTTCCCCGATGAACACTGACAGATATCTCCACAGGCCTCCCTCGTCAACGTTTGCAGCCCCATTAACGTCCTGTAAATGCCTCGATGCACAGTTGCTTCGTCTCCGAAGCAGTTGAGTAGCTGGCTGGTCATTTTGCCCTTCTAGCCTTCATATTTTCAGTTACTGGTTTTGGCCTGCTATGCGCTAGCCGTTCATTCCTTTAATAACCTGTAGTCTTTTCTTGAATGTACGGAGGACGCGTATACTTGGTCCTTGGGGAGCGGTGGAGGATGTAGCGTAGTTTGCTTCTTGTCTGCTTAATGCAACTTGCATTGGGCCCATATCTCTGATCTTTAGAAGTGAACTGTGATGATGAGTGAATATTTGAAAATTGAGGTGAGGCAAGCTGCAGTGATCTGCAGGCAAGGCAAACATAGCAACGAGGCGGAAGCGAAATGCCGGGAATCTTGTGGAGGAGCAAGGATGGGCGAGCATTGGAGACCCCACCCTATGCAGGCAAGTGGAGAAGTGGAGTTGAGTCGGAGATGAAGCGAAGCAACTCGTATACTTAGATAATTCAAACAGCGGAGAAGCAGGCCGCTGCGAGTATACCAGGATAATCCAAGCAATAGTTCAGTTTCTATGGGGCTATAAAATTGAATCAAAAGCATAAGACATGGCTAAAGCGAAGTTGCGGGAAGCAAAGCTGGGTCGCTCTCGTGCGACAGACGCACCAATCAAGCGCGCGGACACGTCCAGCTGTTTCTTTGGCTCAGAGGGAGCGCACAACAGCATTATAGCACGGAAGGCAGCATTATAGGTGACACCTTCACCACGTGGCGCCTGTCAAGCCAATTCCAACCCCGGCCGGACAATCTCGCTACAACTTTCGCTGTGACTGCTCTTGCGGCCTTGATGCGTCTGTAGGCAGTACAACGCCGGAGGGCTGGGCTTATCTCTGGCTTCACAACAGCTTTTCTGTGGTGGAGCTCGAGGGCCGCGACCAAGGCAATTGCTGCTCCTACTGTAGGCGGTGAAATGCGGCAGTGTTGTTGGGACGTGGGGTCACGAAAAGGGAATAGGCAGCGGCAACGTGCTTCTGTTGACCTACCATGGGAAATTGACTGCTTTCACCTCTGTTAAGCATCTTATACTTCAGATATAGCATTGATATATATGTCTCTCTTGCTGTGCAATCGGATGTGCTATGCTGACATGAAGAACGCCCGATCTCCGCTTTGCAGAGAACTCACGACGGAAGCCAGCCGGATCTCCCTCCCACAGATCTATTTCCAGACGCCGGTGAAGAATCTGACGGCAAGCACAGCGAGCTATCTTAAGGCAAAGTTGCATTGCACCCCCAGCAGACCACGGCCAGAAGCTAACGGCGCTTAACGGTCCAGCCTTTCCAGCGCATGGCGTAGGCAGGATTCCTGCAGGTGGGTTCCTGCGCACCGGAGAGCACGCCGTCCTGCTACCGCCTACCTACATGTGTATGCAGAGAGAGTCGGCTTCCCTGACCTGGAATCCCGATTGAAGGGTAAGGCGGTGATCGGGATGGGTGCGAGTGCTGCAAAGATGACACCACATTCCTCACGTATGGGTACAACGGCGGCGCAGTGACGAAAGGCGGAGAGTATAATGCTGTAGGAACAACGGTCGAGGTGGCAAGAAACCGGCTCAAGAAGACGGAAGGAAGGATTGAGTGTATGCGCCTCTGGAGGTGTGGCTACAGAGCATTGAATCAGTTCAATGTCTTTCGGTGAGCTCTCAAATCTTTGAACGATAGATCACATAACTTACTAGATGTGAGTAAGTAGTTCCAAGCAGGAAAAGCCTTTTTGGTCACTCTTGCCAGTCACTGACTTTCGAAGTCTCTTTGTCCACAGCGAGTATCGAAGCTCACATAGATTCTCGACCGGACAGGACAAAGCTCGAAACATAAGCAATTCAAAGCAAACAAACACAAGAAATCTATATCAAACGCCCTTCTCAGCCAACCCAATCACAACTCCACAACCATCAAATCCCAAACACCAAACCCACCAGTAACAAAAACCCCCGATCCTGCCACCAACACGCTCGCCTCCCCAGATCGAGGCACCAGGCACTAGCCACAAGCAACGCAGACGCATCTGGCCTTCGCAAACCCCCCAGCTTCCCCAGATCCAGCAGCCTGTTTGCCCCTCCATCGGCCAGACCGATCTCACCCCACAAACCCAAGACGACGCGGATCTCCCGCGGCCCTTGCATCCCGCCGCGGTGGTAAGTTTGCGGCCTGACAGATCACAAGGCCTACCGCGAAGCATCCCCTTGGCCAGATTGCTTTTTTGGGAGCGTGTGTGCTGTACATACATACGTGATTTGCCAGTCGCAGTTCAGTGAACTATCTACTAACGCGTCCAAGTGTTCACACACACACACACCACCACCACCACCAAAACACCAACACCACGCACGCCACAGCGCCTGACACCTCCACACCCAGCACCCACATAGAGCATCGCACAAGCGCGCGGGCGCCCCCTCAGCCCACCACGCAAGAAAAAGAGAAAGCAAAAAGCAAAAACGCAAACAGTTAAGAAAAAAATGAAAATAAAAAATAAAAAATAAAAAAGCATCGCCCATCCCAACCCAGCATAACACAGCGCAACCAGCCATGGCACCACCCCAACACTTCTCCGATGCAAGCCCGCACCGCACGGCAGCACACGCTGCGCCGCGCCGCGCCGCGCCTCGCCTCGCCCCTGTAGGGGTAGGTACAGAGGTCTCGCCTGGGCGCGCATGCAGCGCACAGCAGCCGCTACCAGCTACCACGACCGCACGCAAGCAGCTGCACCCGCATTCCCTGGCGCGTGACACAGGACCAGGCAGCGAGCGGTAGCGAGCATCAGTGAGCGTCAAGGACCGTCAGTGAGCGGCAGCAAGCCCACACAAACACGCACACAAACCAACGTTTCTTTTGCGAGGCCACAGTAGCTGAGCCAGCGCCTAGAGCTAGAGCCAGAGCAACAGCGACCTGCAGGGGAGGCGGCAGGGCGGAGCAGCGCCCCCCTCCCCGCTCACCAGGCAGGTAAAGTCGCGCAAGCATCAGACTCGGAGGAGACTCGGCTCAGCCGAGCTGACTGCGCTGACTGCTGATTGGGCACAAGGACAACGGAAAAAGCAAAAACGAAAGGGATGGGGAAAAGAAACGACCTATAGGGGCGAAGAAGGAGGGAAGAAAGGAAGGAACAAACGAAGGAAGAAAAAGGCAAGGCAAGAAAAGGCAAGACAAGGGGGAGAGACAGCAGGAAAACAAAAAACGATGACGTTGACGAGGACGATGAGTGATGCTGATGCTGATGCTGGTGCTCATGCTGCTGGTCCTGTTGTGCAGAGCAGTTGAACAGAGCAGAGATTACAGAGCTTGCAATACCTGCGTGCCTGCCTGTTTGCCTGCCTGCGCGGCATTATGCGTGCGTGCGTGCGTGCGTGCAAAAGAAAGAAGGAAGGAAGGAAGGGAAGGAAGACGAGGCGAGGAGAGGCGACGCGAGGCGCAGAAAGCCACTAGGCAGGAATGCGGAGAATGGCTGCGCTTGTGTGTGTATGTTGTGCGTTTGTGTTGTGTGTGTGATAGAAAGAGAGAGAGAGAGAGAGAGAACACGAAATGAAGATTTCTCTACCATACCTAACCACATCACTCACTCAGTCACCTACAATAATAACAACAACAACAGCAGCAGCAGCAACAACCCCACGCACCACTCCCCCCACCCTCCTTACCCACCCAAGCCCAAGCCCAGCCACGCTTGCAATATCCATGTACTGTAGACATAGACATAACCATAACCACAGACAAAAAAACAGACACAGACACAGAATCAAAGCCCCATCCATAATCCAGGAGTACATACATAGGTACCCACCCGCGCAGGCAGAGACAGAGAGCCCACTGGAGCACTGTACCTAGCAAGCCCGACATCCCGCAAAGACACCGTGCCTACATAGGCACCTAACCACCTAACCACCTAACCACCTAGGCAGGAACAGAACAGAACAGAACAGTGCCTACCTACCAAGGCAAGCAAGTCATCGTCACGCCGCTCCCTTATCCCCATCCCATCGCACCCATCGCACCCAGCCCAGCCCAGCCCAGCCCAGCACAGCACAGCACAGCACAACACAGCACAGCACAGCACAGCACAGCACAGCACAGCACAGCACAGCACAGCACAGCACAGCACAAACGAACCGCGCGCTTGACCGACTCCCATCACCAAACCCCCAACACGCCCCGCTCCCTCACACACTGAACCATGCACCCACCCAACAAGCCAACACACCCTTCCCCCAAGCGCTTAAGGCATAAGGCATAAAGCGAAGCGAAAAAGGGCAAGCAAGCAAGCAAGCAAGCACAAAAAACTCCGTCTACGAATACCAAATACCAGTCCCCAGCCCGAAAGAAGAAGACGACGAGAAGACGGAGAGCTAATTAATGGTACAGCAGCAGCAGGCAGGCAGGCAGGCAGGCAGGCAGGCAGGCACCGACCGCTCTCTTGCAGGCCTCGTAATCCGTACACACACACACATATGCTGCCTAGGTAGTAAGGTAGGTAGGAATGACTCGGCCCACCAACGCACTCACTCCCTCCCTCCCTCCCTCACTCACTCACTCCCTCATTCCCTCGCCCAACTCATTCGCTCGCTCCGCTCGCTCAATACAGCCTCCTCACAGGCTGCGTAGCCGGCGGCCCCGGCGCCAAGCCCATCTGCAGCGCCGTCTGCTGCGCGTCCGCCATTTCTCTGATGCGCTTGATGAGGTTGCTGCGGAGGAGCGCCCAGTGGCGGGCGTTAGCGCGGGTCTATCTGGTCTGCTCTGGCTGGCTCTGGCTGTGGGCGTGCGTGCTGTGTGCTGTGTAGGTATGCATCGAAGATCGGGGGGGTCGGGGGTGCGGGTAGAGTTGCGCTGCTGCACGCACGCAGGCAAGTGTAGATGCAGGTTTAGGGGGAAGATGCAACGGCTGCTTGCAAGTACGCATGCACGCAAGCACGCACGCAAGCGAGCAACCAAGCAACCAAGCAACCAAGCGACCAAGCATGGGGAAATGGGGGGAAAGGAGAAGGGAAGAGAGGGGAGAATAACAGGCAACCAAGAAATTCAAACCACACATACCTGACGGGCAAATTGCTCTCCAGCTCCACCTCCCTCGCCAGATCAACCCGCTGCTTCCGCCTCTCGTCATGTCCATCCAAATGCTCCGCAATAGCGACCTGGCTCTGCTCCGAGCTCGCCGCGTAAACCTTGACCACGCACCCATCGACGCCGCACTTCCACACGTCGCCGGGGGAATTGGCCTCGCGGCTCAGGGCGCGGGCGGGTGTCTCGTCCAACGCCGCCATAATCCGCGGCGCCCATAACGACGAGCCCCCCGTGCCGCCGCCACCAAAGTTCGATCCCGGCGTACCAATCCGCGACACGGGCGTCTTCCACCTCAGCGGCAAGTCGCGGGCCGCGCGCTCGCGCTCGTCTTCCTCTTCCGACTCCCCCGCGCCCCCAGGGCTCCGCAGCGCCGCCTGCTGGTGGCGGTGGTGGTGGCTGCGGCTGGTGGTGCGCTTGCGACGGGGGCCGCCCAGCTCGGCCTCGCTGGCGGAGCTCTTGCGTTTGGGCGGGGACGCCACGTCGGGGACGTCGGTGTCGTCGTCCTCGTCGCCGCTGGAGCGGTGGTACGACTTGCCGCTGCGCGTCATGCCCTTGGACGAGAACTTGCTGCTCTTGGGGCGCAACAGTGACGAGCGCCCTTTGCGTGACCGTCGCCGTATCGCTTGGATGTCCTCGTCCGAGCTGCTTTCGAGCCCGCCCCCACTGCTGACCACGAGCGGCTCCGGGTCTGGGAGCGCCACTTTGCGTTGCCGGATTTCGAGCTCCGAGGCGCTTTTCAGGAGGGCCGCGGAGAGCCGGGCCGCTGCTAATTCTGCGTAGATGGGCTGCTCGACCCATTCAATGGCCGGGCGCCGCTTGTGCGCCATCATGTACATGAGGTTTTGTGCATGTGCGCGAATGTAGTTAGCCGCGAGCGTCTCGTCATCGACTTCGTACTTGCGGACCATGATTTTGGCAAACGTGTCGACGCTCATGTTAGACGGGGCGACGATGGCTTGGATCTGTGCCTTTTGCATCATCTCCCATATCACCTTTGCCTCCCACCAGTTGTCATCCTTCTTTGGCGCGCCGTTGGCCGCGGTCGCGCCAGCGGACGTCGAAGCCCCCGCTTTTGACCGGCCAGGCTTCCTCGCACCGTCGTCGGCCGTCTCAGGCTCTTGCGATGCCACCTGTGATGACTGGCTCGAAGCCGCCTTTGCTTTGCGGCGCCCGGCCTTGCCTTCTTTCTTCCGTACCATGGCCTGGTGTGCGTCTGGGAAGGTCTCCTTCAGATGGAGGAACAAGTCGGTAGTCTTCCAGTCCGGCTTGTCCAGCTCGTTGCCGCGCAGCATGGACAGAAGCAGGAACTCCCGATGCTCGTAAGCCGCTTCAGCTACCTCGCCTGCATTGGCGTACTCGCCCGGGTATTCCTTTACGTATGCCTCAAAGATTTCGTTTGCGCTCTTGTTGCCCTTGGTCTTTGTCGAACCGCGATACATGTCGGCAGCGAAGTAGAGCAGCTTGATAGCGGCTACCATGCCGGCGAATATGTCCTTGTAGGCGCGCGCCGGGGTGATTTTGAACCAGCCGGCGCGGCCGGCGGCCCATATGGCGACATCCCCATCGTCGTATTGTCCGTAGGCGAAGCGCGTCACATTGGACACTTGGAGCGGGAGGGCGCGTGGCAGCGGCTTCCGCAGCAGGCGGGATTGGGCGCGAGCGACGGGCTCGAGACGGCCTTGGACAAGGACGGGGTAGACGGCGTCGGCGTGCAGCAGGCTGACGAGGTGGTCGGCTTTGGGGTCGCGGACTTGGACGCTGGACAATTGGAATTCCTCCCAGTCGTTCTCGTCCTTGAGGGCGGGGTTCCGCGGCTTTAGAAGCTCGGCTTCCGGGAGGGGCATCGCGTCGGCGTCTTCGTCGTCGTCGTTGTGGTGCCGCCGCTCGTCATCGGCATGCTGTTTGTAGGTATGGACGTGAGAGCAGCGGGTGCTTTTAGCTAGGAATGCGCGTTCGTCTCGCGCAGGCGGCCTCGACTCACACGGGACTTGCTCACACGCCTGGCCCAAGCTCCGACTGAATCGCGACCCGGAGGGGAGAGAGAGCTAGTCAGCTCCATCCGTACCGCGGTACAGCAGGTCACCTAAAAAATATCTATCCTCCCCCACCACCTCATGTTCAAGGCCACAGCTCCCCTCCTCTGGCGATTCAAAATGTCCCCGCCCAAGCCCATCATCTACGAAGGCTGCTTCGGTACGCGCAACCCTCCCTCCCTCACTCACTCACTCATTCACTCACTGACACGCCCGCGCAGGCCTCCGCAAGCCCACCTCCATCTCCTCGGCCCAAGCCCTGCGCGACCTCGAAACGCACTTCAACAACTCCACCCTCTTCCGCGCGAACCTCGAAGCCGAGCGCGAAGCCGTGCGACAAGAAAAGCTGACCAACCCGCGGTTCAAGCGCAAGCGGGGCCCCAACCGCCAACACCGCGTCAAGCTGGGCCACGGCGGGACGCTGGACCCGCTGGCGACGGGCGTGCTGGTGACGGGCGTGGGCCGCGGCACCAAGAGCCTGAGCCAGTTCCTCGCGTGCACCAAGACGTACGAGTGCGTGGTGCTGTTCGGGTGCGCGACCGACTCGTACGACAGCGTGGGCAAGGTGGTCGGGCGCGCGCCGCATGCCCACGTTACGCGCGACTTGGTCGAGGCCGCCCTCGCAAAGTTTCGCGGCAAGACCATGCAGAAACCCCCCGTCTTTAGCGCGCTCCGCGTCAATGGCAAGCACATGTACGAGTATGCCCGCGAGGGCCTCGACATCCCCGAGATCAAGGACCGCCCCGTCGAGGTGTCGGAGCTGGAGCTGCTCGAGTGGATCGAGCCCGGCACCCACGAGTGGCGCTACCCCACGGAGGAGGTGGCGCAGGAGGAAAAGGCCGCCGCGGACAAGCTGCTGCAAGCTTCGCTGACGGAGCCGGCCAAGGACGCGCAGAAGGACGCGCCGGCAGAGGCTGAGGCCGAATCCGCAGAGCTGAAGCGCAAGCGCGACGGCGAGGACAACGCCGACGACAGCGCCGCCGACCTCGTCAAGGACGACCCCGCGGCGAAGAAAAGCAAGACCGAAACCGGCTCGCAAGCCGTCATGACGGGCGCCCTCCCCACCGACACCGAAACCACCACCACCACCACCACCTCCGACGCGCCCACCACCGCCGAAGACGGCGCCTCCGCCCCCGCCGCCCGCATCCGGATGACCGTATCCAGCGGCTTCTACGTGCGCAGCCTGTGCCACGACCTAGGCGCCGCAGTCAACAGCCTGGGCGTCATGACAGCGCTGGACCGCACACGACAGGGGGATTTCTCGCTCGGCAAGAACGTGCTCGAGTACGACGACCTGGCCAAAGGGGAAGAGGTGTGGGGCCCGCAGGTCAAGGCGATGCTGCGCGCGTGGATGCTGAGGGAGGGGTGGGCTTCCGAGCGGGATTTTGCTGGAGAGGAGGGCGGTGCGGGGGGAGCGGCGGGGGCTGCGGGTGAGAAGACGGCGCGGGAGGGGACGGCGGAGCGTGAGAGCGAGAGGAGGCCTTCGCCCAAGGCCGCGGGGCGGAATGAGATGGTTTTCGAAGTGGATTAAGTGGGTGAGCAAGGTAGGTAGGTAGGTCGGTCAAAAACAGATATACACGGGAAGCAGGCAGGCAGGCAGCCCTGGCAGGCAGGCGCACGGAATGGTTTATACCCCGACCGCTCGCGAGGGGAGTTGAGGAGCGGGCAAAAAAGGCACCTATATATATATATGGGACAAACATCAACAACATCACCATCAATAACATCAACAACAGGACCAGGAATAATAAAAAGCAAGACACATCCGAACAATCATCCATCTGTCTACGCAAAATCGTGCTCGCTGCAAAACAAAGAAGAACACAGAGAATAAAAAAGGTACAAAGTCAATAAAACCCAATCCCAGTCCCAAGCCCGCGGTATATCCCTACCGATCAACGCCGTCTGAACCTCATGACGCAAGCCGCCGCCGCCGCCGCCGCTGCTACTGCTCTACCGCTCTTTTTCTGAGCAAATGCAAGGAGGAGAGAAGAAGATGATGATGAATATGAAGCCACTCACTCACTCGCCCCCCGCCCTCCTCGCCTCTCCCGCCAAAATGCCCTCACCAAGCGCGTCCCCCCGCCCCAGCCCCTGCCCATGCCCCGCCTTACCCCCATCCCCATCCCCATCCGCATCCTCATCCCTATTCTCCTCATGATTCACAAACACAAAACTGCCCACCACCACCGCCGCGCCCACCCAATACGCCCAATGCGCCGTCTGGCCATTAATCAGGACCTGGCCAATCAAGCTACACGGGATCGTCATGCTGAGGCCGACCGTGACGACCAGCGGACTGGTGAGCAGCATAGCGTAAGCCCAGCAGAAATCGCTGACCAGCGAGCTAGTGCTATTGATCAGGACGATCGCCCAGATCTTGCCGGTGGGGGGCATCGCGAACGTCTCGATGCCCGTAACGTGCAGCACCACCAGCCCCGGCCAGAGAAGGAGCACGTTGAAGAGCCCGACGAGCCCGAAGAACAGCGGCATGCTGACGCGCCGCTCGTCGCCGATGCGCGCCTTCATCGTCACGGCGTAGAAGCCGTACAGCACGGCTGAGAGGAAGGCCAGCGCGTCGCCCGTTGCCAGCTCACCTGGCGTCTTGGACGGGAAGCTGCCGCGGTTGGCGTCGTCGGAGTTTGTGCCGCTGATGTCGACGGTGCTGATGAGCACGATGCCGAGGAGTGAGGCGAGTACCCCCAGAAGCTTGCGCAGCGTGAAGCGCTCGATGCCGATGAAGGCGCCCGCCAGTAGCGTCCAGATGCTGCTGGTGGATGTGAGGATCGTGCTGCTGGCTACCGTCGTGTAGTGCAGGCACGCGGCGGTGAAGTAGTTTGCCTAGACGCGCACAGGGCGAGGTCAGCAACGCGTCTCCAACAGTGAAGACAGAAGAAGGGAACCTAGGCATGACATACCAAGAACCACAGGCAGCAAAACTCGATGCTCAGCTTCGCCGTGGCCATGAAGTCGAGGCCCTCCTCCTCCTCGGCCTCGGCGCCAGCACCACCAACCTGCCCCCCCTCCGCAGTCGCGTCGTCCCGCCCCGCCTCCCCGATAAACGCCTCCCGCTCCTCGGCCGCAACCGTCTCCTCCCGCTCCTTGGCCCGCGTGTACCACGCCGCGGCGCCGGCCCCGCTCAGCCCCAGCTTCTGCTGCACCGCGCGCGCGAAATCGTGCAGTTGCGCGGGGTCGTCGCGCGCTTTCCTTGCCAGGATCGGGATCAGCGGGATGACGAAGAAGGCCGTATTGACGTAGGTCACGAAGTAGGGTTTCGAGTAGCTGTCGTCTGCGAAGATGGTCTGTTGGGCGGGGAGGGGTGTTGTTAGCCTTCTGTATCTCTTTCATGGGTTCTTTCTCTGCGGGATTAGGCAACGCCGCGATGTGATGACGTGCTGGCGCTGTGCTGCGCAGCGCATAGCAGCATGGCGCGGCGATTGGGAGCCGCAGAGGATGGCATAGCACGGAATGGAAACTGCACTCACGCTCGCCAGAAAGTTGCTCGCGGTCCATAGCACCACTGTCACGAGCAGCAGCGCGATGCCCACCGAGTGCCGCACGCCCTGCGTCATCCTGCTCGGCCTTGCGCCGCTCCACCTAGCATTCGTGCCCTCGCTCTCACTCGCCCCCATGCTCTTTCCCAGTGTGCCGTAGCCGCGCGTATGTGGGTGTTGTGTGTGGTGCGCGCGAATATGTACGCCCGCGTCGTTGTAGTCGTCGTGGCCGAATCGCGATGAATCTTCGATGTAACGGGTCCTCGGCTTCGAGGTAGACGGTGACGGAGCAGCAGCAGCAGCAGCAGCAGCAGCAGTAGTAGTAATAGTAGTAGGTTCGAGATGAGCTGGCGTGGAGCCAGAAGCAGCAGTAGCGACAGCAGGTGCAGCGTCCCCGTCACAGAAATGGGCGAAGCGCAAGGAATCTTCCTGACCCGAGCCGTCGCTCCTCATCATCCCACCCGACGACGCCCGGACGTCGCGGCCGAAAACGGGCATTAACTGCGCGCAGAGTATACGTACACAGTAGGTAGCGTTCGACACTGAAACGCCCTCTGTCGCGTCCGGCGGCGTCAAGGCGTGTAAATTGATGAGCTCTCGGATCGCTCGTTGCGCAAGCTCCCTACGGATCACGCCCGGTCCGCCCACCCCCGGCACGGAATCCCGCTCTTTATAGCGCTGCCTTTCCCGATAAGCGATGTTAAGTTATCTTGCTGGCACTGCCAGCTCTGTGGGGTCTGCGGGGGACTGTGCGCGCCGATGGCCCTCAAGTGCCCCTCTGTGCGGCCGCGGGAGCTGCGTGGCCGAATCGTCGTGACCTACGGAATAACCGAGCGAGAAGCGCGCGCGCCAGAGAGAGAGAGAAAGTGCCGTGTGATGAACTGAACAGTTGACTTCTTGTCTCCCTGCTCCTTGCTCTCCCTGCCGCGCGCCCGCCCCGGATCAGCACGTGGCCCTCATCCAGTGGCACTCAAATTGTCACAGGTTCACGAACGCATCAGCCTCCTACGGCACCATGCCTAATAGAAATTTAGTGACCAAGTGGCGTGCACCTCCCCGTCTGTCCACCGGCTATCCAGTATTGCACGCATCCGGCGGAAGCTTTGTGCAGCACCAAAGCGCTTGTTGAATTATCAGATCACAATACCACTAAACGCCTGTGCCATGAAGAAAACATGAAAGCTTCGTGTACCCCTTTCCGGCCCTGTCCTCTATACAAGACGTCGGGTATTCAACCACGCGACCCGCCTAGCAAGCGCATCCGTCACGGTCGCTCTCGAGGTTAATCGGTATCGTTTCGGGGAAGTCGTTGCTGAAGTCGCCCGCCTCCTCCTGGGCGAGAGCCTGCCTCGCGATCACTGCATAGCGAAATTAGTAATGTCGTCTACTAATTATGGAAATAACACCTACCCTCGAATGCCTGCTCAACGTTGATAGCCTCCTTTGCACTCGTCTCGAAATAGGGAATGCCGCCCTTGGAGTTGCAGAAGGTCATGGCGCGCTTCGTCGAGATCTATTATTTCCGTTAGCCATGTCCGACCCCCTTGCACCTCCAAACTCACCATGCGTTTGCCCTCCTCAACATCAATCTTATTGCCAAGAACGACCTGCGCTACTGTCAACCGCCTGTTCCAAAATTATCCTGATCGGAGGGGACGCACGAAGGGGAAGCTCTCGGGATCCATCGGGCTCGCTTGGACAAGGAACTCGTCCCGCCAACTGTCGAGGGTGTCGAAACTCTTCGCGTTGTTGACATCGTACACCAGGACGCAGCAGTCGGCACCACGGTAGAAGGCCACACCGAGAGATTGGAAGCGCTCCTGACCAGCAGTATCCCAAAGCTAAGATTCCATCAGCCGTCATGCCCGCGTGAGACGGAACACCCTGATCGACCCACCTGCATCGTGACTAACCGGTCGTCGACCAGAACCTCTTTGGTGAGGAAGTCGGCGCCGATCGTCGCCTTGTAGCTTGCACTGAACTTCTTGTTGACCTGCGAGACCACCGGGTTACTAAATGCCTAGACACATGGTCGGAGAGACGTCTGTAGTCGCTAGCGTCGGGCGCCTGGAGACGTACATATTGGTTCATCAAGCTGGTTTTGCCAACGCCGCTATCGCCAAGGATGATAACCTGCAGAGCCACATTAATCTCCTATCCTACGGTATCAAGGCCGAGCGAGCGCACCTTGAGCAAAACCTTTCTCCTCGCAGCCATGACGTGGTGTTGAGTTGGCGCAGCGGGCTGCTGGGGTCCGTGTGCGGTGAACGGAGAAGTGCGCTGCCGTGGTTCGGTAACGAAAGGGACGACGGTTCTCGATGGGCGATACGGCTAAGGACACCTAAAAGGCTGTGGAGTGCTAGGTGGCAATAAGGTGCGTGGCTAGTGAAAGTTGAATTGTCGGAAGGCAGGTGTTGTACCAGTATCGGCAGTCAAAGCTCACGAGGGTCAATGACGGGCGGTGAACCTCACGCGAAGCTTGGCTCTGTGCCCGGCCCACATCCTGGTCCGCGCCACCCCTGACATAAGCGGCCTATCTGAGCTTGAAAGTGCCAACAGCCTCTCAGCAAGCCACGCACACCTCAATTATGGATTATTTAGGTGGATTATCAGGCTTCTGCCAGCGAATCGTAACCGCTATAGATGCTTCGCCCTGCATTTAGGGCATTCGCTGCATACGCTCCAGCAAATCATGACACCCCTCTCTACTATTTGTTCTTGTCGATGTACTCTGACATGAAAGATAGGTGATGTGATTGTCTCAAACGATCTGAAAAACGGTCCCCCGGAAACAGCGGTGTTCGTTAGCTTATCAAACAAAGACATGCTAACGTCAGTGGTGCACCGTCAATCAAGATCACCGTCTAGCGAGACGGAAGGATACAAGCAGTCCCTATTAAACACTCCTTATCTAGGTACAATTCTAAGTCCTGGATATGAGTGAAAAGCTTTTAAAGCGTATATATACTACTAACACCTCTACTGGATTTCCTATTCCACTCCATACAGGTATCATTATCTCCTTAGGCGATGAATCTCGCTTTACGGGGACGGACGTTGCCTCAGCTTCTCAATATTTCCTTTTCGTAGTCGACAAATAGCGAAAGCTCCTACCCAGACGCCAAAGCGCTCGTCGCCTGCCAGAGATCTTCATTTCTTCCGAAGAATAACCCCATACCACACCTTACAATCCACCCATTTCCAGCCCCTCTCTCCCAATAACCCCTCTTCCAACATTTTATCCTCAACCTCCCTCTCCATTACTTCCCCCACAAGCTCAAACCCCACTTCCTGAGCCGCTTTCACCGTCTCCTCCACCGTATGCACGTAGCTCTTTCCCCTAACCTTGACCCTTTTTCCCTCCGCATCAGCCATGACAAACCCAGCCTGGCTCTTTGCGCCCATCTCAGGGTGCATATTCGTGATCAACGCAACCCCGCGTGGAAGCAAGATGCGGGAGAGCGCGGCAAAGAAGACGGAAAGCGGAACGTGCTCGAGGACAAGAGTGGAGATCAGTGCGTCTGCCCGAGTGGGAAGCGGATCAGGCGAAGAGCTAAGATCCGTGGGATACAGAATGTCGTGCTGGAAGAGGCTGAGCCGTACTGGCGCAGGTTCTGCTCCTTCACTGATCTCTTCTTCAATGGGGAGAAGCTTCTCGTCCGCCCTGGCAAGCATACCAGGAGAGGCGTCGACGCCAACGATGTCAATGGTCGCGCCGCGTGGGAGTTTCCATTTGTGCTGTAGCAGTTTTCTTGTGTTCCGGCCTGTGCCGCATCCCAAGTCCACGATTTTGTAGGCGTCCTTGGGGGATTCCTCTGCGGTTGCTTTTACCATGTCGAGAAATACAGGTAGTGTCTTTTCGAGCTCAATATCATCCACTTTTTGAAGGATGTTTCCGTCTGTGTCGTACACTGGTGCCCACGCATCGTAAGCTGCCGTGGTGTCCATGTGACGGACTGGCTTTGGTACACTTGAGGTTACGGCGGTGCTAGGTCGTGGAGTATCCTGACTGGGCTTGGGGGTTTCATCTGAAGATGATGGAATTGATGGTTTGGCAGTATCTTCAACAACCTCAGTTGGTGCGCCGAATTCAGAAGGGTCTGTGTCCGTGGTTGAGAAGGAACCTGTGAACTGAACCGTTTCAGGTTGTGAGAGGTCGATTACAGAAGTGTCGAAGGTAGTGTTGAGAGAAGGTTGGGTCATGGTGTGTCCGTTTGAATAACTTGTCTGATATCGCGGGTTGGCGTGGTGTTTTTGACGGGGAAAGTAACGAGACCTGATTGAGAGCTCAAGCGGTATTTAAGCTAAACTGTGAGAGGGGAAGGCAAACTAAAGTTCAGTAGGAGATTGTGGGGGAGCAGCGGGAGGCGCGGACTAGCAATCAATTAACGCCCGTGACCACGCGCTTTGCACGACGTGCATGGTCCACGAATGACTCACTGGACGCGCCTAGTCGGTGTCGGTGACCCCGCCTGGGCAAGCGCGTCCTAAACGATGGTAGCAAATCAAACAGGTCTAACGGCGATTTTATCACATGTCTAACTATTAGTACACCATGCTTTTGAGCAAGCTCCAGCCCGCCAACGCATACAAAGCTGTTTCTGCCCTACTTATCCGCAGCGCCTGCTGCCATCCGCCCTTCGTGTACGAAGAACAAGTCGGTGAGCCGCTCTTGGTGCCGCACCAGCTTCTGCCGTACGCGTACCGCGTTTCCCAGCCGTGACTCCTTCCAGCCGTGGCCCAGGTCCTGCAGCAACAGGTGTGTGTACGCGAAGACGCTGGCGTCAAAGAGACCAGGCTTCTCTGCGCCGAAAAAGAACCTGTCGCTGCCCAAGGCGATTTCTAGCGCACGAAACGCCTCCTCTGCCTCTGAGTATATGGCTTCGCCATCTATCACTGCGCCGTACTTGAGCAATTCGGCTTCGGCGGCAGCGCGCAGCTGGCGCGCAATCGTGGCTTGAACGATGGGGTTACTGGAGGTAGTGGCGGTGTACAGTGGCTCGGCTATAGTCTCAAAGTTTGAGGTCAGGTAGACGGTATATAGCTAGAAACGCGTCAGTCATGCCAAATAGAACACAAGAAACTAATTACCCATGCGCGCCGTATGTTGTTGTCAAGCAGAGACATGTAAGCTTCGAAGCGGTGGTCGTCAGGGTCGTCCATCGCAGCAGGGGTTTGCTCCATTGCCCATTTCTGCAGCTTGTTCGAGGGAATGACTTGCGGCTGGTCGATGAGCGTGGCATGCGTTCCGCTCGGCAAGAGGAAAGGCAAAGCTCCGGTAGGAGAGGCATGATTGCTCGATGCGACAACGCGGAACTCGATATCACAGAACGTTAGGTATGCCTACAGGGGGCCTTATATCAGCACCCAGCTCTTGGTTTCCCGCGCTCTTCAAAACAGCCACGAACCTGCCACTTGAGACATCCGGGATTGAACGACGGATGGCCTCTCACCGCGCCATCTGGCGTCGCGAAGATGTAGAGAGCATGCTGGTGCCGGGCGCGGGGTGAACGAGCCGGGAGCTCGTTGGCGGCGTAGACTACGAGGGGAAATTTGTTGAAGAGGCGCTTGACCGGCGGCGGGATGGTGGTCAATGTTCGAAAAATGGATTTTCCCTCAGGCTGTTGGTCCGGTCGCTGGGGCTGCGATTGGTTGTTTGCGGGGCCAGAGTCATCGGATGGCATTGTCGGCGGCGCCCATAGCTGGGGTCATTGCCTTTCTATTTCCCAATTCTAAGCCCAGACCGGCAATTCTCCGGCTATATGCCCCGGACGGGGTGTGGGGGTAACGCCCAGGATTCCAGGATCCCCCCCCTAAACGTCATCTAAGAACGTGGCCTGCACGCATCCGAGGGGCTGTTCGTGAATTAGCCCAATCGTCCTTGATCACCTGTCAATTTAATATCGTTATTTAGTTTCGTTTAATGTTCAATTGAACAGCCCACCTCTTCTCTATCTATTATCCTAGGCCCATTCTTGATTCTATTTATCTAGTCGAACTCCTTACTGTTAGAGGAGTCGACAGGCTTGTCCCGGACTGTTCCGATTGCACTGTCATTTCTCTAGGCGCTTGGTTTTTGGCCAATCCATGCTTCGGGGGCTCTCCTTTTGTCAAGCAGTTCTGTCTCCGCTGGGATATCTCCTAAAGGGACAGTACAGATAGTGGTTAGGCTGAACAAACCATTAGGCAGTTGTTGCCTTCACAGTGCCGCCTTTGGAGTACAGTGTCTCTCCTCATTTCAAACAATCTCTTATACTAATCGTCTTATCTATAAGTAGGAACCGTTATCACAATGCGTGGCTAGCTGTCCGCCTAGAGCCGCCGTTCACATGCAGTTCCGTGGGCCGGAGTCCCTCAACCAATACGCAATACGTATCCGGACCTCGGCAAATCTCGTTACTGAGCACGGCCACCCGCATCCTCCCACAACGCCACACCATATTCCGACGGAACACACACAAGCCTCCCAGTGAAGCACAACGTGTAAGAAGCAGAACAAGCCGTCCTACGGTATATAAGTTGCTCAACTCTAGCACTCTTTCATCAAACAGCCGCCCGGCTAGCTCAATCGGTAGAGCGTGAGACTCTTACCACCCTTCTAGGGCGATATCTCAAGGCTGCGGGTTCGACCCCCGCGTTGGGCTCAATTCCCAATCAAATTCTTTTTTGCAAATAAATGTATATAGGAGGTGGTGGTGTTGATCTTTTGGCTGGCGGGCGAAACAACCGAAAAATTCACTTCTCGGTACACTTCCGAGGAATCGCCGAGCCCCAACTCTCCCGGGACACTAAGATTTAAATGGTTTTCCGTTCTACCTGCATCTTTTTGTACACTAAAAGTATTGATTTTGTTTCATAAATTCTCGAGAATGCTTTCTTGATATCTATTTCGGCTCAGATGGTTTCCGGATATCGGGTCGGCACGGCCGAGTCGCCGACCCGAGATTCCGACCACTGCCCGAAGCAGATGCATCCAGCGTGCCTGCCTCATTCGTAGAGAGGAAGACTTGACATGCGTATCTACCTACCTGCATGGGAGGTACGCGTGCCAGCTTGGCTGTACCTACACCTTCCAGCTTTCAGCCTGCGTACTTACAACATCCCAGCAGTACTGCCGTCAGCACCAGCAGCATGCTTGTTGGGCTCAGAGGACTGAGCATGTCTGGCTCCGTTGGACGAAGAGCAGCAGCAGCCGCCACCGCAAGAAGAGACCCCCAAGACCAACGCAAGTGGATACCCAGAAGTCCAGGACTTACCTCTATGGTGTACCTGCTGTAGACCTAGCCGATGTACCCAATCTTGACCTTACATGCATCAAGCACCAAGACATGTATACGCACCACCAAACGCTGAAGAAGAAAACCGCAACTGTAAAGAGCTGTGGGCCATTTTGTATGGTCGAGAATGGGCGGAGAGCGTATCATATCTTCCACAGTCTGCTACATTCGCGTCCCTAACGCTTGAATGAGGTATCTGTACTGTAGAATTAGGACAGGCCCCTCTCTTCTTGTTACTGCCGAAACTTGCTCAGAGATTTTGAAATTCTTTCTGGTACCATTTATTTAGGGCATCGGAAGGAATAGCAAGTAGGTCGGGATTGTCGATGAAATACATGGATTTTTGACAAGTTCCTATATAGTTGATGGGAATGGATATCCATTACTGATGTTGGATGTTCATAAAGCTGACGATATATAGGAACTACTGGAGCATATGCATTACTCAACAAGCTGGCTTCCATTGAATACCTTCATGGCATCCCCTAAACACAAACCATGCTCACATTCCTTCCGGTATCTGCATCATCCCCACCATGGTCCAACACCGCAAAAGCATACTCCCCCTTCTCCAACTCCCACTCACCCATCCGATTCACAACCATCAAAAACCGATCCACGTCCACCTCCAACCTCACCCTCCTCTTCTCCCCCACCCCAAGCTCCACCCGCTCAAACGCAACCAGCTGCCTCACCGGCTGCGTCACAGCCGACACGCGCTGCAGCAGATACACCTGGACGACGTAGGCGCCGGCACTGGCACCGGTATTCTCCACACTGACAGCGAACGCAACGACATCGCCAGCCGTGAACGTGCCACTCTCGCCCCCGCTCACTGAGCTACCCCCAAAGCCCCCAAGCGAGAACTCAGTGTACGAAAGCCCGTACCCAAACGGATACGCCGGCGCAGCATCCGCGTCCACATACCCGGCGCCCCACGCGCTGCCCTTCTGGTTATAGAACACGGGCAGCTGGCCCTCGAGCATCGGCACAGTAAGTGGGACGCGGGCGCCGGGACTGACGCGCCCGAACAGCGTATCGGCAATGGCATGGCCGCCGGCCTGGCCCGGAAAAAACGCATTCAGCACCGCGGCGGCGCGGGAATAGTACTGTGGGATCGCGAGGGGCCGGCCGCCCTGCAGCACGAGGATGACGGGCTTGCCGAGCGCGAAGACGGCGTCTGCAAGCGCTGTCTGGTTGGGCGATAGGCCGAGGGTGCCGCGGTCGCCGTTTTCCCCGTCGCTGGACCACGCGCTGCCCAGTGTGAGGATTATCGTGTCCGCGGAGCGGGCGGCGGTCCTGGCTTTTTGGATGGCGTCGGTTTGGTCGACGAGGTTCCAGAAGAGGAGGAGTTCTGCGTTGACAGAGTTTACGTTTTCGATCTTTTGGTAGGTGTTCCAGGCTTGGTACTCTAGACGGATGGTATGGGTTGCTCCTTTGCGGAACTTAAAAGAAGCGGATCCGGGAGGGGGGAGCGTGCTATTGACTGATGTATAAGCTCGGTTTTCGATGTTCGAAAGGATGTTGCCGCTTGTGGAAAGCCCAGTGTCTGACAGTAAAGCACCGTCGACGTAGAGTTTGGCGGTGGTGTTGGCACTGACGGCGACACCGAGCCAGCCATCAATATCGACATCCACGGGAACTGTCAGCTCTCCTTCCCAGATTGCACTAAAGTTATTTGACGGGAGCCTTGGTGGTGGGTAGAGACCCCAGTCAAGGACAGGCACTTCAAGCTTTGTGACCACTGGGTTGCTGAAATTTGTATCGGCGTAATAAGTTGCCTTAAGTCCTCCCTTGGAGCCATCTGCAGAAAGCAGATATTCTGGGATCGGATATTGAGCATTATACAGCCAAGTATTAGAGCCCCAGCTCGAAACTAACTCGCAATTAGAGCCCTGTGCTGCGAGCTCATTCAACACTGCTTGCCGCATGGTAGTAGAGTTGGCAACTGGATAGGCTCCCCATTGGCCGGAGTAGTCCCCATAGTTGAGTATATCACTAAATGGCCCTATCAATGCAATCTTTTGGATATTTTGTTCAGTAGGCTTAAGCGGTAAGGTATTGTTACGGTTCTCTAGCAGCACTATGCTCTTTTGCGCGGCTTCTAGTGTCAAAGAGACATGGTCAGCAGTCAACTTATTCGGATCTATGTCTCCTGGTATGTAAGGGTTGTCGAAAAGCCCTAGGTCGTATTTGACTTCAAGGATCTTCCGGACATGAGATTGAAGTGTGGTGAGAGGAACTGTGCCATTGGCTACCAGGTCGACGGTAGCCTGTGGCTTGTATATTAGTACATGGAAAGTCAGGTAGACTGATTCAATCACTCACGTTGAGGTAGATATCCAGGGGAAAGTCGTAGTACTGAATCATTCCTCCAGCATTGAACCATTGTTGTATGGTATCAGCATCTGAGCTAGAAACTCCATGCTGCGTCTGAAGCATCCTCATTCCTAAACTTTGTTAGCAATCCATTCAGTGGCATAGCCAAGCCGCTTACCGGTATCGTCTGCAGTCACAAATCCGTCAAAGCCCCAATCGGACAGAGCTTGATACAGCATGGGATGCACATGAGCGGGAACGTCATCAAGCTCATTATAGGACATCATAATGCCCCGCGCCCCGCCATTGTCAATGACAGCTTTAAACGGGACGAGTAGCTCTTGCTGGATCTCCCGATTACCACGCCCCATCCAAGGGGCCGCGTTACGTCCTGACTGTGGCGCGCCATACGCAGCAAAATGCTTTATGACTGGCACAACGGCATCGGGATCAGACCAGGACCCATTTTTGGACAATCCAGAGGCATAAGCCACGCCCATATGAGAAGTTAGGACCTTGTCTTCACCCCAAGCCTCTTGTGCTCGCCCAAAACGTGGGTCCTTTCCTAAATCCAAAACGGGGGACAAACAAGCGTGTACACCGATAGATCTTGCTTCTGATCCAATAGCACGGCCAACGCGGTGGACAAGATTGGTGTCGAAGCTGGCTGCCATGGCGATGGATTGTGGGAACATTGATTGTTTAAAAGACCCAACGCCGTGCAGGCATTCTCCAAAGTGCATAAATGGGATTTTGAGTCGTGACTTTTTGGCATTGAGTGCTTGAACAGAGTTGTAGTGAGATTTGTTGAGGGGATACCTATATCTTGTCAAAAATGTACCACGAGCTGAAGAAGTCTTACCAGTCGTGCATAACGCCAATGGAAGCATCCGGTGCGTGTCTCATGGCGTAATCTGGCTAACCTTAATATCGTTTGTCTTCTTGATGCGTAAATAGAATGCTTACCGTATAGACCATTATCTGAATTTGGGCCCACAACATTATCTCCAAACATTAGATGTAGTTGTAGAACTGGTGTTATTGTTAGATGTAATTTCAGAATTCAAACGGTGATTTTCACCAAGCTCCGGGACTGTCATTTCGGACACTAGTCCGTTAATGAAGGCATTTTTATCTGCCCTTGAAGATATACTCTGAGAACTGTCTACCTCATTCTGAGCGACGATTACAGCGGCTTCCAGGAGCAAGAAAGCCACGATATAAAGAAAAATAGATGGGACCGTGGACCAATTCATTGGACTTGGGAAATGGCAATTGACTTGGAAAACAGTGTACTTGGCAACAATTCAGATCACACAAAGCAGATAAATGCCCCATTCCTGGAGACCAAGCAACCCGAATGATATCATTCCCTGCGGGGATGTAGAGACACGACGTCAAACCAAGTCTTGACAGCAGGGAGTTTAGGCGGGGTGATAGTTCAGACGGAACAGCCACAGCCGAAGACTTCGTATAGTTGTAGGGAAGCAATCCGGTTATATGCAAAACGGAAGGGGTAGCCGGAACAAAGTTGTTGATGCCGTCACAACCCAGTCAACCACCTCTTTTGGAAGCGACAAGCGAACACAGAGCCGTCGCTCCTAGCAACAAGACGACGTCCGGTGCAACGTCAACGTCACCTGCCCATTTCCCCGCATCTCGTTTCACCACCCCGATTAGGCCTGCCCGCTACGGATACACCCGCCCGCAATATGGGAGATCGGCGATATTGTTTGTCTATTCTAACAAGGTGTTACGGCAGACTTTGAATGCGACTCGGGACGGCCTCTGTCACTGTTTGGTCACCGCTGCCGTAGACCCATGCATTAACCACCGCTTTGATGTCAGCCCATGGCAGGCCACAGACCCCTATTTATTATGTATAACAGAGATTTCTGCCAAGTGCACGAGGAATTTCTTGAGTCTTGGTCGCCATCTTCTTCAAAAGCAGCCCGCTCGGGGCCTGGTGTCCTCCGTCAAACTCATTCATGATGCCAGGAAAAACACCTATCAACAAGTTAGCCATCTTGCTTGCTGGAGTGGCAGCCTTCACGCCTACTCAAGCTGCCGACCCAGCCGAGTTTGATGTTTTAAAATACGTCGACCCGCTGATCGGTACAGCCAATGGAGGTAAGGAAGCCATGCTCCCTTCGCCTACCACCACTAACAACTGGAACCAGGCCATGTCTTTGCCGGCGCGACGCTGCCCTTTGGGATGGCGAAAGCGGTAGCCGACGTCACAGGCGATAACCAGGGCGGCTTCGCCAGCGACGGCAGCAAGATTATCGGCTTCAGCCACATGCATGACTCTGGAACCGGCGGCGTAGGATTCCACCTCTTGCATAACAAGCCGTCTACTCCATCTCGTGCAAAGCTGACAAGTATCTAGTCACCGTCTTTGGGAAACTTTCCTCTGTTCCCGCACCCAGGCTGCCCTGGGAATAACTTCGAGAGCTGCCAATACAACAAAGGGACCCGCGCAGTCAACTCCATCAATGGCTCGGAGAAGGCGTCGCCGGGATACTTTTCCGTCGTGCTCGAGACAGGCGTGCAAGGCGAAGCCACCGTAACAGAGCACACGGCACTGTACCGCTTCATGTTTCCCAATGGTACCAGCGGAACAGAAGAACCAGCGCAACCCCTGATCCAAGCAGAGCTGAGCGACCTTCCCAACAGCTTCCGCAAGGGCGAGATCGCAGTCGACAACGCCACAGGCCGTATCACGGGCAACGGAACCTTCGCTCCCAGCTTTGGCAGCGGGACGTACAACGCGCACTTCTGCGCTGACTTCTCCGGCGCTACCATTGTTAACACAGGCGTGTATCGCTACAACGAGGCCGGCCTCACGCCTAAGCGCCTGCTCGTTAACTCGCAGATGCAAAGCGACGGCCCATTCGGCGCGTGGGTCCAGTTCCAGCCGCCCAAAGGCGCGGGGCGCATCCTCGCACGCGTGGGGTTGAGCTTCATCAGCATCGAACAGGCGTGTCAGAACGCAGAGCGAGAAATTCCGGAGTTTGATTTCAACGGAGTGAAGAAGGCTGCAGAGGCGGCGTGGCGGACCAAGCTAGGCGTGATGACTATTGATGCAGGGAACGCTAGCACGGCGCTGCAGAAGGTCTTCTGGAGCGGTGCGTATAGAACGTTCATCTCGCCTCAGGACTACACCGGCGAAAACCCGCTTTGGACCAGCCAGGAGCCGTACTTCGACTCGTTTTACTGCATCTGGGACTCTTTCCGGACGATCCACCCGCTGCTGACGATCCTGGATCCGCAAGCCCAGACGCTGATGATCCGCAGCTTGCTCGACGTGTATCGGCACGAGGGCTGGCTGCCCGACTGCCGGATGAGGTAAGTCTTCCATGTTCAGTGCGTGTTGACCACTCACCTAACCGCCTGAACAGTCTCTGCAAAGGCTACACGCAAGGCGGGTCGAACGCCGACGTCGTGCTTGCCGACGCACTGGTCAAGGGCCTGACGGCCGACATCGACTGGGAGACGGCCTACGCAGCCGTGGTCAAGGACGCGGAGCGCGAACCCAAGAACTGGGACCTCGAGGGCCGTGGCGGCCTGCGCAGCTGGAAGAAACTCCACTACATCCCGGTCGACGACGTCGACAAAGACGGCACCGGCTTGCATACCCGCAGCATCTCCCGCACGGTCGAGTACGCGTACAACGACTTTTGCATCGCCCAGATGGCGCAGAAGTTTGGCAAGGCGGCCGATTATAAAAAGTACGCCAAGCGCAGCACGTACTGGAAGAATCTGTTCAAGGAGGACCTGGTAAGCGCCCTCTTTTCTTTTCTTTTCTCCTCACACGCTCTTCCCTCTACCACTCTCTTCCTCTGCTGCCAGTCAGTCAGTCAATTCTAATCTTACCAACCCCACAGCCCTCAATCCTCCCCACAGCCGCCTCGTCAAACTTCACCGGCTTCCTGCAACCGCGCCTCACGAACGGCAGCTAGGGTTACCAGGATCCCCTCCTTTGCAGCCCGCTCCTTGACTTCACAGGCTGCTACCTCACCTCGACAGGACACGAGACGTACGAAGGCTCAGCCTGGCTCTACACGTTCTACGCGCCGCACGACATGGCGTCGCTGATCCAGACGCTCGGCGGCGCCAAGCCCTTCGCCCGGCGCCTGCTCGCGCTGCACCGCACGCCAGGCCTGCTCTACATGGGCGACGAGCAAGCGTTCCTAACCGTGTACCTCGGGCACTACGCGGGGCGACCGGACCTGGCATCGTCGCTCGCGCACCGTTACATACCGCACCAGTTCAACGCGACGCGCGCGGGCATCCCGGGCAACGACGACAGCGGCGCCATGGGCTCGTTTGCCGTCTTCGCCATGCTAGGCCTGTTCCCGGTCGCGGGCCAGGACGTCTACCTCGTCAGCGCGCCCTTCTTCCGCGAAGCCAGCATCACGAACCCCCTCACGAATCGAACGGCCACGATTAGAGCCCGCAATTGGGACCCCAAGAGTAAGGCCAGGTTCGTCGTCGAGGCGTCGCTGAATGGCGAACCTTGGTCTGCGAATTGGATCTCGCATCGGTTTTTTGCGGAGGGCGGCGTGCTGGAGCTGGTGCTTGGGGAGACGAAGGGGTCGTGGGGGACGCAGGAGGCGGACTTGCCGCCGAGCTTGAGCTTGTAGGTTGGTAGGTAGGTTGGGTGGTGGGTTGGTGCTTGGCTATGGTGGAGGTACTGGTGGTGGTGAGACAGCCGAGTGATGGCTGAGACGGCCGAGACGGCCGCGGCGGCGCGTGTTTGGGGCTAGGTCCCCGGGCAGGTGCAAGGTAGTGGGTACAGGAGGACTTGTCGGCGGTTGCGCAACGCGGGGGAGCGTTTTGGGCGGCGGCGGCGGCGGGGTCCGTAGTAGCTCACTCGACTCCACTGCAGCGCTTCCCGCGAGGCACGCTACTGCCTCGAATGATCTTCAGGGCCCCTGCCTCGCCCACCTCTTACAATTCGTAAACTGTATTCTACACTTTTCCACGCAGACACGCACACACACGCGATCGGCCATCCATCCAACCTATGCTCAGGCCCAGCAGGGTAGGTATGACATCAACGATGCGCGCGCCCATCAGTGAGGCGCGCATTACCTAGCCTTGCGCCGCAGGTGCCTCCCTACGCCATACGCACTACGTAGGAGGTAGGTAAGGACGCGATCGGCTGCAGTCGCCTGTGCGTCGCGCTGGCCCATACCTATACTATAGGCTGCATGCGACATGAGCGCCCTAGGTACCTCAGGTTTTCTAGAACTATTGCCACGGAGCCGGAGGCTGGGCCTTGCGGCGTGAGGCGAGGCGATGCGCTGCACGTGCTGCTGGTCGATGGTGAGGCGAGGCGAGGGGGAGGGGGGATTATAGCTCAGCTCAGCTCGGCGCTGTGGACGTGGTGGGTGGGTGGTTGGCCTTGATGAGCTTGACCACCAAGAGGTACATATGGGTTGGTGGTGGCTTCTTCTTCTTCGCTGTGGCATGCCTGCTTGTTTGCCACCGGCAGCAGCAGCCCCACCAGCAGTTGGAAGGTTTCTAGAACGGCCAGCCTTGCGCGCGTACCATCAGCGGTGGCTCGTTCGTGAGGGACCCGTCGTGCCGTCGACCATTTTTCCTCAGGCACTGTAGGGAGCCCGTCTCGGCCGAGTGGGGAGTGAGCGACGTTTGATGTCACGTCTTCCGCTCCTCAGCTCCCAAGCTTACAGCGGAGGGGGTCCCTGCGCTCCGCCCCGCTGCGGGCCTGCTTCAAGGCCCTTCCCGCCCCATACCTACAAGGTACCTACCCATCCCCCACGCCGAGTAGCCCCCGCGCACACGCCCCGACCTCGTCACCACAATGCCCGGAGATGGAGTTGGAAAACCATCACCCCACCGCGCTCACGCCACTCCACCAGCACCCAGAAGGCGCCTCCTCGCACCGCGGGCGGCCCGCCTCTCTCCCTCTCCTTTGGCATATATACCTCGCCGAGGCCCGCTTGGACCACGGCGGCACAGCGCGCGCGCAGCCACTCGTCGGTCTGCGACATGCTTGGCGCAGCGCAGCGCGGCGCTGCGTTGCGGCTCCGGCTCCGGCTCCAGCTCCAGCGCCTGTGCCCGTGCGGAGCCAAGAGCTGCTCCGTTTAGAAACGAAGGCGCTCGGACGGTGGCGGACTGGGCTAGGGGGTGCACGGATGGTTGAGGGGCACGGTGGGTGCCATAGAGGGGTGAGAGGGGTTAAGAGAGGAGAGGTGGAGCAAGCAATAGAGACTTGGCAAAATACCGAGGCTGGACGGCACGGAAAGATGTATTGGAAATAACGCTTGACGGAAGAGACGGCATCCACCTACCGATGCTGTACCTACCTGCGAAATATTTTTGGAATCGACGCGTAAGAGGAGTGGCAGAGTCCTACGAGTGTGGTCGAGATAGAGTAGGTCGGACCTGCGACACCCTGCCCTACAACGCAATGCGTTTTGCTCAGAAAAGCAGTTGCTGGAGGCGGGTGGCTGCTGGCCGACGGCACCGGAAGTGAAACGATTCCGGCTTGATCAACTGCGCCCCCTTTTCCCGGCGATATGTATAGCAATTGCCGGGGACGAGGAGAACTCCTTGTCCACGTTTCGGAGCATTAGTCATGGTCCAGATACGAAGTCGCTACGGCGTCGCTAACAAGTAGACACCACGGCCGTAGGGCAGAAGAAGCTTCCATGGAAGCGGCCAGCCTTGCGGGGACTGGGATGGCCCAGGGCCGCGTCGGATGGTGGCTACCCGCCAGTGTGGCTCGACAGGGCAGGCGGCCGGCGCCATGGAAGAGGCGTCCCGGATGTCGTGATGCGTTGTGCTGGCTCTATTTGGCGCAATGTGGCGTCGAGTAGGGTAGCAGCGGGGCAGACCGTGCGTTGCGAGTATGTAATATACTAGCTGGCTAGAGAGAGAGGCTACTATGGGAAACGAGATAGTAGATGAAACGACAGATGAGCAGCTCCCCAGTGACGTAGCGAGGTGGGGAGGTGTTTCGCGCGAGGGAGAAGCGAAGGGCGGTTCAGCCCTGTGAATGGTGATGTCGGGACAAGGCAATCTTACATACGATAAATCCTTTGTTGGTCCGGGCTTGAATTGTCGCATGGGCGCGTGACGGAGAAAGAGGTGGAGATGGCAGAGGAGGAGCGGAGAGAGAGTACGTAGGAAGGAAGAGAGGGAGAGAGAGTAGCCGATTGCGGAGAAGAATAGCTTGGCCGTGTGTGATAGCTAGCTAGTGCGTGATGAGATAGGTGAAAAGGTAGAGAGATAGGCAAGGACACGAGAAAGGCAGGCGGAGGGCGAATTGCGATGGGCAAGGGTTTCTCGTTGCACCTCAGATCTCCCGCGGCTAGCGGACCCTGCTGGGCCGATCGGTGGGCCGTGGGCGGTTGCCCGATTGGCCTGCAATCCCACGAGATTGCTTTTGATTGCACCAGCCAACGAGCCGCTCTCTGCGCCCAAATCTTTTCCAACGGCTGCTCATGCGACCTCCCACTTGGGGGCACAAATGACTATCACCAGCTGATCCAGGACCCCTTTCGGCCAGCGCTTGTCGCAGCTCTCACTCAGGCCGTGTCATCGCCCGAGCAACGCGCATTCTCCGCCGTCATGCACACTGCCTACTGTTCGCCCGCAGCGGCCTCCTCGCTCGCCAAATGCTGCAGCAATACACTAACAGAGACGGCCAGACTCCAGTGCGAGGACCCGCCGGATATAAACAGCTGCACGCGACATCCTGCGACTGTGCCCTGCCGCCCTCCCCCCTGTGCTCCGTGCTGCGAACCCCCAAGATCAGCAAATGAGCGCATTGCACCCCAAAGTGGAGCCTCCGCCCGCCTTCGACGAAGCGCGCGCCCATCAGTCAGCGGCTAGGTACGAGCGGCCACCTCGAGCCTCAGGAGCCCGTCTTGTACCTTGTACTCCGTAGCTGCTACTACCGTCGTTACCTGCGTGCCTCGAGCCGCCGTCACTCGTTCCACCTCCCCGACACTCTCTTACGCTCCTCCGCTCGCTACAGTCTCAACGTCGGCGTCAGCAGGGGTCTCTTGTGTCATTTCGCAACGCCCCGACCGCCTAAATACGTCCTAGCCGTTTGGACCACCGCCTCTATTCAGCCTGCTCCTTCGTGACGGCTTTCCTATTGAAGACCAAGGGGCCAAGGCTTGCTACGCCGCAGCACTCTCATCTATGCCCGACCGCTCTCCCTCAATTGCGTGTCTCACAAAACAAACTCTCACCGTCCTGCTCCCGCTAGGGATTCCCTGAGGGTGACCATGGCCGACACTTCCGCGCGGCCGATAAGCTTCTTGCCTTCAATAAAATGTTCGGATTGTGGCGTCGAGATCGAAATCTCGAAGATGGGTGACCATGTCTGCGGCACCCAAGCTTCCGCCGCGCCAGTCCCTCCTCCGCAAGCTCCGCGGAACAAATCGACAAAGAGCTTCTTCGACAAGGCGGCTTCGTTGACCAGTAGCATGCGCGGCTCCGGCGGGCTTTTGAAGTCCAGTCGGAGCGCGCAGCAGCCGCCGCGCATCGACACTGGTGCCGCGAGTAAGTGTCCTCGCTCTCGTGCGGCGCGTATTTCATGCTGACTTCTTCGCAGACAAGCCGTTCCTTGGAGTCGACACGTCTACGCCCGTCGCCAGCTCAAACTACTCAAAAAGCGCTGCGTCTTCTGACATCCGCAGCAAATCGCCTCAACAAAGCTACAGACCGCCCTCCCATGAACTCTTCACCAAAGATGGTGGAGTCCAGCAAGAAGATTTCAGCCCCGAGGAACCGAGGCCGCTTCCGAGCCACAACTACCCTGAGTCGAATCCTCTCTTTGCGCCTCGAAGCCCGAGACCAGACGGTGGTAACAGTGTGATGGAGAGAATGAACGGCCTTACGTCGGGTCCCTTCGATGCACGACCAAAAAGCCCGTTTGGCGCAAGGCCAAAGAGTCCGTTCGATTTACGACCAAAGACTCCCCAGGCAGAACCTGTGGAGGACGAAAAGTCGGCGCACAAGAGGACGACCACGTTGAACAGCTTCAAGAATCACTCGCGCACTCGCACCTCAAGTCGGGCCAGCAACATGACGCAAGAACGGCCAGGTACGCAACATTCAGACAAGTCGAGATCGTCAGTCCGCTCAAATGGCCCCTCGGGGCTGCCCGAAAATCCAAAGAAGCCAGGACCGCCCCCACGGCCGGCAAGGCCCGGAACCGTGGACACTTTCCTGGAAAAGCTGCAAGAGGAGGGCAATCATGCCACTTTGGCTGGCGTTAGCTCGACTTTTATGGTGCAGAGGAAGGAAAGCCTTGGGGGCGCAAGAAACCCCTCCGTTTCTCTCCCGAGGCGGCCCTCAGAGTCTGGCCCGCAGCACATCCCCCAGAAGCCTTCCGTGCCGCGAGTCGACACACTTCCCGAGCCACCCCAGCCGGCACAAGAAAACGCAAAGAGATTTCCGCGCCGGACTTCCAGCCGTAGCAACATCAGCTTCAAGAACGACACGCAGAACGCGCCGCCATTGCCCGGTCCTGCTGCAGAATTCCGCCTGCGGAACCTGTCACACGCACCGAGCGAGTCGGCTTCTTCGGAAGATTCTTCCGGATTCGACGGACGCAGCAACAGCGGCCGTTCGACTCCCCCTACTTCGGCTGGTTCCAGCCCGAACAAGGACTCTTACGTACCACAATGGGACAGGCCGGCCCACGAGCGCAAGGCTTCGAGAAAGGTCTCGAGTGCTGGCTTCGACGGCCGCAGCGATGCCCTTCGCTCTCTTAACTCCAACTCCCGCACCCCCACCGAAACCCACCGGAAGAACTCCAGCGTCAGCCGCCCCGCCAACCCTCAATATGTCTACGAGGCATTCCGTCCTCCGCCGGCGATGCCAGCTGTCGGTGAACCTCCCGAGTCTCCCATGGACCCTGCCATCCAGCGTGGTCTCTTCAACCCTTACCGCCCCCCTGAAATGACCGCCACCGAGATTCAGTCAGTTGGCGACAACAGCAGCAACGCACCCCCGATGCCTCCAGTTCCCGCCGAGGCCCCGCCACTCGCCAGGCCCCGGGACGCATCGGTCAGCAGTGGCAAGCGGCCTGGAACCAGCAACGGCCAATCCAAGGGCTCTTGCCGCGGTTGCAACGAGCCCATTATCGGCAAGTCCGTCAAGGCCGCTGACGGCCGCCTGACGGGCCGCTGGCACAAGCAGTGCTTCGTTTGCCGGACTTGCGCGTCGCCCTTCGCCACCGCGGACTTCTACGTGCACGAGAACCACCCGTACTGCGCGCAGCACTACCACCAGCTCAACGGTAGCTTGTGCCGTGCCTGCAACACGGGCATCGAGGGCGCGTACCTCGAGACGGAGAGGCGACAGAAGTTCCACCCGAGGTGCTTCAACTGCCGCACGTGCCGCATGCCTCTGCGCGACGACTACTTCGAGGTCGGCGGCATCCCGTACTGCGAGCGGCACGCGTGGCACGCCGCAAGGGGCCCCGGCCCTGGCGGACGTGGCATGGGTCTCGGTCCGCCAAGGCAGAATCCTGAGCGGAGGAGGACGAGGTTGATGATGATGGCCCCGATGGGCCCGCAGTATTGAACCGGGGGCGGAATTAAAGGAGTCTAGGCGTTGACGACTGTCTGATCGCCTACCTTTTTCTTCTCAACTCCACGTCATGCACGACGGGGCCATGCCGGCACGAGTGGCAACCATCCTTTCTCTTTTCTGATTTCTATTACTACGACACGATATGATGGGACGCCCTAACTATTCTACACACAATCACACAATCACACAACGCAGTCCCTAACCACAACACCCTCGCTATCTCGACAAACCCCTCTCCTCTGTTGAATGGCTCTTCTCTCTCCCGGTTACCGAAACGACTGACATGTTTCTATCGTCGCCGAAACGACCTCGTTTGGCATCGACCGGGTCCCTGCCGTTCTTTCGCTGGCGGCAGTTTATTTGTTTGGCAATCTCCTTACACTAAACTTCCGTCTCTCTTCTCGTCATCTTTCATCTCTGCAAGCTCGAACATTTTCCCGCCTTTCTCCTGATACCCATTTACTTCGCTTCGAGCATGTCGTATTTTCCTCGTGCTGGGTGGGCTGGGCTAGATTGGAAGGATCTGGATATACCCTTTCCGTTTCCTCTCGTTCTTCGGATTCCTGATTTCGTCAAGAAAGGGCTTTTTTTTCTTTAGCTCTGCCCTGCTCGGCACTGCGCCGTCGCCACCTACTATCTATCTCTTATCTCTGCCTCTGTCTCTGTTACTGTTGCTGCCTCGTTGTCGTCATCATCCTCGTCGCCGCCGTTTTGTTGATCGTTTTTGTTCATGCACGCACTCACCTTGTTGTCATTGTTTTTTCTGCTTTGGAAAAGTCTCGGCTTGTGAGCGTTTGTCTGTTTTCGTTGCGATTTTCTCTGGTGTCGTGGCTTATCGTTTTATGGTGCCGTCCGGTTTTCGGTTCTCTGGCGTCGTCATTGTTGTTGTTGCCGGCCAGCTGTTTTTGCGCGTGCCGGCTCGTCGCATCTCCCTTCCCTTCCTCATTCTTCTCGCGCTCTTTTTCGGCTCTCGCGATAATGTGTATTGTTAGGCCCTGTCATGATGGCCACGGCCCCCTGGGGAGGAACTCTTCACACTGCACTGGGTACTGCTTACCTGAGTGGCGGTGGTGGGAGTTCTTTTAGGCTAGGGGGGAGGACGCGGGCGCCAATGCGTTACTACCGGGTATGTAGGTATGTAGTTTGTAGTGTTTGCTCTGGAGGGCGTGCGCTTGCGTTGCGGGCGCACGCGCGAATGAACGAGTGGATTGAATGGTTAGGCTGTGCTCGGGTGTTGTTGAGTGCGTGAATGTGTGTGTGTGTGGTGTTGTGTGCACAGTGTTTGGAATTTCCAAGCCCCTAGAAGAAGAGTAGGTAGGTAGGTATATACATACATCAAATGCCTCGGGTTCGAGTGGCCTCAATCGCAATAATCCTACATACAATAGCCAGCCATCTAGCCATCACTCACTCGCCCACGGGGAGTCCAACAGACCCTAACAACCTACGCACGTGGGCGCGGCGTGCGGCACTAGATGGCGCGCTACTGTGTGCACTAGGTACCTACGGTACAGTACGCGCCAAAGGAAGGGCGCGAGGGAGCGGCGGCGCACCCTCGACCTCCACGCTTCACGCTTCACGCTCCACGCTTTCATCCATCCATCCATCCATGCAGTGCGCGCAGGCGCCGACCTCGGTATTTATCGATATGATTTGGTTGGATGAGACAGGACGATAACGTTGAGATGGGGGTGGGGGTGCTTCTTCACCGCCAGGCACGTATGCGCACAGTACCGGTACACTACTCGGTACGGAAGCACAACGCAAAGCAAAGCAGCGTACGTAGCCAGGTACATCAGCACGAAAAAAAAGCGCGCGATAACTACACAGCGAAGCGCCTATGTACGTGGTAGGCATTACATAGCAGCTAGTTGTTGGTTGGCTGGACAAGACTGTCGACGAGAGGTGTGGGTGATGGGTGGATGGAGCAGCGGTTGCCGAGGGCCGGATCGTCAGGGCCCGTCAGGCCGTGAGGCCGTGATCGGTGGCAGCGATTGGCGACTGGCAGGGTCCCGGTCTTGGATGCATGTGTCGGTGTGCAAGCGCGTGCGGTCTGGTACAATACGTACTCAATAGGGCAGGGGAACAGCGGGGCAGCCAGCCGCGCGCAGTAACTACTCTAGTGACATGCGTGCGTGCGTGCGTGCATGCATGCATGCGGTGGAAGGTGGAGATTACATACCTAGGCTAGGTCCTCCGCGGGCGCGGCACGCGATAAGAGAGGTTCGCGAGGGTTGGCTTGGTTTGGTTGCTTGGACGGCCTGGCGCGCGAACGGGACTGAGAGAGTCTGGAGCTGAGCGGAGCTGAGCTGGGGTGGAGCAGACCAAGTGGGGCGCCTATGTATGTATGTATGTATGGGGTGGAACTTGGGGTCGCTCCAATTGGGGTAGAGGCGGAGCGGCCTGGCCTGGTGGCCGGCGCTTTGTGTAGCTTGGTATAAATACGTAGGCGGGCCTGGTGCCTGAGGACCCTCTTCTTCCTCTTCTTCCGCAGCCATTGTGATCCAACGCTCTTCTGTACACGCAGCCAGACTCTCGCGCTTCTTTCGGGCCATTGCCCTGTCGTCAAGATTTTCTCCAATCTCCTTAACTCGTGAGTAGCTTCTGCCAATATCGTGTGTATCATGGATGAACGCAGTGCTGATGCCGCCGCCTCCTCCAGCGTCCACCACCCTTTTGCCGGCCGACGCTCTGCGCCCTCTGGTGGAGCATCGGAAGCCCCGTACAGGAAGTAAACGCAGCCCGGCGCCGTAGCACGCACACACAAGGAATCAAAGAACCAAATCAAGTAGCAAGAGAACCGAGTCGCCATGGCACCGCACGCGGACCAAGACGTCGGCCAGGCGAGGGGTGGTGCAGGAGACGGACGCAGCCGCAGCCAGGAGGAGCTGTTCCTCGTCGACTCGCCCAATGTCGAGTACACCGACACTGAGATCAAGAGCAAGTACACGTACCGCACGACGTCGATCGCGCGCAATGCCGACGGCCGCATGGTCGCCACCCCGCGCGCCACCGAGTACGACTTCAAGGTCGAGCGCAAGGTGCCGCGCGTGGGTATGATGCTTGTCGGTTGGGGCGGCAACAACGGCACCACCGTCACCGCGGGCATTATTGCCAACCGCCGCGGCCTGGAGTGGGAGACGCGCGAGGGCAAGCGCGGCTCCAATTACTATGGCTCCATGATCATGGCCTCGACCATCAAGCTGGGCACCGATGCCGCCACTGGCAACGAGGTCAACATCCCCTTCCACCAGCTGCTGCCTATGGTGCACCCTGACGACCTGGTCGTTGGCGGCTGGGACATCAGCAAGATGAACCTTGCCGATGCCATGGACCGCGCGCAGGTCCTGGAGCCCACCCTCAAGGGCTTGGTGCGCAAGGAGATGGCGGCCATGACTCCCATGCCTTCCATCTACTACCCCGACTTCATTGCCGCGAACCAGGAGGGCCGCGCCGACAATGTGCTCCCTGGCTCCAAGGCCAGCATGGCCCACGTCGAGCAGCTGCGCAAGGACATTCGCGACTTCAAGGCCGCGAACAACCTCGACAAGGTCATCGTGCAGTGGACCGCCAACACGGAGCGCTACGCCGACCTCGTGCCAGGCATCAACGACACGGCGGACAACCTGCTCAAGGCCATTGAGGCGGGGCACGCAGAGGTGTCGCCATCGACCGTCTTTGCGGTTGCGTGTATCCTCGAGGGCGCGCCGTTCATCAACGGGTCTCCCCAGAACACGTTTGTGCCGGGAGCGGTGCAGCTGGCCGAACGTCACAACGCCTTCATCGGCGGTGACGACTTCAAGTCTGGCCAGACGAAGATGAAGTCGGCGCTTGTGGACTTCCTCATCAACGCGGGCATCAAGCTCACGTCCATTGCGTCGTACAACCACCTCGGCAACAACGACGGCCGCAACTTGTCCAGCGAGCGCCAGTTCCGCAGCAAGGAGATCAGCAAGTCCAACGTCGTGGATGACATGGTGGCTGCGAACTCGGTGCTGTACAAGGAGGGCGAGCACCCCGACCACACCGTCGTCATCAAGTACATGCCGGCGGTTGGCGACAACAAGCGCGCCCTCGACGAGTATTACGCCGAGATCTTCATGGGTGGCCACCAGACCATCTCCATCTTCAACGTGTGCGAGGACTCTCTGCTCGCGAGCCCGCTGATCATCGATCTCGTGCTCGTCACTGAGATGATGACGCGCATCCAGTGGCGCGCGAGCGGAAAGGAGGAGTACGCCGGCTTCCACTCTGTGCTCAGCATCCTGAGCTACATGCTCAAGGTGAGTTCTTGCTGCTCCAACTGATTAATATACACCGGAATGACTGACTAACCTTCTGCAGGCGCCCCTCACCCCGCCCGGCACGCCCGTCGTCAACGCCCTCGCGAAGCAGCGCACCGCGATGACGAACATCTTCCGCGCGTGCGTCGGCCTCGAGCCTGAGTCGGATATGACGCTCGAGCACAAGCTGTTCTAGGCTTCTGACTTTAGTGCGTGCTGCTGCTAACATCGGCGCGTGCTTGGTGGCTGGATGAGCGCGCACTTCAACATGCGTGCGATGTTGTTGTTTTACTTTGATCCTCACTGTAGTCGCTCTTTATAAATAGGTTTGCCAAATTGCGTGGGTGTCGTTGAAGTGCCGTGAGGTCGTGATGCTGCCTGCCTAATGAAGATGCGTACTTGCCTTTCTTGTCCCTGCTTGGGAGTCGCGCCTGCCCTTCCCGTTACTCTTGCCTTCCTCTTACTCTTGCTTTCTTGCTGCTTTTCTTTCACTTTTTACCTCAGTCATTCTCCCTTCATACCTTACCTCCAGTCTCTTACCTCTCAAAACGTCACTGCTCAGACCTCATTCCTCAGTGCAACATCACAGCATAACCCACAATGCCTCCTGCGGCTGTTGGCCCGGAGAGACCTCCTAGCATGCCCCAGTCTTGCCCCCATCAAGAAGTCCCGTCTTCGACTTTGCCGGCCGACACTCCCACTACCCACGCCTTCATCCCTGGCGACGCCTTTACGCCCGCCGAGATCGCCATCGCCCTGGAAGAACGGGATGCAACACTCCGGCAACCATTCATACCGCCGCCAGGCGAGCGACCGTACGAAAAAGTCTCACTGGATGCGCTGATGCCGACACAGCGGGGCGTCGTGTTCAAAGGAAGAGTTCGCAACCTCCAGACGCTATCAACGCGGGCAGTGAGCCAGGCGCCAGGGGCAGCGAAGGGTTGCCTACGCGTGGTGATAGGAGATGAGGGCGGCGCCGTGATGTTGCGTCTCTGGCATGCCCAGGCCGCTTACCCACTACGTCTCGGCCAGCTGCTCAAGGTCTGGACGACGCATGTTGCGCATGCGCCGGTGGTGACGTATGCGCTTGCGCCTGAGAACGCGCCGCTTGTCACTAGCATCTTCCCTGAGCGGGACCGTGGTTGCCATGTCCAGCTGCTGGAGAGCATGGTGCATGAGAAGGATTGCCATGTCCCGTTGGGCTGCGCAGAGGCGGCTAGAAGTGGTAGGCCTGGTCAGATTCCCGGACTAATGGGCCTTGCGACGTTTGCAGAGGGAGGGTGTGAGGTGAGAGGCGCGAGGGTATTGGTTTGCGTTAAAGGTATCGGGGCTAGAAGGACAGGTATGTGGAATTGGTGTTGAGAGGATTAGGAGAGAAGAAAGTACTAATGTTGATCAGTGATGTGTAAAGACACCACCACCGCAACTACCGTCGCCTGCCGTGTCTTCGACAACACAACTTCGGCCACTCTCGACCTGTGGGATGTTAGCGTCGACTCTACGTCGACCTGGGAACCGCACAAAACGATTCTTCTCCTGACAGAACCCGTTTGCAGTCGTGTCAACAACACCAACGTGACCATACAACTCAAGATCAACAACTCTACGACCATCGACATCGACCCACTCCTCCCGGATGTCCGCCGCCTCCGCAGTCACGCCCAGCACATCCAGCAGATCGACTCCCCCGCACCCCCTTTCCCCTCCAACATCTTTGACATGCCAGCCATACATGCCGCTCTGGCCGTCAGCCCTATCGGCCTCGACTTAAGCAGGAGCAGGGTGCCAGCTCTTCCGCCGCTCCCACTCCACAGCCTCGCTGACCTCCACGCCGTCGCTCGTGCTTACCCGCTCCGCCCATCTCTGGCTTACGCCTCATTGCTGCTGCCCTCCCCAGAACTTACGGCTCTGCACCGCCGCGGGGCTCTCGCTATCGGCATTTGCCCGCGCTGCAGCCTTACGCTGCGAGCTAATGCTCTCGAGGCATCCTGTCTGCGCTGCACTGCACCTGCCATCCCCTCCAGCACCGCCAGCACCGGTGCATTTTCCTCCACTGCTAGCAGTGCGACCGCATTGCCTGATCACACTCCTACCACGGCAACAACAGCGTCAGCCGTACCACTGCGCCTCAACCCGCGCATACTCGGCCCGTTGGTCGACGAGACTGGCGCGCTGGAGCCCGGCGCACCGGCTGTGGCGGACGAGGCGTGGGCACAGTTGCTGGGGCGGAAGGTGGAGGAGGTGGTGCGCATGAAGGGGGATGAGTTGAGGGCGCTGGAGGAGAGGATTGCGTGGGTGAGAGTGACGGTGTTGATGGGGTGGTGGGGCGGGGATGAGGAGGAGGGAGGGGATGGAGGAGGAGCGGGAGCGGAAGAGGGAGGGGAAGGAACGGGGAGGTTGGTGGTGTTGGCGGTGAGGGTTTGATAGATATATATCTATTCAATGGAATGAAGTCCGAAGGGTGGATGACTGGACCGAGAGTCGGTGCGCAGATCGGCCCGCCGTCGACCTCCGCGATCGCTCTTGGCTCTGCCGCCGGTCATTCGACAATTGATCTTTCTTGAGCAATTGTCACACAGCATCGCCACCTAAGGGAAAACGAAACATACAATGGCCTCGCACACTGCTTCTCAGAGATATCTCAGCACAAGGGGTGGATCCTACGATGTACGCCCCTCGGCCCCCCGCAACTTTGCCCCGCCGCCAATTGCAATGCGCTGACTCAACCCCCACCAGCTGTCCTTTGAAGATGTCGTCCTCAAGGGTCTCGCCGCCGACGGTGGCCTGTTTATCCCCGAGGAGATCCCCTCGCTGCCCGCCGACTGGGCCTCCAAGTGGAAGGACTACACGTTCGAGGAGCTAGCCTACGAAATCTTCTCGCTCTACGTTTCGTCGACCGAGATCCCGGCCGCCGACCTGAAGGACCTGATCAAGCGGAGCTACGCGACGTTCCGGGCAGCAGACCGCACGCCGACAGTGACGCTCGACGAGAAGCGCAACATCCACCTGCTCGAGCTGTTCCACGGGCCGACGTTCGCGTTCAAGGACGTCGCGCTGCAGTTCTTGGGCAACCTGTTCGAATACTTCCTCATCAGGCGGAACAGGGGCAAGGCCGAGGGCGAGAAGGAACACCTTACGGTTATTGGCGCTACTAGTGGCGATACCGGCTCCGCTGCTATCTATGGCTTGCGCGGCAAGAAGGACGCCTCTGTCTTCATTATGCATCCGAAGGGCAAGGTCAGCCCGATCCAGGAGGCGCAGATGACGACGGTGCTGGATGCCAATGTGCACAACCTTGCCGTTGACGGCACATTTGACGACTGCCAGGACTTTGTCAAGGCGCTCTTCGCCGACGAGGAAATCAACAAGACGCACCGACTGGCAGCGGTCAACTCGATCAACTGGGCGCGCATCCTCGCGCAGATCACGTACTACTTCCACGCGTACTTTTCGCTGGTGCGGTCACCGGCCTTCACGTCGGGCGACCACGTGCGGTTCGTCGTGCCCACGGGCAACTTCGGCGACATCCTGGCCGGCTACTTTGCGAAGCGCATGGGCCTGCCGGCCGAGAAGCTCGTCATCGCCACCAACGAGAACGATATCCTCAACCGCTTCTGGCGCTCCGGCTACTACGAGAAGAAGGAGGTGCACGGGCGCGCGGCCGCCGGCGGCCTCAAGCAAGACGGCGCCCAGGCCCACGCCGACGGCGTCAAGGAAACCCTCTCCCCCGCCATGGACATCCTGGTCAGCAGCAACTTCGAGCGCCTGCTCTGGTTCCTGGCCTACGAAGTCTACGGCGGCGCCGCGAGCAGCAGCAGCAGCGTGGCGGACAAACGCGCCATTGCCGGCGAGAAGGTCAAGACGTGGCTGGCCGAGCTCAAGAGCAACGACGGCTTCGGCGTCGAGAGCGCTGTCCTCGCCGCCGCCGCCAAAGACTTCGAGTCCGAGCGCGTGTCTGACGCCCAAACCCTCGAAACCATCAAGCACGTCTACACGACCACGGCCAGCCAACAAGGCCCCAAAGCCAGTGCGCGCAACGGCACCGCCGGCACCCTCTCCGCGGCGGGCAACTACATCCTCGACCCGCACAGCGCCGTCGGCTTCGCAGCCGCGCTGCGCAGCGCCGAGCGCGCCCCGGCCCCTGCCCACCATATTGCGCTCGCGACGGCGCATCCGGCCAAGTTCTCGGCGGCGGTCGAGAAGGCGCTCGAGGGGCAGGAGGGGTTCCGGTTTGAGGATGTTCTGCCCGAGCAGTTTGTCGGGCTGGAGCAGAAGGAGAAGCGCGTTACGACGGTGCAGAAGAGTGAGGGGCTGGCCGGGATTAGGGAGCTGGTGATTCGGAGGGTGCGGGAGGAGAAGAATGCTGCGTAGGTAGGTTGGTGCTGTTATGTCGTTTTGGGGTTTGGGGTGATAGACTGCCTTTGCATGGATGGGCTTGCATGTGCACCTCTGTGTGAGAGAATCGAGACGTTTGGAGGCTGCATAAAATGGTTCAGGTATACATACATATACACACACGCTCGCGCTCTAAACGAAGAACGTTTTAGATGAATGGCACCACATACATGATTCCGAACCCAGCACACTAAAGCAGGTATAATTACTCTCTCTTAACCCCTAAAACCTACCCCACCCTAGCCCTCCTCACGATCCATATCATCACGGCCGCGCTTACCAGCTCCCCGCCTGCCACGCAACACACTGCCCTTCTTGCCCCTGCCCTCATGCAAATCCTTCATCTCCCTCACAGCAACACGCTGGGCCTCGCCCACGCGCTCACTCAGGACCATGACCTCGTCCTTCTGGACCAGTTCCTCGGCCAGCTTCTTGCCAAGGGCCGTCTCGATCCGCAGCCAAATCTCGACGTCGTACTGGGTGACGAGCGAGATGGCCTTGCCCGACTTGCCCGCGCGCGCCGTGCGGCCCACCCGGTGCACGTACGTCTTGCTGTCCGGCGGCAGGTCGAAGTTCACCACGTAGCTGACGGACGGGATGTCGAGGCCGCGGGCGGCGACGTCGGTCGCCACCAGTATGTCCCGCGCTTTGGCTTTGAACTTGTTGAGCGCGCCGAGGCGCGCCGACTGCGACAGCTGCCCGTGCAAGGGGATGGCGCCGAAGCCCAGCGTCCGCAGCAGGATCGCGATGCGCTGGGTTTCGTTGACGGTGCGGGTGAAGATGATGGTGGGGTGGCCGAGCATGTCCGACAGCAGGTGCACGAGGTACAGGTCCTTGTGCTTGTGCGGGATGAAGATGTAGTTCTGCAGCAGCGTCGAGACGGTCTGGTGCGAGGACGAGGAGATGGCGACGCGGAGGGGGTTGCTCAGACTGGCGCGCTGGAGGCTCTCGACTTTGGAGCTCATGGTCGCCGAGAACAGGTAGGTTTTGCGGCCCTCTTTGGGCAGGACTTTTAGGATCTTATCCAGGATGGGCCCGAAGTCCAGGTCGAGCAGCCGGTCCGCCTCGTCCATGACGAGGTAGCGCAGCGCGCGCAGCGAGAAGCCCTTTGTGTTCTCGAGGTGGTCGAGCAGCCGGCCCGGCGTCGCCACCACAATGTGCGGGTTCTTGCCCAGCGCGATCTGCTGCGGTGTCATATCCATGCCGCCGACGAGGACGGCGCACTTGACGCCGATGAGGCTGCCCAGCGCTTCGAACTGCTGCGAGATTTGGTAGGCCAGCTCGCGCGTCGGCGCCAGTATCAGCCCGAATAGCTTCTGCTGCTTCTCCATCAGGTCTTGCAGGATGGGCAGCGCGAACGCGGCTGTCTTGCCTGACCCTGTCTCGGCCAGCCCGATCAGGTCCCGCCCTTGTAGCGCCAGCGGTATCGCTTCCGCTTGGATGGGCGTCGCGTGCTTGAAGCCCAGCTGCTCGCAGCTGTCGCATAGCTCGGGGATGATGCCTAGGTCGCGGAATGTCTTGCGCTGCTGCTCTCCCGCCGCCGCCTCCTCCTCTTGTGCCGATTCCTCCTCCTCCTCCTTCTCTTCCTCCGCCTCGTCGCTGCTCTCGCCGTCCGAAGTCGCTTCTTCTACGGCCTTCTTCGCCGGCTTGCGTTTCTCGACGGCGTGCTTCTTCGCGGGGCGCACGTTGCTGGCACCGCTGCGCGCGGCGGCGGGCTTGTGGGAGTCGTTGCTAATCTTCCTCTTCTTGATTGCCGGCATGGTGGGCGTGTTGTGCTAAGTGAAGAAGGAAGAGAGAAAGTGTCGGCGACGCGGGCGTGAGACCAAAATTCCCTTATCGCGATAAGCATCCCGCAGCGATTTTTTGATCATCGACGACGATTGCGCTTCTTTGCTTCGGCAGAATTCCTGCCCGCAACACTCCTCCATCCCTCTCCCTCTCTGTTTCTCTCTCATACTTTTCTAAACTAATTCAACCATGGCCAAGAGAAGAGTCAAGAAGCGCACCCATGTCGGCGCGGCCAATGCGCCCCACGACGCGCCCAAGCCCGGCGACAATGCCCCCAAGAGCATGGTCATCCGCGTCGGAGCCGGCGAGGTCGGCTCCAGCGTGTCGCAGCTGGTCAAGGACGTCCGGCACGTCATGGAGCCTGGCACAGCAGCCCGACTAAAGGTACATGGGAAACACACCGGAAGAGAGACGCGCGCGCGCAGCTAACGACGAGGGGATATAGGAACGGCGGTCGAACAAGCTGCGCGACTACACCACCATGGCCGGCCCGCTCGGCGTCTCCCACCTCCTGCTCTTCTCCAAGTCCGAGACGGGCAACACCAACCTCCGCCTGGCGAAGACGCCGCGCGGGCCGACGCTGCATTTCCGCGTCGAGAAGTACTCGCTGGCCAAGGACGTGATGCGCGCGCAGAAGCACCCCAAGACGGGCGGGCACGAATACCACACGGCGCCGCTGCTGGTTATGAACAACTTCACGAGCAGCGCGGGGGCGAGCGAGAGCCGCGCGGCCAACGCCGTCCCGCCCCAGCTCGAGTCCCTCGTCACCACCATGTTCCAATCCCTCTTCCCGCCCATCTCGCCGCAAGCCACGCCCCTGACCTCGATCCGCCGCGTCCTGCTGCTGAACCGCGAGCCCGCGCCCGCCGACTCAAACTCGTACGTCATCAACCTGCGCCACTACGCCATCACGACCAAGATCGTCACCAAGAACGTCCCCAAGAGCATCCGCCGCCTAAACAACGCCACCAAGCTGCCCGCCAGCTCCGAGAAGAAGCGCAAGGGCCTGCTGCCCAACCTCGGCAAGCTCGACGACGTCGCTGACTACCTGCTGGACCCGGACGCGGGCGGCGGCTACACCAGCGCCAGCGACACAGAGGTCGAGACGGACGCCGAGGTCGAGGTCCTCGCCAATGCCACGCGCCGCGTCCTCAACCGCAAGGAGAAGCAGCGCGCCAAGGACGCCGCAACAGGCGCCGCGTCGCGGCCCGACGACGCCCGCGCAAACGTCGAGAAGCGCGGCGTCAAGCTCGTCGAGCTGGGGCCGCGCATGAAGCTGCGCTTGCAGAAGGTCGAGGAGGGCTTGTGCGGCGGCAAGGTCATGTGGCACGAGTCCATCACAAAGTCCGCCGACGAGGTCCGCAAAATGGACAAGATGTGGGACCAGCGGCGGAAGGAAAAGGAGGAGCGCAGGCGCATCCAGAAGGAGAATGTCGAGCGGAAAAAGAAGGAGAGGGGCGAGACGGGCGAGGAGGAAGACGATGAGGACATGGACGCCGATGATGACGACGAGTGGGATAGTGAAGGCTTGGATAACGATGGCGCGGGAGACGTGGGGAGCGCCGACGAAGAAGACGAGGACATGGAGGACGTCGACGAGGACGACGAGTGAGCGCTCTCGCGCACCAATTTCTCTGATATCATTGTATGGAGCTGGCTTAGAACACGCACGGGGTCTGGGCCGACAAACAAAAAAAAAAATTCTGAATCGCTTTTCCAACCTTGCAGCAGCAGCAGCAAAAAAACCCGTAACCCAGGGCCAACCAACGACACGCATCCCACACGCCTCCCACACGCCTCCCTTCTATTACACACGCGCCTCAGCAGCGGCGCCCATGACTGCTCACTCACTCAGCCTTGACGCGCTTATCAGCCGGCTGGCCATTCTGCTCCGACTCCACGGAGCCGCGTTTCCTAGACGCGTCGTTCCTCCTGCGCGCCTCCTCAGCAGCCTCCCACTCCCGGCGCTTCTGCTTCTCAGCGGCCTCGCGCTCGGCCTGGCGCTGCTTGTAGGACTCGCGAATGCGCATTTCGACGCGGACGAGGTCGTCCTCGGAGACGGCGTCGTCGATGCTCTCGAGCACGCTGTGCACCGTCGACACGTGGTTGGCCTCGTGCTTGTCGTCGCGGAAATGGGGCGAGCCGTCGTCGGAGCGCTTGAAGCGCCAGCGCGATTCAGAGTCCTTGTAGCACTCGATGATGCGCCCGTCGAGTTGTTGGTCGATGGCTTTCATCGCGGCCCACTCGTCGTCTGTGATGTGTAGGGGTGCGAAGAGCCGGTAGTCGCCTTTGCCGTGGAAGACGTAGAGGTCGAAGCTGGGCTTGGCGTCGTAGTCGGGCTCTTGTTGTTCGTCTTGTTGCTGTGAGCTAGTGCCGTTTGCGGCAGCGGGAAAGTCGCCCAGCTTGAGGCGGAAGTCGACGGTGTTTTCGTGGGCGGGCTTCCATTTGAGAATGTGCTCGTCGGTGCCGAAGACGTAGGGCGTCTCGCGGCAGGTGAAGATGAGGCCGTCGCTGCCGTGCTTGAGCGAGGGCAGCTTGACCTTGAACATGTGACTCAGCGCGTAGGGGAACGACATGTCCTTGAACTGGACCTCGAAGAGCTGCGACTGCAGGGCGTCCTTCTGCACGTGCTTGAACAGCTTCTCCCAGGGCTTGTAGACGTTTTCGCGGAAATAGGCCAGGCGCTTGTCGAGGGGTTTGTGCGTCTGCAGCTGGTGGTCGAGCAGCAAGCAATCAAAGACCAAGAAGCGCAGGCGGTGCTGGCCATTGGGCTCGGCGTCGTAGACGAGCTCGCCGTCGATGATGGTGTTTGTGTGGAAGCGGTTGAAGCTGGGGTCGGCGTGGTGCGGGAAGTGCAGCCCTTGGACGTAGTAGTAGTCGTTCTTGCGGTCGATCAAGTAGTGTATCTCGTTGCCCAGGTCGTCCTGCGTGAAGTACAGCAGGCAGCGGATGCCGTCCGTCTTCTCGCACAGGTAGTAGTCCCGCCGCATCAGCTCGTGGATGTGCTTCGAGGCAAACGACACTGGCTGCGCCCCCGCGAATCCGTGCTGCTTGCGCCCCAGCAGCTTGGCCACTTCCTCCCGGAACGACGCTGCCAGCTCGGGCTCCGCCTTGACCCCTGGTATCGACGGAATGGGCATCTCGACGTCTTGGTGTCCGCGTCGGGTATTGGGTTCGCAAGCGCAGTCAAGGCCTGATGGATAGTGGTTGGAAGATGTGGTCCGGAATCACTGATGGTTGGAGTAGTAGTGCAGGGCGCTCGCATTCGTGGACATGATCGGAGGTAGTATGAAGCTGTTGATGCAAATCAGTCGCGGCCTACAAACAAACAAAAACAAAGGCTCGTTTCGCTCTTTCAACCTTCTAGTTAATTCATGTTATGCGGAGCGTGGGCGCGCGAGAGCTGGGGCGGGGACCGGGGGTTGGCCGGAGACAAAGACGCGCCTCTCGCTAAGGTTCAGCCCTACGCAACCTAACTTCACTGGTGTCACCATCGACATCGACACCGACACGCACTCACGCGACCGCTCCTCCCATCCCACCGCCGCAATGCCGCCCAAGCGCATGACCGCGAACCCCGTGAAGCCGGCGCGCTACCGCCCGGGCAAGCCCGTCGCCGAAGAGCCCTCATCGTCAGACGGCGGCGAAGAGTCGGGCGACGACGAGGAGCAGGCCGTGCAAGGACAACCGCAAGCCGCTGCGCCTGTGCCGAAGGCGTCGTCGTTCCCCAAAAACGCGACGAAGCTCAGCGCCAACCTGCAAAACGTCGACCTCAATGCGCGGCGGCGCGAAGGCGCGGCGCAGGAGTCGGCGCGGCTGGAAGCAGAGAGGGCGGCGCGCGCGGCTGCTGAGGCGGGGTTCGAGACGGAGAGTGAGGAGGAAGAGGAGGGAAGTGGGGAGGAGGGGAGCGAGAGCGAGGACGACTCGTCAGAGGAGGAGGAGAGCAGCAGCGAGGACGAGGCCGCCGCGCGCCGGAAAAAGATGCTCCGCCCCGTGTTCGTGCGGAAAGACCAGCGCAAAGTCTCTGCGACAGCAAATGCAGGCGGCGGGGGCGAGAAGACGGAAGAGGAGAAGTGGGCGGAGGAGACGGCGCGGCGGAAAGCGAAGACGGACGCGCTCGTGCAAGAGCAGCTGCAGAAGAACGCGGCAGCGCGGGCAGCAGGCAAGAAGTTCTGGGACGACGAGGACGAAGCCGCACTCGGCGACGAGGTCGACGACCGCGACGGCCTCGCCCCCGAAGCAGAGTTCGCGGCGTGGAAGCTGCGCGAGCTGACGCGGGTCAAGCGCGAGCGCGAAGCCATCGAGGCCGCCGAAAAGGAGCGCGACGAGGTCGAGCGCCGGCGCAACCTCACGGCCGAGGAGCGCGAGGCCGAGGACCGCGCCTTCATCGAGCAGCAGAAGGAGGACCGCGCCCAGAAGGGCTCCATGGCCACCATGCAGAAGTACTTCCACAAGGGCGCCTTCTTCCAGGACGACTTGGCCGAGGCCGGCCTCGACCGCCGCGACATCATGGGCAGTCGCTTTGTCGACGACGTGCGTAATAAAGACGCCTTGCCCGAGTACATGCAGATTCGCGATATGACGAAGCTGGGCCGCAAGGGCAGGTCCAAGTACAAGGACATGCGCAGCGAGGACACGGGCCGGTGGGGCGACTTTGGCGACAGGAGAGGGAAGGGCGCCGGCGGCGACTTTCGGGGCGTCGATGATCGCTTTCGGCCGGATAATGACCGCGAGGGCGGCGGGCCCGGCGCCACGGGTGCGAATGCTAAGCCGGTGGGCGAGCGGAAGAGGTATGGCGAGGAGAGAGATGACCGCGAGGGCAAGAGACCGAGGATCACGGATTGAGCGCTCTGCTGTCTCTTTATTACCTGCTGTGTTTGGAGGTGGAGGTGGAGGTGGTTCCCTGGAACGGGTATCCTGCTTTCAGGCTAACGTGGAACGCGCCGTTCGTCTGTACCTCGTATCGGAGTGCCTGGGGCTTACGGATTCACTGGGAGGTCTAAAAAGCAAGTTATGTTTTCTCAGCCCAGACCGATTGGGTTGCCAGGCAGCACTAAACTGTAAGGATGTCACTGAAGCAGTTCGCTGAAGTAGTGACTGTCAGGGGCTGCATTGATATAGACCGAGTATATAAGGTCTACAAATATGGACGTCAGACTCAAGTGTACCGACATGGAAGAAGCACTACAGCTCGTTTTGACGGCTTACGAAGTTATACCTCTCTCCAAAGAATCTTTTTTTTTTTTTTTTTTTTTTTTTTTTTTTTTTTTTTTTTTAATCACTGTGCTCCCAACCCGACGATGGACACGACAAATAAAAACGATTACCACGGCCTTCTCATCAGAAAAAGTCTACGGTTCCCCCCGTCCTTGGCTATTTCCGAGTGATGAATATCAAGAACGACGTTCTTAGCGCTTGAGAGCTTCAGCTGGCTGAAACAGACTCGAAATAACTCACTGCCACTATCAACGGCTTTCAATCACAACGTCATGCACATTCTAATCAAAATTCCAACAACGTCACTGGAGCAGAGGCTATATGCACACAGAATCATTCCAACACGGACGCGCGTTGCGTTGCGGCGAGCCAGTTAGGTGCTCTACGAGGCACTGGCGTTTCCCCGCATCAACTCAGCCGCAAACATTTGGGCAATTGGGACAGAAATCCGCGACGCGATTGATTGCAGGACTACTTTCGCCAGCGGTGGCAGAAGCACACATTGGCGCGCTCCTAGAGCCCATGCTGCTGGGCCGATCAATCGCCGCCTGTCCCGCGTACGTACTGCGAGGCCCTTCTGGGGTGAACTCACGCTCGATGCCCACGCCGTATTCGTGCGAAGTCCCATGGGGTCCGCGGAGCGGGAGCGCGAGTAGGGGAGCGAGAGAGAGAGAGAGAGAGAGAGAGAGAGAGAGCAGCGGCTGCTACTGCTGCTGGTGGTGGAGCAGGAGCTCGGTGAGCGTGCGAGCGGGGCGTGGCGTGGCGGAGAGAGAGTTGACCACGAGATCGGCAGGTCGGGCGAGCAGCGCGGTCGAAAGGGTTTGAAGGGCGGACCACCTGCTGCTGCTGCTGCTGGCGATACTGCTCTGCCCCGAGCAGCGCTTCTTCTTAGACCTTCTCATCCGCGTCCCGCGGGTCGGGCTGGGGCCGCTGTCTGCCGATGGCGAACTCCGTCCCCTTGGCCCGAAGACGCTGGCTCTTGCTATCGTTCTCGCGCTTCTAAACCGTCTGCTAGCATTGCATTCATGTGGGTATGAATGGTGCCGCGTAGGTATGCGCTAGGAGCTGTGCAGGCCTTTGCCTCAACCGAGTTCAAAGCTCTCGAAGCCGCTGCAGCCTCATACACAGGCCAGAGATGCTAGATTTTGTATATAGATTTCCGGCTGGCTCTCAGATTCACAGGAAGAGCTAAGGAAGCAGTTATTATTTCATGTAAAAGCATAAAATATTGGCTGAGTAGTCCAGCTATACTCACCTAATGTGCAGGCATATTCCTAGTTCGAGGCAACAAAGCCTATATGAGCTTGCTTACGATTTACTAACTTTAATTTACTTATATAGATCCTTATACCTTGAGGAAGTCATCAGTCTCGACAACGTCGAAGTCATCATTATGGTACCTTTAAAGAAAGCATCCCCTCAACTACTGTTCTGTTAACTTCACAGTTAACATATCTAGGGATTTTGTATCATTGGGAGACTGAATTGGCGCGTTGGACTTATGTCGCTCGAAATGATGCATACATTCCACGGATTGATTGATTTCCAAGGTAGCTCCATATATTGACATAAGTCTTACTATTAAGATGGTAGGTGCCGTTGTCATTAGGCCTGTTAGTCTGCAAGGCAGCACAACACGCGTCACCGAAGTACAGTCAAGGCCAGATAAATGTATTCTCGAAATCATTCTTCATTGCAGTCTACTAGTGCGTATAATCATAACCTCTTTTTCTCCAAGCGCCACGACCACGCGATTAACGTAGTCCCTCAGCACAATCCACCATTAGCAACACACCTCAACGCCGCAGCGCTTAGATGAGCTGCTGGAAGGCGCGGTTAAGAGGGGAGCGCAGGGGCTTGACGTCCTTGTAGAAGTCGATGGTGGCCACAGCGCGCTTGGAAATGCCCTCGGGGGTGAACTCGAACTTCTCGTAGACCTGCTTGTAGGGGCCGGAAGCACCGAAGCGGTTGAGACCGAACTGCTCGTGAGAGTACTTCTCCCAGCCGAGAGTCGACATGACCTCAACGGAGAGGGCAGGGATGCCGTCGGGGATGACAGACAGCTTATAGTCCTTGCTCTGGGCGTCGAAGACCTCAACGCAGGGCATCGAGACGACACGGGCCTTGATGTTCTTCTGGTCCTTGAGGAACTTGACGGCCTCAAGACAGATCGAGACCTCGGAACCGGTGGAAACGAGGGTGATCTGAGCCTCCTTGTCCTCAAGCGCGACGTAACCACCCTTGATGCCGTTCTCGAGGGTAGAGCCCTCAAGCTGGGGCAGGTTCTGGCGGGTGAGGGCGATGATGGAGGGGGTCTGCTTGGAGGTGAGGGCCATGTAGTAGGCAGCAGAGGTCTCATTGCCATCAGCCGGGCGCCAGACCATCATGTTGGGCAGGGCACGGAAGTGGGCAAGAGTCTCAATAGGCTGGTGGGTGGGACCATCCTCACCAAGACCGATGGAGTCGTGGGTGGCGACGTAGATGACGCGCTGGTGAGCCAGCGACGACAGACGGACGGCACCGGCGGCGTAAGAGACGAAGTTGAGGAAAGTACCGCCGGCAGGGATGAGGGTGCCGTACGCGGACATACCGTTCATCATAGCAGCCATGGCGTGCTCACGGACACCGTAGCGCATGTAGCGGCCGTTCCACTCACCGATACCGGTGTTGGGGGGCTGGAAGTCGACGGCGTTCTTCCAGCGGGTGTTGTTGGAGCCAGTAAGGTCGGCAGAGCCGGAGACGAGCTCGGGGATGACATCGTGGATGGCCTCGAGGACGGACTCGGACAGCTTACGGGAAGCAATGGCGGGGTCGGAGACATTGTAGGTGGGGAGCTTCTTCTCCCAGCCCTCGGGAAGGGCAAGGGTCAGACGACGGGCAAGGTCGGCGTGGAGCTCCTTGTGCTCGGAGCCGTACTTCTCGAAGAGCTTGTTCCACTCCTCCTCGAGAGCAGCACCCTCGGTGGCCTTCTTGCCGTACAGGTCGTAGACCTCCTTGGGGACAACGAAGGACTTCTCAGGGTCGAAGCCGAACTTGGCCTTGACCTGCTTCATGTCGTCCTCCTTCAGGGGGTTACCGTGGACACCACCGGTGCCCTGGAGCTTGGAGCCGAAGCCAATGGTGGTGGTGAGCTTGATGACGGAAGGCTTGTCCTTGACAGCCTGGCACTTCTTGATGGCGGCCTCAATGCCCTCAAGGTCGTTGTCACCGTCCTTGACGTACTCGCAGTGCCAGCCGTAGGCCTCGAACCTCTTCATGACATCCTCGGTGAAGGCGCACTTGGTGTCACCGTCTATGCCCAGTTAGCACTGACGTCACCGATTCATGGGCTCCGAAGACTTACCGATGGAGATGCCGTTGTCATCGTAGATGGCAATCAGGTTGCCGAGCTGCAGGTGACCGGCAGCGGAGGCGGCCTCAGAGGCAACACCCTCCATGGCGCAACCATCACCGAAGAAAGTGTAGGTGTAGTTGTCAATCAGCTCGTAGCCGGGCTTGTTGAAGGTAGCCGCGGTCTGGGCCTGGGCGACAGCGAGACCGACAGCGTTGGAGAAACCCTGGCCAAGAGGACCAGTGGTGACCTCAATACCGGGGGTGTCGTGGGACTCGGGGTGACCGGGGGTGATAGAGTCGATTTGCTGTGCAATAATGAGCTTCCCGTCCTGATTGGACGGATTTTCTCGGTACTTACACGGAAGGACTTCAGGTCGTCCATCGAGACGGCGTAGCCGAAAAGGTGGAGGAGAGCATACTGGAGCATGCAGCCGTGACCGTTGCTGGAGTGGATGTTAGTACCAGAAACCAATTGGCTCTAGCAGAGCAAGATTGGCAACAAAACGATCAGATTTGACGACGCCAAGCCCGTGGCGCGGGTCATCAACAGGGTTTTCCGCCGGAGCGAGAGGAAACGACGTGGGATTTTCACCCCGCCGTCTCCGGAATTGGCTCAAGGCAGCTCGCCAAAACTGATCGTGGAAGCGCTTCAGGGGAGAACGTACGAAAGAACGAAACGGTCGCGGTTAACCCACTTGGGGTTCTTGGGGTTGAACTTCATGAACTTGTTGAAAAGAACGTGGGACACGGGCGCCATGCCCATGGGCGCACCAGGGTGGCCGGAGTTCGCCTTGAAGGTGGCATCGACCTGCAAGCAGCCGGGTCAGCGTTGTTGTCGGGGGACAGATAAGGATCATGACGTACGGCCAGCGTCCGGATGGTGTTGATGGCGAGCTGGTCAAGCTCTCCGTAAGCCATTTTGGAGGATTGATCGGATAGTATGGGTGGGAAAAGGGAGGAGAGAGAGAGGATGAGGTGTTGGAGGTTTGGAGGGGGGTTGAGGGGAGAAAAACACTGTCTCTTGGGAGGCGGATGAAGTAATGGTGGGGCCTGCCTGCCAACGAGAGAGGGGCAAGCCGCCTAACGCGAAGGCAAAACGACGCGACTTGCCCGATCGGCGCCCTGACAAAGCTGTCCGTCCACGCTTACGGACACGCTTGGTCTGGAATCCCGCCTGTTCACGAATCACTCGTTTCTCCGCCGTCTTCCGCGCCGCGCTGCTGTGCGACGTTGTCCGTCCGGCGGGCGCTGGGCCAGCTGCGCGGAGACGCTCAACCAGCGTAGCGGTGGAGCACTCCGTCGCCTCACGACACACCAGGGTCCATAGAAATTTCCACCCGGTCTGCTCGCCGCAGTCCGCCGCCCGGCGTCATTTTGGCAACCAGGCGGTGACTCGATGACGATCCGAACAGACGCCGAGCATCAGGGTGTTCGTGGCACCCGCAGGGCTGAGCTTTCTGTGACGACGTCCGTCGCTGGCTTTCGTGTCTTTGGGCAGCCTCATTTATTTGGTTGCCGTGTCACAGCTCATCCGATGTCGCCGGTCAAGAAACTTGCTCCAAGGACTTAGAGTACATGCCTCAGAGTACGGAGCCGTACATGCTTCGTTTCTTAGCCCATGGTATTGCTCCGGCATGATCAGCCGTCCTCAACATTCCGCTAAAGCTAACTACCTACTCAATGAATGAAGTGAATTTTTGGCACGTGATTTCCCGCCCCTACAAAAAAAAAATAGCTATCACGTGTTACAGTCAGTTGAATGAGATTCTCCGTCCGCAAGCCACTCAAAGTCTTGGCGCAAATTCACCACGAATCAAATGCGCACGACCTCGCGGGCGTACATCCTTTCGCTTGGTCCTCCTCGTCAACCGTGATCGGGCGCGAAGGCAGAGGTTACATCCATGAACCTGGATCCACGCCGGTGCCTACGGAAGAGTGGCGCCGATCCTCCGACGTGCCTGAGCCGTGAGGCGCCAGTCTCGGTCTTGGCACGGGGTCCGCGGCGGCCTCAAGCCTGGCGGGTTGTAACCTCTGTGAAGCTGTCAACAACAGCGACCTCCTTCGAACAGCCTATGGAGTATTTCATCGACCACCATAGCCGAGAAGTATCCTACCGCCCAGATGGGGCTGAGCCGCCCGCCGTCTCCTTTTGCTCGCCGTAACAGCTACCGGGAAACCCAGAGGCCGTTAGCAAGAGATCAACTCGTGGAATATACTGGCTGCCATCAACAATTAGAGCCATGTGCTAAGTTTCGGTTATGAGGCCATCTCGCACAAATGGAGTGTTAAGCTCATTGACCAGATACTCATCGAGCGCTTCAAGCGCGTCACCGGCAAGACACCGCACCGCTGATTGAGGCGCGGTCTATTCTTCTCGCACCGCGATCTGGACCGTGTCCGTAACTTCCAAGGGAAGACCCGCCTCTTCTTCCTCTATACCGGCTGCAGGCCCTCGTCTGATAGTATACACATTAGCCACACAATCCCCCTTAAGTTCAAGAGGTGGCTGCCTCGGTTTGGCAGCCAGGGGCTGTGGGACGCGGCGTGCCATTTCCGATGATGGGGCAATGTTGAATATACTGTGAACGAGGCGACGAATCTCCTTAGGTGGAGTCGACGGTGTCGAGCGTCGAGGTGGAGACGAGGTATTTTCCTGTTTGGACACCGCATCTCCATGCCAACGGCTTGCTTTCGGATATTGTTCATTGCGTGCTTCCGGGCCCAGGGGATGAACATTCTGAGACCTCTGGTCCGCAAACGATAACTCTTCTTTTCCTGTTGCTAATTACTACAGCTTTGTCCCACGAAGCTCGGCTTTGCATCACTGAATAATATCAACGGATGCGTGGTCAATCGCAGGAATATAAGGATTGCTTCAGCGGGCTGACCTTCAGAAAACTCGAAGTTGTTCAAGCTTGATTGTATTGATAGTCCCTGAGTCGCGCAGCCGCATTATCACATGCTTATTGCACATTGAGTGAACACACATGAACCGCATGTCTCCGCTGCTGTTAGCCGTCCCGGCGCGAAAATGGCGGTGGCCTTTTGCATCTGAACCAATTGTACAGACTGCCATTGCTTGCTCTAAACCCGACAATACTGTACAGCTTCCTCTCTTTTTCCGATCAGAGCCGATTATGCCGTCCTCCGCCAACTCGAAGTCTTGATAGTCATTCCCACGGCCGTATGATCTCGTCCCCGAAAGCTAGCTGCAATTTACGGCCTCTGGACGCGCAGACCGTCCCTGGGGAAGGTGGCGGCGTGCTTGAAGGACTGTAATTGGCGAAATGTCAGCATTTCCCCAAGAAATACGTCGCGTTGCCCGCGGATTCCTTACGTTGTCACACTCCTCCCAGGAGCGACCAGCACCGAAACCAAGACCGACAAAGGCGGGCCACGCGCGGCGCTTGAACAGAAGGACGGAGAAGACGATGCCGAAGGAGAGGCCAAGGCCGGAGCGGATGAGCATGGAAGAGAGGCAGCGGTCCCACTGCAGCGAGAGATTAGTCGCGCGCAATTGGAGGCGTCGCGCAGCATCACGCATCACGCATGCGCTCGGGCGGTCGGGCGAAGGGCAGGACGCACCTTGTCGTTGAGCAGGGCCTCGCTCATGGGGCGGGAGTTGCGCGCGACGGGCGCGGAGGGAGTCGGGGTGGTGGGAGCGTCGGACATTGCGGCGGTGTTAGTGGGCTGAGATCGGCTTCCTGGAGGGCGATTGGGAGCAGGTAGGGGGGTGATGGTCGAGGCCCAAAGGGTCGTGGTTGGAGCTTGATAGGAACTGATTTGACGTTGGTCTTGGCGTTTGCGCTGTCTGCGGCGGCCCGTGCAGGCTTTTTGGGAGATGCTGTTTTGGGAGCTTCGACTTTGCGCCAGCCCATCTCACGGACGAAGGAGGGCGTGAGACGGCGGCAATGGCTCAGGTAAGCTAGCACATTGCAGCGCAGGCGCCTTTGGGCCTTTGGGACGTTCATTTGACTGGCTCCAGGACCAGCCTTCTCTCCAGAGACTACTCGCTATCGACAAGGACTTTTCAAGCTTCGACGAGCAGTTGAACCAGGCCACGCAGGTTCTCGGCCGCCCCGAGGACGCGCGCAAGCTCGCCGGATTCGAAGAGGATGTCGTCTGCTACAAACACAACCCACGAGCCGAGTGGGTCTTCCGCTGGTTGCTGGGCAAACTCAAGTCGGATGATACCGTCGGAGCAAGAGCAAGGGCAAGCGCGGGCGCGTGGCAACTATTGAAGCAGATTGCTCTCGGCCTGCCCGCCTCGGTCTCCTCCAAATCCTTGAACGCCAACGCCTTCCTGGCTAGCCTGGAGAAGACACTGCGCGAGAACTTCATCGAGCCGTCTGTAAAAGGCTTCCAACGTGACGCGTCGGCCGGACAAGACTCTGCCTCGGAATCCTCGGGTACTGTTTCAGAGGAGCCCAGGTCATCCCGGAAGCGGAAGCGGCACAGTTCCAGCGCCGAAGAGCGCGCTACGTCTAAACGCCCGGCGCTGGAACCCGTCGAACTGCGCGGCCTCTTTGAAGCCGTCAGCTCTGTCTTGGTTGTCATTGCGACTCTCGCATTTGAAAGCTCAACTAGCAATGAGTCGTCGGAGGTTGAACTCGTGAAGTCGGTTCTGCGGACGAACACGGCACAAGCTGCCCGACTCCTCAAACTATGGCTGGAAACGATCCATTATTTGACCATTACAAGACCAAGGCCTTTAAATGCGGAGGAAGTCCCCGCGGGGCCTCTTTTGGAAAGAATGTTGCAAATCTGGAACACTAGCTTCTCGGACCCCGCCATCGCCAACAGTAGTCCAGCAGAACAGTTCTCGCAAGAGTGCCTGATTCCTGCTGTCGTCCTCTTGTCTGATCTTGCCAAACCGGCCCCCATCCGTCCCGAACAGAAGCGTGTTCAGATAGAGAGCCAAGTCGTGAGTGCGTTGGAGACTCTCTTGGCTAGGCATGTCTTTATACCGTGTAGAGGAACGTTCTTCGCCGAAGTCGAAGGGCATAAGGTAGCAGCCAAGCCCGGTCAAGCTCAATCAGAAAGTCCGGAGCTACGGCAGATGCTAGCCCCATTACATTCGGTCATTCAAGGCACTGGTAAAGACGAATTAAGTTCGGCTTCCCTTGGGTTGAGCAAGTATGAGCTCCTCCAGGCCGCCGGTGCCCTGGTGGATATAGCTATTCGCTGTTCCCAAAGGTCCACACCTAAGAAAAGGATTGATGAAGCTCCTTGGCTACAACATGCCTTTGTTGTTCTTTGCGAATGCATAGGTACTCCGGTTATGCAACGACAACCGGGGCATGTGGAGCCCGACTGCCGAGCTGTACTTGAGCAGATGCTCGCAACTCTTCAGAAACGTGGTGTTTCATTAGACTCGGATGTCTTGGAGACGATTATTCGATCTTACTCTGGCATTATTGGCGCTGAGGAAGGCTCGAAACTAATCGACCAACAGCTGGTTGCCAGAATCTTGGCTTACGACCCTACTGGCTTCATGGATTCTGCCACGCAAAAGTCCAAAGACAACACACCAGTACTCTCAGATGCTCTTTTCGATTCAATCACCGAGCTTTCTAGTGTCATCCTTGACCCGCCTTCAAACGAAATCCGCGACCTCTCAAGCACACCTCTAGCCGATGAGACCCCTGTCCCTGAGGACCACAATCTGTTGAAAGACTCTATTGTGATACCACTTCTCAAAGCCTATGCGAATAGTCGCGACCTTGATGGATTCCTTTCACGCTGGTATCACCAACTGAACACCCTCAGAGAAGAGGGCACCGACTCAATGGAGAAGTCTATCTGGGCAGTCGAGGATTTAGGCCTGGCATTACGGGAGCTACTTGAAGCAAGCTTCACTCCCCGGCAGTTGTTTGACCACTTCAACGAGCATTGGCGCAAGATTTCCGGCTGCGAGAAGGCTTCAGCTGGCAACGAAGATTCTAGTTCAAAGAGCCCAGCGTACACAGAAGCGTCTGCTAGCCTCGTCGTCTTGGATGCTCTGGTGGGCTCGCTGCGGTCGGATGACATTATTGCCTCGCTTACGTCGGTTTTGGGATCGCTGCAGAGAAGTCTGTTCGCTTTCACCGGTCTTTGCGAAGATGAGGCTACAGACGCAAGAACTTTGCGCATCATCTATTGCATACAGATTATCCTTCGGCCCCATCGCAAGCACCACGAAATGAAGAACTTAGCCGCAGCTTTCTTCAAGTGGGCCGAGACTCAAAACATTGTCAATGTCATCAAATCAAGCACGAAACCTGGGAATGTGCATACCCTCCGGAAAGGGAAAGAGGCGTTTACGCTTATTGTCACTCTCTGCAATGATTTCCTACAACTTCCTGATTTTAAGGACTCTGTTAAGACGTTATTTCTCCAGACCGCAGCCCCTCTTTTCCGATCGAATGACGCAGTTCGGGATTGCATATCGAGCGGCCAGGAATGGCATCCGACTGATAGTCCCAAAGATCAGGCCATTGTTTTCCTTGAATCCATCACGCTTCAGGCAACTGCCGTGTTGACCAAGTTCCCCGACCTCATCAAGTATGTGCCCCGTTTGCTTGCTGCATCAAGATTGCTGATTGTTGCAGAATTATTCCTTTTGATTCCCTTCAGACACTTCTGCGCCTGCTTTATTGGCATGCGTTTGGCGATTTCTCGGGGAAGTACCGTTCACCAAACTTGCGAAATGGTATCAATTATGTCCTTGTCTTCGAGGCCATATCAGATATCCTGTTGACTTCCCATTCGAGTGAGCTAAAAGGTTTGTCAAAGCGTTCGTGTTGAACGGGATTAGTACTGACAGCTTTAGATCTGCTTTACTCGATTGTTTTCGAGGTGCTTGACCCAGAAACAAAGCTTGGACGATCTAGAGACCTGCGCAAGTTCCTTTGCGAGTTCTCCGAGAGCCAGTTTCTGCGCATGCCGTTAGCCACTCTCATCCGGAAAGACCGAGAGCAAGTGCTTGATCGCATTTGTGATGTCTACTGTAGCTCCAACAAGAAACGAACGGATGTCGAGACACAGTTCAGACACCTGAGTCTTATGATCAAGCTGATGGAAGTGCCGAACGCGACTTCTCGACTAGCCAATGATCCTGACTTGCTCTGGAAAGTTGCCCGCGCTACACAAGAACACGGGAGCCCTAGGCCAGACCTGCTCAGACTAGTTGAGGAGTTAGTCCGTCTGACGCTGATGGACGCTATCTCGGTGAAGACACAGTCAAGGGGTCAGCAATATTTGAAGGAGTTCAGTAAGATCATGCAACGCGTTGTCAAGGATACCAGCACCCTCAAAGATCGTACTGCCGAACTGGCCTGCTTCAAGTCGGCGCTCAACACGTTGAAGACCGCGGACACCCTCGGTGACGAGGAAGAGACGTACAAGATCATGAAGAGATATCTTCGTGCACTGGACCACGACATTGAGAACCATTTGCCTGGAAAACAGCGCACCGATTTCGATGGCGACCTCGTGTTTGTGAGGACAGTTCTTGACGCAGTTGCAGAACTCCCGACACAAGGTCTGGAGCGTGACGGTATGACTTGCATATGCTGGCATGAGAGCGAGCTGCTAACACTGCGCAGTTGCCTTTTTAAGCATCGAGTCCAAACTCCAGAAGTGCACCCGTGGGCAACAGTCGCTGGCTACCAACGCGTCTCAAGACGAAACTTCCATATGGGTTTCTTTGAGCCGTGCGGCGGCCAACGTCTCCATTGCGGACAACACCCGGTACTTTGGCGAGATGGTTGGGAGGCTGTGGAGCTCGGGTACGTGAACTGTATTTCCTTGCCTGAATACAATCTAATCTGTGGATAGATCTTTCCATAGAGGATCGCCACACAGTGATGAAGACAAGCAAAAAGGCTGCCGCTTCCTTGGGACCCGGACGGAGAGCATCATTGCTATCGTCGTTGATATCCACGCAAAACCACGAGAGGCCTTCTCCAGAGACACTGTTCCTGTTGAACGTGCTGGTTCCCTCGTTACAAGGTCAGGATCTTTCGGATCTTCCTCTACGGCAGCGTTGCTCATAATGCTCCAGATGCCCCGGTAAAAGGAGACTCCTCCAAACACGACCTGCTCGGGCTTGGAGGACATCTGGCCACGAACCTTCCAAAGGTGCAGAACGTCGGTGATTTGCAAGTCATGCTCAATTGCATCGACACAATCCTACGGGAAAAGGTATGGACCTTTTTTTATTTTTTTTTTATATTTTTTTTTTATATATTTTTTTTATGAAGCCTTGTGGCCCCCTTACTGACACCTCAGCAGCAATGGCTGGTCTCGCAATGGGCAGTTGAGAACCTCATCGACTCGCTGTGCAGGCTGGCGTCGGCATCGGGCCCGGCCCTCCCAGCCAACTACAGCGACTCGATCTACACGCGCATCTGCAACACGACACACCTGATAATCGCGCTGCACCGGACGCGGCTGGGCGGGCGGTACCACGTACTGATGCCACTGCTGCAAAACCTGCTGCGCTGCCTCTTCACGCCCGACACCAAAGCAGCCAGCACAACAGCGTCGACGCTGCCTCCGTGGCTGAACCCGCGCACCAAGCCCCTCACGACGACGCACGCAGCGCACTTTGCCCGCCTGGTCACCACGCTGTGCAACCCGACGGTGGCGGCCGTGTCGAAGCATCGCCCGCGCGCGTCGCTCGTCGACGAGACCAAAAAGGCCCGCGAGTACGCCGGCCAGTACGTCCCCGCTATCATAGTGCAGTTCTGCGCCTGCGCGCTGCAGGGCCGCATTGGGCCCGAGGTGCGCGCCGCGCTGATGCCGGCGCTGTATGCCTGCGCGGATGTCGTGGGCATTGAGGCGTTGAGGGCGATGAATGCGGGTATGGATGCGAGTGCGCGCGCGATTTGGAGGGGTGTTTATAGCGATTGGAAGAAGTTTGGGAAGTGGGATGGGGGGAGGTAGGGGGGTAGGTGGGCAGGCTTTGGGTTGGTGTGTGTGTGTGTGTGTGAGGGGAGGCGGTGTGTTTGTTGTGTTGTGTGTTGTGGAGTTGGGAGTGAGGGAGGGCGTGGGTGTCTAGGTATGTAGTAGATCTCTTATTAGCGTGGGAGTAAGTAGGTTTATGGAAAAGATTGTGATTGCGATTGCGTTTTGCGAGTGCTTTCTATCCATGGGAAAAGGCGGTACCGGTGACTGCTTCAGAAACTTGCTATTTATGTTAATCGTATCTACTGCACATGAAGGCCGTGACAACATTTCCATCTGTCTACCAATCCGCTGTCGACCAGAAAGAAGCACGCCAGCGCAGACGAAACAAGCTATTCAGATTCAGCAAAGGCCAGACAGACTCGCATTTCCGTTCGTGATATCAAGTGCTTCGTCGTATCTATCCTGGTACATCACCCTACCCGTACGCCGAGTGCCACCATTTGCCTCGTTCTCGTCACGGCACGGCATCCCACGACATGCCATGCATGCGGCCTCCGTATCCAAACTGCCTCTATCTTCCGCCCGGCGTTCCCCTCTCTTTTTCTCGAGTGTCCGAGCACTTTTTCCCGAGGAACCAGAGACTGCGGGATCAAGGATTCCGCGCTGTCGCCTGAGCTGGCAGCTCTTACCCGCCATTCGCCTCCCCCATCCACCCTACCACGTCTACTCGGGGTCCTTCTTCAACATCACAAACTCGTTCCTCCGCGCGCTAGACAATCGTGCTAATGCGATGCACGACAGGCACGGAGCTAGGCGGCAAGCTGCCAAACTCGGTAATGACCATCTTGACGTAGTCGGCGGGGGTGACATCATAAAGGACGTTGAGGAGCTGCAAGCCAGGGGTATCCTTCCAGCGAGCAAGAGCAGTATCACGCTTGCCCAGCGTCTTGGCCTCGGGGTCCTTGTCATCCTTTGCATCGTCAGTGACCGGGGCATCGCCAATCCACTCGCCGTGGCCAAGGATCTCGTCGGCAGGCGCAATCTCGTTGTTCACGATGGAGTCGAGGGCGACGCGGTCCGTGAACTTGACGCTCTCGCAGCACACGATGACGGGGATGTCGTGCTCGTGGGCGAGCATGGCGACGATGGCGGTGCCCACGCGCGAGTACAGCCGCCCGTTGCTCATCATGGCTGACGCGCCTAGGAAAACTTTGCTGGCTTCTTTGATGGCGTGCGCCACGGCGCCTACCAGGCAGTAGCTTGTCTGGATGCCGACAGCCGCGAGGCTGCGCGCGAGCTGCCGCCCCTCGAACAGCGGCTTGCTGTCCACGACTATGACGCGGAAGTTGCGGCCCAGAGAGTGCGCGCGCAGCAGCGTTTTTAGCACAATGCTGCTTTGCGCGTAGGTCACGATTACGTCGCCGTCGACGATTTTTTGGGACGCCGATTCCGCGATTACTTCGTCTGCGGCCGTGATGCGCTCGCGGATGAAGGTGTCGATGGACGAGATGAGGTGTTGCTTGGCGGTTTGCTCGGGGACTGACGGGTCGATCTTCACGATCAGGTCTTTGAGCCAGCGGATCGCGTTGCCTTGGGATACAGAGAGGGGTCGGCACGAGGAGAGGTAGGAGATTTGCGGCGAGAGGTGGTGCGAGACGAGATGGCGCGCGAGTGCGGTGCCGGGCGGCGTGCTGTAGGAGTTGATGACCTGTAGCATAAATGTTAGAACGCGGTATCTCCCTTGACAAGCAAGCAATCTTCATCCATATACAAAACTGGAGCGGTTGAGCACTTACCGACTTGAATGCCAGCAGCATGGCGACGCATCTCGCGTTGCTTCCACAGATAACATAGCTGCTCATCTGCAGCCCCAGCGCCAAAACCGCAGGATGCACCTCCTTCGCCGCGCCCTCGATTTCATGCCTCCGGGGCTGGCCATACAGATGTCCAAACAAGCCCACCTTCTTCTCAGCGGGCTTCTTCTTCTCCTTGACTTCTTTCGCCGGCCCAGCCGCGCCCGCAGGCCCCACCTGCTGGCTCGACCTCCGCCGCATCGCCGCCTCCGGCCGCTGCAGCAGCAGCTGGCCCTTCTGCGCGCCACCGCCGGGCTGTTGCGCGCCGCCCTGCTGCCCGCCCGCCTTGGCGTCCTTCTGCTTCTGCTCGGGCTTCTTGCCAGACGCTTGTCCCCCGCCTACTGCGGCGGCGCCGGGGCCATCTTTGTCTGCTTTTTCGCGCGCGCGCTTGGCTGCCTTTTCGGCTTTGGCGCGCTTCTTCAGCTCGGCACCGGACAGCTTGGGCTCTTCAATCTTGGGGACGGCAGGCTTTGCGGCTTCTGCTGCTGCTGGCGCGGCTGCGGTTGCGGGAGCAGCGGCGGCGGTGGTGGTAGTGTCGGCAGCGGGAGCGTTCCCGTTCGCAGATGGGTCAGCCATGGTGGCCGCCGAGTGTTGCGCTCGTGTAGTAGTTTTCGTGCGGGTTCGGTGCGGAGGCGAGAGTGGAGTCAAGCGGTGCTTGGGGTTGCTCACGGGAATTGGGCAGGGCTGGTATGGAAAGGATGTCGGACAGTCAGTGATCTTTGGAGTCACAGGTCGGCTTCGTGGGGTTGGACAAAATTCCGGCCGGCGCGTCATTCCACGGTTCGCCGCACGGGCCGTCATCGTCCGGGTCACTGGAGCGGGGTTGTCCTTTATTCATTCCAAGGCAATTTATATAAAAAGCTTCTCATGGCCCTCTCTTGCATTCATTGGCATTTATGAAAGCCCTTCGAACGAACAACATGTATAGCATACACCCATATGCCGCCACGTCGTCGTAACTATGTCTTGAAAACCCTCAAATTATATCTATGTACCAAGCTGTCGCTGGGCAAGCCCCACCTGCAAACGCCGTGGACATGCTTTTGGTCCTCTACATCTTATACACAAGCCTTCCTTGTCGACGCTTATGCCTGAGCAGCGGCAGGCTGTTCCTCGCCGCCCTTCAGGATGAACTCGCTGTCACCAATCTGCTTTCCTCTAGCTTCCCAGCGGGCCTTGCGCTCCGCACGAAGCCCGTCGCACAGCGTGTTGAGGGCGGGCCAGTAGACCGAGTGGTCGTACTCAAAGTCGACCTCGCCGCCGTACGTCTTCATCAGCTGCGAGGGCGGGATGTGGTTGCCGAAGGGCTCGTTGAACTTCATCTTGGTCTTGGTGACGGGGTCGATGAACGGAGAGATGAGCTTGAAGAAGGTCGTGACATACCAAGGCACTGTCTCAACGTTAGCAGCTGGCGGAAAACCTTTGAATGGGGCACTTACAATCCGAGATCAATGACCTGCCGTTCCTCTCGGGATACTGGCCTTGCAGGATGTTCAACACCTGCTTGCCCTGGCCGACAGACGGGTTCTTCGCGCTCGTGCTGTTCTTAAAGTTGATCAGAAGCGCAATGCTCTCCACACCCGCCGGCATCATGTCAATGGCCCTCTCCAGCATGAAGACCAAGTTGTGCACCTGGCGGTCGCTCTTCTCCGTGTTCTGCTTCGAAGGGTCCATGTACAGGCACGGCCTGCCCTCATTGTCGAAACCCAGGACAATCAGCTTGCCCGTCTCGTTCTCGGGTGAGATGTAGTCGGCCGTGAAGTAGTTGGTGCCGTACTCGCGGCGCCAAATGAGCGTGTCTGTGAGACGTTTCGCAGCGTCGGCGGGCTTCGACCACTTGACTGCGCGCAGGTACCGCAGCAGGCACTCGCGCGTCAGCCACATCTTTTCGTCGTCGCTCAGAGGCGCCTGCTCCGGGTTCTTGGCCGTCGTCGTGGGCAGCTTCTCCCAGCCCTTGACCAGCTCCAGGAACTCATTGTATTTGGCCTGTTGGTCGGCGGTCAATGCGGGCTCAGCGGCGGGCTTGCAGTGCGGGAGCGGAGACGAGAAGGGGCCTTTAATGGGGCCAGAGGCGGGGGCGCCGTCAGCCATTGTTGCGAGTTTCGGCGGTGATAAGGAGCGGGAACCCTGGGCTTGGTTGAAAGTCGTTTTCTGGACTGGTTCTCCTTGTGGTTTGGAGATGTGGCGGCACAGGCGGCTTGCTGGGTGGGAATCGCCCGGTCTCGGGACGGGTGATGACTGTGTGGAGGCGGATCTCTCTATTAGGGGAAATTGCAATTACGACTTGTCTCTGATTTTGAACCACTGCTCTACTACATACAACGGCGAGAAAAACAGAAGAAGATATAACTGTCAAGGCCGCGACGGCGCAAAGCGGTGAGATTATGATATCAGCGGTATTCGGGCTGATGTTGACTCCGACCACATCCGTTGACCTACAGTCAGAGCGGGCGATCGGATATCACCATCTTGGCCACCGTAGGAGGCGCTCATGTTTGCATGGGCGTCGAACGTGGCAGCATGCTTTTCATCGACCAAAATTTTGTATCTACGGCTGGGATCTCATCGATAAGGATACGATTTTCAGGTTAAAGACCGGGATCTGCTTGCGTTCCTATCGTGGGTAGGGGGATTACCTATTTATAGCTCTGCTCGAGCACTCTCGAGCACGCTAACTGTCTTCGGAATGTCTATTGATTTGATGCACCTTTGTACGTATAGCGGCAGTCGAGAACGTAGTACTTTGGCTATGTTTTTGACCAGCTATCTACACTTGGACTGCGGCCCGGCAGATAACTGAACATGCATGCAATTCACGAGCTGCTCAAGTGATGAGAGCTTCTCGGAAGGGCAGGACCTATTAATTCCATTGAGCCAGTCTTAGACGATACGGACCATCTCCCATGCGCTCGTCTACTTCTGCTTCAACATCCGCCCTTTGAAGAATGGCCAGGACAGATCCATTGATGCTAGCCATTTTAGGCACTAATATGTCGGGTAAACCTCGCGAGAATGTCCGTCGCGTCTTCGCGCGCGACGCGTCGCAATAATCATGAAGCTGCGACGAGATTCCACCTGCATACCTCTCAACCCTCAGCACCACCGACAGCCACAATGGACGACAATACCGCAGACCTTAATGAGCTGTTTGGCTCCCCCAACGCTGAATTGCCGCCCGACGTCCTGGGAGAACTGCAATCGCTCCTCCGCCTACACTCCATTGCCCCGCAAGAGCTGTTCTACAAATGGGAATCCTACAGTATAAAGATGGGTCCGGAAACGACCCTTACACTAAAGACTGTTCGCGATTTCAAGAAAGATATTCAAGACGCATTGGAGAGGGAGAATAGAGGAAAGGCGGCGCACGGAAGAAACGAGAAGAGAAATGTTGGCTCAACACCCCGCGCCGGTGCAGGAAACTCTGATGTCTTTGGAATGTGAGTCGCAAGAGCCCACAGTCAGCGGAGGGTGTAAAGCTTATCGGAAACTAGGCTCGACGGTCTCGTCCCAAGCACACCTGGAGCCCGCAACGCACCAAAGAGGAAATCCAACTTCGATACCCCAACCTCCAAAGTAGCAAAAAGCCAGGCCCAAAGCTCCCCAGCGGGTCCTAGTACACCTCTGCAGAATGGCGCAACGTAAGTGGTATCTCCAACCAACACCGCATACAACAGTCGGTTGACTAGATTGCAGAATTGCCTCTTTTGCGGACCGGCCAAACGCAGGGCGGATCATGGAAACCCTCAACGAGCACATCCCCTTGCCAGAGCCTCCTTCAGACCCGCCCTCCGAATCCCGCGTCAAGCTAAAGGCGAACACAGAGCTGGCAAAGTTCGCGTATAAGACCATGGCTATGAAGCTGTCGGAAGCGTCAGAGATTCTCGACGACCGTATCGACGAATTCCTACAGTTGACACAGGAGTACCACAAACTGGAGGATTCTGCTTTTGGAAACCCTGCCAGCCAAAGCACAAGCGAGATCATCGCTGTCGGTCGTATTGCATCGGACAGCAACGAAGGCAGGCTAAACGCCGCTTCGCTGGTGTTGGAGACGTCTCGGAGGACTGGCGCCGGCTTGCGGATACCTTTGCGAGTCGACAAGCTGCCGACTTATAGCTTCTTCCCCGGGCAGGTGGTTGCGTTGCGCGGGCAAAACGCATCAGGAACCTTCTTCCAGGCCACGGAAATCCTAGAGCTCCCACTGCTTCCACCAGCCGCTTCCACGCCCGCTGAACTGGACATGCACGTTGCACGTCTGCAGCACACGGGCGACGACGACATGGACATGGACGGCGCGAGCGCGACCAGGCCCCTCGGCGTCATCATAGCCTCTGGGCCTTACACCCCCGGCCACGTCCTGGACTTCGCCGCCCTCCACGCCCTCCTAGAAAGCGCGACGGCAAGCTGCCCGGACGTGCTCATCCTCAACGGCCCCTTCATCGACATCGAGCACCCCAGCGTCATCAACGGCGACTTCGACCTCCCCGCCCACGCAATCCCCAACCCGGACAAAGCCACCATCCGCGACGTCTTCCGGCACTACATCTCCGCGCCCCTAAACCAACTGGCAGCACAACTGCCCAACACGACCATAATCCTGCAGCCCAGCGTGCGCGACGCCATCGCCAAACACGTCAGCTTCCCGCAAGACCGGCTCAAGCGGCAAGAATTCGGTCTCCCCAGACAAGCAACCATAGTCACGAACCCGGTGACGCTGAGCGTCAACGAAGCCGTCGTCGGGCTCGCCAGCCTCGACGTCCTCGACATGCTGCGCCGCGAGGAGTGCGTGTCGGACAAGGCGCGCGCGAGCAACGCCATGGCGCGCTGGGGCGCCGCGCTCGTGGCGCAGCGCTCCTTCTGCCCGGTGTTCCCACCCACAGCCCGTGAGGCGTATCCGCGGCTCGAGGCCGGCGGGCGCGAAGCCGTGACCGTCGAGGCCGAGGACGGCGTCGTCGAGGGCCGCGTCGAGTTTTTGCCGGTCGGCGCCGTGCTGGATACGAGTTTTTTGAAGCTGGCCGAGTGGTTGACTGTTAGGCCGGATGTGCTGGTTACGCCGTCAGCGCTGACGCCGTTCGCTAAGGTGCGTGTGCTCTTGTCTTGTCTAGTGTGTTTTTTCCGACGTTGCTGGACGTGTCTTAGCTGACTTTTGCTTGCTTGTTTGTGTGCAGGTTATTAACTCTGTGCTGGTCGTTAACCCGGGCACGCTTAGCAAGCGCAAGGGTCCTGGCACGTATGCGCGCTTGACGGTCCTTCCGGCTGCCGTTACCGATGAGGATAGAGCAAAGGGCGAGATTCTCGCGCATAGGCTGTTTGAGCGCGCGAGGGTCGACATTGTGCATATCTAGACTGTCTGTCTGTTTGTCTGATTAAGGAAATGCTGGGTGGGTATCCTCAAGTACGAGGGATCGGAAATGGAGTCAGAACTGGGAACGGAATGACAGAATGGCATGGTGTTTTGATTTTCTTCTTTTTGTTTTTTGAATGGACATCAACGACGCTGGTAGGGTTTGGGTCAAATCATCACTGCACGGCGAGCCGGTAGGTATGCAGCTGTGTGGTTTAATTTGACAGTGGAAGAGGTCACGTAACCGCATCGCTCGCCATTCCAGGGCCCGTGTCAGAGGTATTCATACAATCATAGCATATTCGACAGCCTCACCGATCCGCAGCCTCTATGATACAGCCGGCTCTACGACAGGAACACGCGCAGGGCGGACAGAGAGAGTAAGTAGACGGAAAGAGAGAGAGATTGAGGTTTTGAGAGAGAGAGAGAGAGAGAGAGAGAGAGAGAGAGAGAGAGAGAGAGAGCAAGCAAGCATAAACGCGTATCAGAGCATTTCACAAACGATATAATAACTGCAGAGGACCCTTCAACAACAACAACGGGAAACGAGCAACGGCGGCGGCGCGCTCCTTCCGCCTAGTCCCTCTTCGACGGCGGCTCCGGGTGCACCTCGGTCACAGCCGTCAGCAGCTGGTCGACGACCTTGGAGCCCTGCTCTGCGCCGATGCCGTTGATCTCGCCCAGTTTCTCGTCCGTGGCCTTGTCGGCTTCTTCTTCGGCCTTGGCGTTGCCGCTGCTGTGCTGTTTGGAGTGGGGGTGTTAGTGCGTGGTTGCTTGTTTGGACGGGTTGTGAGTGGAGGGCAGGTGGGTTGGTGCGTCATTGGTGCTTTCCCGTCCTTCGACGACGACAATGGTGACGACGGTTGTGGATGTTGGGCATGGAAATGTGCGCGTGCGTGCGTACCTCCTTCTCAAACGCTTTGAACTCCTCTTCCTTCTGCTGGCGGTACTCCTCGATTTCCTTCTGGGCCTCGCTGCGGGCGTCCTTTACGCGCTTGGTGCGGTCTATACGGGGAAAAGAAGGGTGAGTTAGGACGAGCTTTCTCTCTCGATTGTGGTTCGGGACTATGATGGCGGGGAAAGGTGTGTGGGCGTACATTCTCTGGCTGCGGCATTGGTTAGCATTGACGTCTTTCCCCACGTGGATGGATGGCTAGGTACGCACCTTTCTGCACGATCTTCTGCGCCTCGCGCTCGGCCTGGTGGGGGTGCTGTCAGCTTGCTTGCTTGCTTGGTTGTGTGGTGTTTGTCCTCTGGGCGGCGGGTGGCTTACGTCGAGCAGCGTCTGGATGCCCGCGGAGTTCTGGGCGGACTGTGTGGTGCGTCAGTGGATGTTTCTGCGGATACAGGCGTGATTCGCTGGTGGCGGCTACGCACCATGGTGAGGGATTCGTGGGTAGAGGCTTCGAGGGTGTTGGGGTGGTTGTCGCGAGATGTGCGAGTTGGGCCCGATGGTTGCTTGGTCGCTGCTGCTGGCTGGTGGAGCTCGTGCCAGGCTAGGTCACCACTAGGGCGGTGAGGCGGCTTCGTTGCTGTTCCCAACAAGGCATGTCATCGCCAGCACTTTTCCGGCCTGCCCACTTCACATTCGTTATTTATATCTATTTGTTTGATGGGGACTGCTGCTAAAATGTCACTTGCGTGATGACAGCTGACACGACTGATATCGTCATCTACGTAGGAGAAGGCCGTACACAAATTACTCGCAAAGGGTCACAACTATAGGTATATAGAATCTGAGAAGAAGTAGGATATCGGAAGCAGGGGAATAACAGTTTACAGCATGCCGAATTACCTATTCATCACTCTTTGTAAGTTTGTCCAATGTCGTCCGGTGCAGGACATACCCGGCGAGACAACCGTGCACGCGCATGAGTGGCGCGTCCGAGCCACCCGTGGCGCATCTCTTCAACTCCACCACATCCACCTTGCGCCGTCTTCCTCTCCGCAACCCACGCGCTCAGCTCTTAAACCACCCTAACTCCAACGCCCAACCCGCCACCACGACCAAACCACTCGCCCGCCTTCCTCTCAAAACCGACCGTCCCGCCTGACCCACCACACCCCACCCCCGCAGCAATAACCCACGATGCCGCGCGCCGAGGTCGGCTCCACCAAATGGCAGGCCAACAAGATGAAGTCCAAGGGGCTGCAACGGCTGCGCTGGTACTGCCAGGCATGCGAGCGCCAGATGCGCGACGAGAACGGGTTCAAGGTAGGCGCCTAAGAAGAGCGATGACAAGTTGCGCACCCGCTAACACTGGCACAGTGCCATGTCCAGAGCGAGAGCCATGTGCGCCAGATGATGGTTATCGGCGAAGATCCGCGCCGCGCCATCAACGACTATAGCGGCCAGTTCCAGCGCGATTTTCTGACGCTGTTGCGCACGGCGCATGGCGAGAAGGCGCAGAACTTGAACCACTTTTATCAGGAGTATATTCGGAACAAAGAGGTACGTACACCCATCCTTCGCTTTCACGCTTTTCCCGCTCCGTCTGCCCGTAAACGTACGAAAAATGAGAGGCTCCGGCTAACACCCCCACCACCAGCACGTCCACATGAACGCGACGCGCTGGCCCTCGCTCACCGAATTCGGCAAGCACCTCGGGCGCGAGGGCATCTGCCGCGTGTCCGAAGACGAAAAGGGCAACGGCCTGCTGGTGGCGTGGATCGACAACTCGCCCGACGCGCTGCGCCGGCAGGCCGCGCTGCGCAAGAAGGAGCGCCAGGAGCGCGGCGACGAGGAGCGCGAGCTCAAGCAGATCTCGGCGCAGATTGAGAAGGCCAAGGCCGAGCGCGGCGACGACGGCGACGAAGAAGCCGGCGAAGAGGCCAGGAAACTCGAGCGCAGGGACGGCGAGCGCGTCGTCTTGAGCTTGAAGCCCGCGGCTGCGGCGCCGCCCAAGGCGGGGGGCAGTCCGCCGCTGCAACAAGTAGATACTCCGACGACGACGGATACCACGCCCGCGGCAACCACATCAGAAACATCGCCCGACAAGCCCGCAAACTCGCCTACGCCGCCCTCAACAGACGCCGCTCCCAGCACATCCACCACCACAACCGCACCTCCCCCCGCAGCGACGAAGCCAGCAACGACATTCAAGTTCGGCGCCGCGGCCTCGAAGCCCAAAAACGTCTTCAGCGCGAAGAACAACCCGCTCGCGGCCAAAAAGGTCGTCGTCAAGGAGGCGCCGAAGAAGATGAGCGAGGCGGAGCGGATTATGAAGGAGGAGTTGGAGCGGAAGCGTGCGCGTGAGAGTGGGCAGGGGGGTGGGGGGAAGCGGCAGAGGGTTGCGCTGTGAGTGTGTGTGTAGGAGGAGAGGGGTGCGTGGGGTTTGGTTTAGTGCCTTCTTTTCTTCTTCTTCTTCTTCTTCTTCTTTTTCTTCTTCTTCTTTTTCTTCTTCTTCTTTTTCTTCTTCTTCTTTTTGCTTCTTGGGTTTGTTTGTTGTTCGTTTGAATTGTTAGTGCTTAGTTAAGTGCTGGTTTGCTAGCGTGGCGTTGGGGTCGTGAGGGGTTGTGTATATGGCGAGATGGACAGACAGACAGATGGTTGCTCGTTGATGTGCGGGAGGAGAGTACATACATACATGCATAGGTGGGACAGCGTGCTCTATCGGATCCAGTCACTCAGTCACTCAGTCACTCAGTCAGCTATACATGCATGCGTGCATACATATATACCTACAGCACCAACACCACCAAAACCCAAGCCATAACCACCCATGCACAGCCATCTAAACCGCCACCAACCACTCAATCCAGGTATCCCACCCAGCACCAGCACACCACCTACGCACTCTCCCAAACAAAAACATCCCTCCCCCCAGTCCCAAGCACAGCATACGCCTCGCCGCGGAACCCAGCCACGCTCAGCGCGGCCCAAGCGCCTTCTTTCCCCTTTCCTTCTTCACACGCAAGCCCCTTCGTCTGCACCAGCAGCCACACGTGTAGCAGCAGCCTCGGCGGCAGCAAGCCCCGCCAGCGCAGGCGCACGAGGTCGCGCACCACCGCCTCTCCGCCGTCACCGCCGCTGCCGTCGTTACCTCCGGCGCGATACGGCACCGGCACGTCCCACCGGCACAGATAGCGATCGAGCCCATCAGCGGCGGCGAGGCGCGGCGAGGATAGCGATGCCATGCCTAGCCATTCGAGGACCGCGGCGCTGTATTCGGTGTCCTGGAGGTGGGTGGGTAGGGTGGGCGCGTGCAGGGGGGGTGTCTTGGTGGCGGGGAGGGGGTGAGGGGTCGGGGTTGCGGGTAGGGCGTGGAGCGTGGGTTTGTGTGCGGCTATGGGTCCTGTGGGTGGGGGGGGTGGGGTTTGAGAAGGCGGACCAGGTGTTTGTTCTGCAAAGGGCGTGGTGAGGTCGTGGAAGAGCCAGGCCAGCGACTGCGTGAGCACGTTGCGGAAGGCCCACTCGAGGCGCGCGAAGCCTTTCTTGCCGTGCAGCATGCTGGGCTCGCGCAGGTTCGTCTCGACCACTGCGGGGTAGTGGGGTTAGCGGTCGTTCTCGTTCGGGCTGGTTGTTTCCCAGGCGCTGGACTTGCCGTAGCGGGCTTTGGTGTGCTTGCGGCCGCCGTGGGGGGCGGGCTTGCCGACGAGCCCGCACCGCTCGTACGTGGCTTTGTCGAGATCGAGCCGGAGTATGCCTGGGTGCAGGGGCCGTCGTTAGTAGGTGCCGGCATGGTGTAAGACGTGTCCTGGGGAACGGAACAGGGCTCTACCTTCGTGGAGCGTGTATGTGTTGTCTATGCCAGGACGGCCCTCGGAGATCATCATTATATTGCCAGTCTTGATGTACTGGTTGAAGAAGTCGCCCGATATAATCTCGCCCAGAGACATGGTGACTTTGGCATAGTGAAAGGTTCCGGCATTTCCCCCAAGCTCTTGCTTAACCGCTTCATAAACTTCCTCGGGAAGAATTAGATCGGCCTGATTTTTTGGCATTAGCCGAGGTGATACTCGTTTTAAAATGCTGGAAATGACTGCGCACAGTATGTGAGAATGGCTGCGAGGAAATGAGCGAAAAAGGCTTTTTCTTGGTAGGAGGCTGCTGGGGATCTATGTGGTCGGGTAGAGTGGCATGGGTGAAATAGCACTTGGGCGCCGGAGTGGCGTCTTTTCCGCCGAAATTATACATTGGGGGCACGGGTTGGTGGTGTCTGGCATTAATTTATGTCTAAGTTGAGTTATCATTCGTACCGCGTCGACCACAGTGGCGCCTACCGCTTTTGTAGTGGTCGGGGCGGCGGGCCGGGCGGTGGCCGTGGCAGAACGCAATTGGCGCGGCACATCAATTCGTGGGGAAGTTGCCAGAACAACACACAACACCACCACCACCACCAACTACTGTCAACACAATGTCGCACCACGCGCGCATCGAAGAAGTCTCGGACAGCGAGCCCGACGACATGGACCCCTCGGACTTCGACCCGCAAGCCTTCGCGCAAAGCATGATGGGGCCGGGGGCGCAGATGCCGGCGCAGCACGAAGCGGCCTCGGCGGCAGCGCGCAACGAGGCCGAGCAGCGCGAGCGCAGCAAGCACTGGCAGGTGCTGTACCCGGTGTACTTTGACGCGACGCGGACGCGGGCCGAGGGCCGGCGCGTAGGCAAAGAGCAAGCGGTGCCGAACCCGCTGGCGCGCGAGATAGTCGACGGCGTCGCCGCGCTGGGCCTGAGCGTCGTGTTTGAGCCCGGCAAGACGCACCCGAAGGACTGGGCGAACCCGGGCCGCGTGCGCGTGCTGCTGAAGGAGGAGGGCAAGGCTGTGAGCTCCTCGGTTAAGAACAGTGCGTTTTTGCTCTCTGGCTGTCGCGGTGCTTGCCTGCCTGCCTGGACTGAGTCGCTGATGTTTGTATCTTGTCCGCAGAACACCACCTCTACAACCTCGTCGCCGCGCACCTGAAGTCGCACCCCGCAACCGAGGAGACGCCGCTGCGCCTGCGCATCGCCGGCCTCCCGCCGCCAAAGGAAATGAAGCCGCCTGCGGCCCCGCGCGGCTGGAAAATGAACTCCATCTTGCCGCTGCACTCGGCCGCGCTGTCCGGCGGCGGCGTCTCCGAGAACATGTTCAAGGACATGATGGCGGAGCTGCAGGGCGAGCAGGGAGGCGCGGGCGCGGGCCCCAGTGGCAGCGGCGCCGCCAACGAGCCTAAGCAGAAGAAGAAGGACAAGAAGAAGGGAAAGGCTTGAGTGAGCGATGCTAGTAGCTCTGCTGCTAGGAGTGCTGCTAGGAGCGCCACTGCTAAAAGTGCCGCTACTACGAACAGCTATCAATGCACAGACAGCCACGATTACGGTTAACTACGGATGGGTGGATGGACAGGTAGATAGATCTAGCAGCGCATGCCGAACTCTCAAAAAGGCGACTTTCTCCTCCTTGGGTCGACGTCGCGAGACGTGGATGTCGGGAACGCATCGCCGCCTGCGCGGCTCTCCGGCCGTGCAGCTGATCCCGCGGAGGAGGACGCTGTCATGCTCGCACAAGGTATGGCTTGGCCTGGCTTGGGTGGGCGCGAGTAGTTGCAGCTTTAGACAGTATCTGATTAGAGACGTCATGTATTTGCTGTTTGAAAGTGGATGCTATACTCTACTACATGTTAGTGACTTCTCCTGCGTTGTCGATTGCGCCGTTCAGTCCTCACTGGACATAGTAAGAGACGCCGGAAAGATCACCAAACCCTACTACTGAACACTGCTTTCAAGACAGCGCAGCACGACGACTGGCCACGAAAGCTTCCCTAACCTCATTCACCAGCACCCCCAAGACTGTGACCCAAGAAACCTCTCTTACTAAAAATTGCGTTACCAGTCATCGAAATAGTTGAAAGCAATAGCATCAACTCCAACAAGTAAAAGTCTTGTATTGACTATATCAACTATACTGATCATATTAACTATATTGACCACATTGACCATATTGATGTTAACACCAGCAAAGCTCGGTCCCAGTCAACGAGCTATTTTAAAACCATCTACCCCATCGCCAGCCGCGGAGGGTCGTTTTTAGGTGTAAAAACGGCCTCTCCGGCAGGCAGGCAGCGGAAAGAAGCCGGCGAAGACCGCCCTCCCGTGTTCAGCACGCTGTTCAGCACGCTGTAGCGCGGAAGCGGGTAGGTGGCCGTTTTCCCACCTGCCTCGGGACGGGAGCATTAGTGCGGTGTGTGAGGTGGGAGATGGATGTGACTCCAGGAGAGGTGGTGGGTGTTTGTGTACTCACTGATCGGGGTTTGGCCGAATCGGGTTGATTGCTGCTTAGTGATTGACGTTCCTCGTGGCCACGGCGGTGTCTTGGCTTGGTGTTGAGGTTTTTGCCGTCATCCACGCCTCTGCGTCCGTTGGAGGATTGTAAGTCTTCGTTGATCATTGCCGGCTGCAGTGCGAGGCCCGGTACAGCACCTCATATGTGCTGTTCCAGCGAATGCCTCCATTCAGTATCAGCTCCCAGTCAGTGAGGCGTTCATCGGCCATATCGAGTCCAGCAGCCAATTGAGACGTTCGTAATAGTGAGTTTAGCTCTGTGTAGCAAGTAGTCAGAGGCGGGTATCTCGCCTGCTGTTCCACCGAATGCCCCCTTATATTTGCGAGGACCCGGAATGGTCCGGAGGCAGGACTGTTTCCGTTGCGGACCGGAGATATGAAGGCGGTTCAGGTTGATTAGTATAACTGGAGTAACCTCGTGACTGCGGTTCTTGTCCAGCTGTACTCCGTCCAGTGAGAGTTGCAGTACAACCTCTGCTGAATATCACCGCCTTCGTCTGTATTCTGTACATCATGTACTGTATCTCTCCATTGGGAACTGCAACCAGTTTGGAAATGGTGCGCGGGTGGGAGAGATTCCGCAGTGCTGCGTCCGGTATGTGCTCGTTCAGCAGGAATACGCAAACCCAAAGTCCCTTATCACTGGCACCCTTCCCACTCTCGCTGGGTGTATGAAGCTAATCCATCCCATCGAGTATAGTGGGCATGTACTGCTAGCAGTGGTAGATCGTTGGGAGAGGTCTGCATGTCGAAGCTGATACTGATCCGAGACAGTGCGTATTTAATCCTCTTTTAATTGGTTCGCGGACGTCATTGTAGAGCTGGACAATGAGGTTGCAAAGCATTATGTCCGACATCGTTGGAAGTAAAACGTCTTTCGTGATCGTTGTAGGAGGTCATAATTGGAGCCTCGTTGATACTGCCCAGGGACGCCTTGTAGGGCAGCCGAGACTTTGAAGGTGTTAAGAGATTGCTTTCTTAACATCTTCTGAATCTCTACAAATTTCAACAGCATCTCGTGCCAGGCTGTGCGGGTCGTTCGCTCGCCCGTGCGCAGGCGAAGAGAGGTGTGAGGCTTGAGAAAGCAAATTGAGGCCTCATAGGCAGTCTAAGTGAATAAATATAAGAAGCTGGCGGCTGCCAGAGCTAAAGCTGGCATATCAACAACATCGGGTTTCGTTGCGAGCGACAAGCAGCGCCGCCAGCTAGGCGTCAAGTGGTGGCAGGCAAAACGAGGTGAAGTCGAGAAAACATAAAAGGACACGCAAGGTGGTACCAGCAAATTACGGTTACAGCGCGTCACGCGTCGCGCGACGCGATAACGTCGACCTTCACCGTGAAGCGAGCCCCACTGTATAACGAGCGCTTCAATCAGAACTCTCCTCGGGCCTCATCGAGTGCCTTCTTAGCAGACAGATTGTTAACAATTGTCTATAGAGATCTTAGTTATTAGCAACTCCTCTACTTTGTCTTTATACCCTTCGCTTTTAGTATTGTTACTTTCTCTCGTAGCGACGAAACAAAGTATATATGCTAAATCCTCTAGAGTTATAAACTCGAAGGTAGTTTCATTGAGAGGTTATGGCCGGCCCGCTCACTACATGGTGAAGTTCGTCACGGTAAAGGACGTTAATGCACGAGGCCCAATCAGCACGCAGGGCTTCCGCATGCAATCCCGAAATATAATACCGTAAGTCCGACATTATTTCAAGCGCTCTCGCTGGCCCGGAAGTAAAACCCGCTACGTTGGAAGTTGGACGGGCAGAAGCGCTGCGCAAACGCCTCATTATGCCGTAAATGGGAAATCGTGCTGCTGGCGCTGGGGCGTGTCCAAAGTTACGGTGGTGCGGGGGCGGGGAGGCGGGTCCGCGGGAGGGCGGAGGTCTGCCCGTCACCGCGCGGAGCCGGAGTGCTTCGCCGTGGTTGGTTGGCTGCGTTAGTTCGCTCGGGAGGTTGCGTCTGGTGAGTTAGATGTGGATGGTTGAGATGATAATGCAGTCCTCCATATAGGGGTAAGGAGCAGGGTAGGGCCGATGAGTGAGGTGGTGGTTTTGTGCTACGATGCTGGGTGATTTGAAATGTGAAAATGATAGATTTTAAACCCTTATTTGCGGTTTTGTTGTAAAGCTGTGATATAAACGATAATCCTGAAGTCGGTTTTGAAAAACTAAAATGAGATGCCGGGTAGCTGATACAGGTCTTTCGAAAAACGTGCTGCGTCGATGGCGTTTTTCTGGCCTCGGATATCGGCGTAGAGCTTGATTAAGACCATCCCCTGAACTCACCGTGTCGAACTTCGGGAGGACGATGGAAATAAGGCTAGACGTGTAAGTTTAGAGCTTCGACAAGAAAGCAGAGCTTCGCTGAAAATTACAAGGGTTCCCGCCTAGATCGTGGTTGGTCGAATGCCGCGTTTGTCTCGCTTTTGATTGAAGTCGACTTAGATCCGAGCTTTGCTAGTCCAGTTGACGTCTATCTGTAAGAAACAAGAAAGCCGTTAAAGCTGTTGAGTAAAACCTCGATTATCCAGTGGTGTACATTGAGAGCCAGTGATCCTTCCTGGTGGTTTAGGGCCGTCTGCAGCTCGGCTCGCGTTTCGGGCCTCACACATGCAAGACACGATCAAGCAAAGCCGTGACAACGAGAATCGAGGAACTAGATTCCTAGAAATGATGGACCTAGCCACCAGAGCATACCAGAACATCGCAGGTCGTGTACCAAGGCCCAAATAAGAGTCACAACTCCATTTGTTCGTCATTCGCGTATGCTCGAAGCCCTTTTTTGACCACTCATGACCGGCTCCCAAAGACACCACCCGCCTACTCAACTCCTCTTCAAATGCGGTTCGAAAATAATTTACCGGTGCTGCGGCACATGTCAGCCAACGTTCGACAAAATGCGCCCTGATACCCTCGATGCTTCTCCAGTCGAATGCGCCGTGCGCAATTCGTTTAAAATCCATCTCTTTCACTCTTTCTGTATTCCGTTTGGGGATCCGTACCTTGGTGAAGCCGATGTCGGTGGACTTCTCACGGAAGCACTGACGGCAGATGTTCAGGCCGTACTTGCGGATGAGACCGGCCTTGTGGGTGCAGACACGGCTAAAAGAGACGAAACCGTCAGCAAAAGAGTCCCGTTGCTCGCACGCCTTCGCCCGTGTTCCCGTTCCCCCTCTATAACGCTGCGCCATTGCGCCCCCCATCGATTGAGGTGCCAAGGAATCGCTCCACAAGCGTGCCTGGTTTAGAAATCAAACGTACCAGCCACGGGCGCCCTTGCCGTAGGTGCGGGGACGGGAGAAGTAGACGGTCTCGTGAGACATGATTGCGGTTTGTTGGTGTCGGAGGACGGAGGTGTCTGTGTGCGGGCCAAGACTATCAGTACGGCCGTCGCGGACTGACAGAAAAAAAAGTAGGGCGCGGGTGAGGCTCACTGGTTGCTTGAAGGTCGTCCGGTGGGCGGTCAGAACCGTGGTCGTAGTCGTCTCGAAGTCGTTGTCGCAGGCTATCACTTTTCGCACAAGGGTCGAATGTGGCATCTGTAGTGTGGATTCGGCAAATTGTTGCGCTAAGCCGGATGTGAACTAGCAGCTTGTCAATCACGGGATTCGACGACGTTTCCCGCCAAAGTGTCCGGGTAGCGCTGCGGACCAGCCTGGTTGACAGGCGGCCTAGTAAACACCAAACAAACACCGGGACCGTGACATAAGTCTGCCGTTAGATCGGAGTTTCAACGTTGTACCTTGATCGCGCCTGCCGTCCAATCGTTGCTTCTCCCAACAAGTCCTACCTATAAGGTCAGTCCAGATGTCCTCTTGCCGGTTGCATCCGCTCGCGCCTGTCAGCTCCACCCAGTCTAGCATCCGTCTTTGCCGTACGAGATGATATTTACAACGTTCGTCGCCCTATTTATTGCTTGGATCTCGTATATTATCTGCACCTCTTGATTGCACAGCCTCAGCGTCACACCCTGGTTTACCAGACTTCATGGACACTAGAGCCAAACGCTCTAGTGATTATTTCAAGTCAATCCTCCCCCCACACCATCTCACGTTCACCAATTTCCGTCCTTTTTCATAGTTCTTCTCCATTTTAGCTAAAGATGAGCTGCTTCAAGACCGGCGTTATCCGGCTTTGCTTTTGGGTCGGTTTGCTTATTCACCTCCAGCCCCCGTGGCTCATCAGGCTCCGAATCCGCGAGTGCCTCGAAAGAGAAGAAGAACCGGACTGCACCAGCATCATCAAGCTCGCCTGTCTATAACCAAAGCACCGCCTCAACCCAAAACCCAAACCCGCACACGTCACCTTATCTCGTAGTACCGCGCGCTTAGCAACACCACCAACATGGTCTGTACGCCCAACACCCCCACCCAACAACTTCCTCTGTACCACCACGCCCCACTAACCCCCCACCCCGCTCTAACAGTCCCGCGACTCCTCCCGCACATACATCCATCTTGCAGAGCCGCGCTTCGCCGACCTCTTCGAGGACTTCACCCGCACGCCCCTGCTGCCTGAGGAGATCTACGTCGCGCCCCAGCACCAGCCTATCAACCCGGAGGACGAGGACGACGTCGTCCCTGACCAGCATGCCGCGTTTGGCATCCAGCGTGCGACGCAGCAGCGCCGCCAGCCCGCGTGGAAAGACCTTGGTCTCGAGGAGCTCATGACTAAGGGGCCTTCTGAGCCTGTGAGGGCCACGCTTACCCATCGCACTAAGGGGAATGGGGAGGGCTCGAGCTCAAGTGCTTTGCCTAGGTAAAGGATTGAGCGTACTTGACGGTTTTCGGACTTGATTTCTGCAAGTAGACTGTTTGGGTGGAATTATGAAGACTGGCGTGAGGATGCCAGAGGTTGGAATGCTTTCCCTTTTATTAACTAGAGATACCACCCCTAAGTCTCTTCTCTACTGAAGAGATCATCAATTTACCTCCTATGACGAAATCCCAGTGGCATATCAAACTTCAGTGATAATCCTAACCCTCAAGTTCAATGAAATCCAGAGCATGCTACTCCTAAAACTTCATAGACTCATCCAGGCTAGAATGCGCTTCCTCGCTAAATGATGAGCCAGTCCAGAAAGCAGAGCACTTAACCCTACTTGAACCCCGATGCCCCGACAAGTATCCCGAAGTCTAATCACGGCTAAACCTATCCCAGCCCGCTTGCTGCAAACCTGTCAGTCCCGCTCATCAAAAATAAACTTGATAGCACTCACCTTGGCGTTTCTAGCAGTATCAATCTCTGACCTAAAGTCCTGATGAAGACGCTTGATTTCGCCCTTCGTCGCCATCTCGTCGACGACCTTGTTCGCGTATTTCCGCTTCTTTTTGTCTTTCCAGCCGTCACGCTCCACGATCTTGTCAGGGTCCAGATGGCCCTCCGCAGCCAGCCAGTCTACCACCCAGTCGTTAAGGTGGTATCGCCAATGCGCGAGAGCGTGCGCGGTCTGGGCATTCATCTTGCAGAACACGCCGACATGGAAGACGGCGTCTTGGGGTGGAACGGAGTTGCCGCGACTGTCGTAAGACTTCTTGTCATCGTCGGAGTCGTCGTCTTCGTCTTCGTCGGAGTCATAGTCGTCGGCCACGTCTTCGAGCGTGGAGCGATGGTACGGATGGCCGCGGAAGTAAATGTTGAACGTGGCTGGATGTCCGCGTCGGTTGCAAGCCATGCAATGGTCACCTATAAAGTCTGCTCCTGCACGTGAGATCTCTGAAATCTCGATTAGGGGCCTTGCATGGAGCGCCCGAGTGAACTCTGGAGTCCATACAGAGGACGTGAACTTGGATCCTGCAAGTCCCTTAACCTCGTCGTCCAGTTTGCGGAATGTTAAGGCGTAGATTTCATCATCGCTTGGAAACGCGGGGTTTAGTTTCTTGTGGACCATCCACTCAACCGCATATTTGAAGAGATCTTTGCCCTTCATCCGGCTCATGCTGGTGAACTCAAGTGGGATCTGGACATCCTCATCAGGCACGCCCAAGGTGTCATCCCCGTCTTCCACAACGAAGCTCTCGTCCTCAGCGTCCTCTTGAAACATAGCCATAGTGGAGGCTTGATGGACGGTTGAATGTGGTTCATCGGCAGGGCCTTCGAGGTCGTCTTCGTCTTCTTCTACCTCGTCGTCCTCGGCACCTGACTCTAGCTCCGATTCCGATTCAGTGTCATAAAGCGCTCGTCTCTGCGTCCCTTCCGGCTGCTCTTCCAAGTTGGGTTCCGCATCCTTCTCACCTGCGCGGCGACGTCTCAAAGCTTCCAGAGCCCTTTCTCGGGCATTCATTTGCCGTGGCGGACTCTTGCGACGTAATTTCTTTGGCGTCCTACCTAGAAATTCCAGGTCTTCTTCCAGGTCCTCCTGTTCTTGTTGCTGCTTTTTCTTGTCTGGAGCCCGCCGCCGTCTGCTTTGAGTTACCACCATCTCTTCATCGCTATCCTCTTCTGGGGTCGAAGAAGCTCGCTTTCTCTTTCGCCTAGGAGTGACGGGACCAACGTCGTCGCTATCCTCCTCTTCACTTAAGATTGCTGGCGCATTTTTGGTTCCTCTGAGCTTCTTTACTGAATTAGGTGACGAGGCAAGAACCTCGTCTGAGCTTGATTCTGCCTCACCAAAGTTTGAATCTCTAGACTGACCAGCCTTCAGAGGTGCGTCTACGATTTCGAGGCCGTCGGAATCAGAACCTTCTTCTTCATCACTTGTGATGACGAAATATTTCTTCTGGTCCTTTTTGGAATTCTGGGATGATCGCGTTGCACGTCGGCTGGGTGGCGGCGATGGTGATGCTTTGGTCTTTTTCGAGAATTTCTTCTTTGTACTGTTTGCATGGTCTGTAGCCTTTGCACGCTTGGAACGGCGCTGAGTCTTCGGCATATCTTCTTCCGACGAACACTCACTTTCGTCCCTCACGATGGCTTTATTCTTTCCGGACTGGGTGAGCTTGCGACTTTCCTTTGTCTTTCTTCCACTACTTTCGATGAAAGTGTTGGACCTCGTTTTCCGCTGCATGAGGTTAAAAGGCAAGCTCTCACTGTCACTCTCGCTGTCGCTGTGACTAGCTGCCTCGCTTCCGACTTCCTGAACCGCAGGGAGCACCCCACTTGGTTTTGGTTGAGTTTCTAAGAAGAATTAGTAAAACTTATCTTTCTAGGGTGAGTAGACATACTGGAAGAGCGAATTTGGGAGGATCGTGCCGGTGTAGGTAAACTTGTCTGACCACCGTCTGTATTCACTGTCAGCAAAATGTCTCACTGTCCAAGAAGATTCTCCGAACTTAGACACCAAGTCAAGTTCTGAACCTCTACAACAGGCTACCAGCTCCTGTGAGACATTTGGTGCTACATACCTTTGCCTGACGTGCTCTTGTCGTCCGCCACTTTTCGTTTCTTCAGCGGACTTCCCTCATAGCCGACGGCGGCAGCCTTGTCACGAACTGCGGGCGACAGTTGCGAAGCCGCAGGCGAAGAAGACGGTATAGGTGTAAAGTTCAGCCGCGTCTGGCGCGCACGGCGCTTGCTTCTTTTCGACGGCTTCATGCGGGGCCTAAGTTTTGCGCAGAAAGATCGCAAGGCGCAGAAACCGAAGTCGCGGCGGGGACGCGAGTGAGCTGGGTTCGGCGCAAGGTGTCAAGGCTTTGCCCGTATGTCGGCTAGTGGCCAACGGGAAAATGGTATGAGTGTCGAAGCCAAATTAATGTCATGTAGAATGTCGTCAGAACTTGGCGATCGCGTTGCGTTAAACGCGCGGTCACGTGAAACTATGATTACTAACCGGGCTACTTTATCATCTGAAAATCAAAGCAACAAAACGACTGATTCGAAAGTAGAGAATGTAGTCTTCTCTAAGTGTCTAGCAGGAAGAGGTCTTTCGACTCAAAGCCTGAAGGAATTGCTTTTTTTTTATGAAGATAAAGAATCACTGTTCAGCCAATGGTGTTGTCGGAAGTTGACCAGGGTACAACGACCACCATGCACTCACATACGGTTACTGCAGTCCGATCCCCGTTTACCTTCGACTTTATATAAGGTTTGTCTATTTGTATTAGCGAAGGTGCACAGATAGTTACGCAAGACCTGGCCGGATAGCGATAAACTCCTTTTCAACGGCCGGAAATTGCCGGTCAGTTCAAGCGTGGTAACTCCCTTCACCGTCAAGCAATTCACCTTCTAGCGAGATATGGAGGGATACAGACAGTCCCTATGGAACACCCCTTGTCTAGCCACAAGTTTGAGTCCTGGATATGGGTGAAAGGGTCTTAGAGCGTACACATACTACAAACACCTTGATTAGGTTTTGTCTCTACCATACCAACATGATTTCGTTGGGTGGTGAATCTCCTTCTATCTGAGTGTTGCATTATTAATTGAAGTAATGGTACTCGGTATGTCGGAGCAGTTCATTGCCGTCGCCTATTCTATTTTCGCCTGCAAATACAGCCACATCCCTGTTCAGATGCGCCGACTGATGACCGAATCAGGGATGGAGGCGTTCGTATGTCCTAGCTTACTTCATCGGCCACTCAAGTATGTGGTAGATGGGGAACTAACCCTTAGGGCGCGGGCTTTATTACCAACCGTCCCATGAGTCGTACAGCCTCCGGAGACGTTCCTTTTCCTCTTCGTCCGCGAAGATAATGTCAATAACACCTGTGCAAAGCTCTTTGACCTCTCTATTGTTCAAATTGAAGTGCTCGATGGCAATAGCATACTCCGCTGAGAGTGGACTGCAGAAGACACCGACGTCGTCAGTCTAGATGTCGAGTCAGTGTGTCAGTCCCTGCGTCAGTTCGGCTCGAGATTTACTCACGGAAAGCGCCACGCCGACTCCGGATCCTCTCCACCAACCGAAGTGATGATCTTGGAAACTTCCTGTGATCATCTTAGCGTGGACGTTGCAGCTTATGCAAAGCTCAACGCCAATCTTTTGCTTTACGATTTCCTTCCTAAGCTCTTCCTTCACGTGGATGACATGACCAATTCGGTCAGGCTGCCAGTTGAGCAACGTCCATAGCTCCTCATCAGTAGAAGAGGCAGGTGCTTCTGCAAAGTGGACCGTGAGCTTTAAGCCGGCATCTTTGGCCCGTGCGAATGCTTTGGAGAAGATGCGCACATTGCCCTTTGCTGGATCGCCACAGAGGTCGACACCAACTACACCACGGGACTTGTAAGCGATAGCCAGATCGACAACGTCCTCGGCTTCTGCAGCCGAGTTGCGTCGATCAACTGACAGGATGAGATTTGAACGCATGGCATTGCCAGGACGCGCATTATGCTCTTGAATGCAGTCGAGAACGGCCTCGACGTATGCGCTTCTAGAAACTCCTTGGTCGGGAATGGCGCGCGGGGTGGTCCGAAGCTCGAGATGAACGACGCAGTCTAAACGGAAGGATTCGAGCACGGACAACGTAGAATACCTGCTCGGTGAGCAGGAGCACGCAAAGGGGCGCAGGCAGACCAGTCATACTTGATGCTTGGGATGTCGCTGCATAGTTCGTAGATGTATGAAGAGAACAGTGGGAAGAAGCTTGTTAGGTAATATCAGTGACAAATTCGGTTCTTTGAAGTGAAAGGCACGCGGCAAGACATTTTAATGAATGGAAAAACGCCTATTGGCCGAGAGGGAGAGAAGGGGTTTCTTGGGCTTGAAGAAAGCCGTTACGCGTGGGGCTGTACGACCAGCCGGACTAGGCGATCGCTTGACGAAAGCGAGGCATCAGGGGCGAGGGAGCATTCTCACGTCTTCAGGTCGTAGTCGACCTTGCCCGGCGGGATAGCATCGAGCGGATCCTGGAGGGCAAAGTGCGGCTGGGCGCTCCTCCTCTGCTCCCAGATGGCGTGCAGACAGTCTCGACTGATGCTGCCGCTAAGATGAGCATGAAGCTGTCGGGGACGCGATCAGCCCCTAGTGCTAGGCGGGCCCGGACGGGACGGCCGGCAGATGGACTCCGGGGTAGGAGTACGGAGAGAGCGCTGGACACCTACCTCGACCTTGGGGAGAGAGCTAGTGTCGAGGGGCATTTTTTGGAGAAAGCGCGCAGTTGTGACGACGACGACTCGGCAAGTCGCGGGCAAAAGCGTGCAGGAGGAGGGGGGAGGGACACGGCGACGGACAGGATCTGCTGAAATTGCGGCAAGTGGATATAGACGCTAGCGCCAAAAGCGAAAAACAATTTGGGCGAGCGCCGCGCGCCCATCCCGCCCGTGAAACACGTCGCCGCCGCAAGCAACAGGCAGACGCTTTGCATTGATCGAGGGCCCGCTTCCAGCCGACAAGCAGCGAGCGTGCACGCCGAATCCGCCGGCGGCCTTCTCCTGCAACTCCTGCAAATCGCACCAGCCGCGGCGGTTCTCTGCAATCACCTGAAGCTTGGACCACAGCTAGCAGCTAAAGCAGCCTAGGCGACGCCGGGTTGACCGGGGGCCATTCGCGCTGTCTCCCGTCCTTCAGCAACGCACCGCATCCACCTTTCTCCCTGACCGGCCGCACGACAAATCCAACTTCACCAGTGCACCTGCTGCATCTGCTTTTGCGCTCTCGTCGCTCGGGTCTGCGGAACCTTCTCTCCATCTCTCCTGTCGCTCATTTACTCGCTCCGCCCATCTTCCTCCAACCCGCCCGCCGCAGGCCCCTGGATCTTGCCCTGTCGCACACCACCGCCGCGCCTCGTCTCACCTCCCCCCCAACTCACTAGGACGCACCCTTCACAATGGCCGACATGAATGCCGAGAGCATTCAGCAGAAGATTCAGATTGCAAGGCGCGATGCCGAAGCATTGAAGGACCGGATAAAGCGGAAGAAGGACGAGCTGGCTGACACCACCCGTGAGTGACCTCCCGACCAAAGAAAGTTCCAATGCCCCGCCAACGCCTGCTAACCGGCCCCTCTCAGTCCGCGATGTCGCCAAGGAGAGAGTCGAGCAGCTGCCCAGGCTCACCATGAAGACCAAGCGCACCTTGAAGGGTCACCTGGCCAAGATTTACGCGATGCACTGGTCGACGGACCGCAGACACCTCGTCTCCGCCTCGCAAGACGGAAAGCTCATCATCTGGGATGCCTACACTACCAACAAGGTCCACGCCATCCCGCTCCGCTCGTCATGGGTCATGACCTGCGCCTACTCCCCAAGCGGCAATTTCGTCGCCTGCGGTGGTCTCGACAACATCTGCTCCATCTACAACCTCTCGGCAAGAGAAGGCCCCACCCGCGTCGCCCGTGAGCTTTCTGGCCACTCTGGTTACCTCAGTTGCTGCCGCTTCATCAGCGACCGCCGCATTCTCACTTCTTCTGGTGACATGACCTGCGTTCTGTGGGATCTCGAGACCGGCTCTAAGGTCCACGAGTTCGCCGACCACCTTGGTGATGTTATGAGTCTTTCCATCAACCCGCTCGACAACAACCAATTTGTCTCTGGCGCTTGCGACGCCTTCGCCAAGCTCTGGGATATCCGCCAGCAGAAATGCGTCCAGACCTTCGCGGCGCACGACTCTGATATCAACGCTATCCAGTACTTCCCCAACGGCAATGCTTTCGGTACCGGCTCCGACGACGCTTCTTGCCGCCTCTTTGATATTCGTGCCGACAGGGAACTCCAAAGTTACACTGTAAGTCACACTTTATGCATTGCTGCCCCGCGCGCCGATTTGTCATCATAACGAACATCCGCTGACTTTTTGTTTAGATTGGTGAGCCTGTCTGCGGTATCACGTCGGTTGCTTTCTCCGTTTCCGGAAGATTGCTGTTCGCCGGTTACGATGACTTCGAGTGCAAGGTGAGTTGAGCCAATGACTGCTTATAATTCCCAAAATTCCCGGATTTATGGCTAATCATCCATTCAGGTTTGGGACGTCCTCCGTGGCGAGAAGGTCGGTACGCTGCAAGGTCACGACAACCGTGTCAGTTGCTTGGGTGTTAGCAATGACGCGATGAGTCTTTGCACTGGCTCCTGGGACTCTATGGTGAGTACTCTTTGGAATTTCCTCCGTGCCGAATTATTATTGACGTTGCATACAGCTCCGCGTCTGGGCTTAAGCGCTTCTGCCAATCCATCGACGAACAAAACGGGTATCGATGACCCGGACCATATACGACCTTCCGATAAAACTTTCTATTCCCCCACCACCTTCCACCGAAGCGCGCTAGACATACCCTGTTTATCTCAAAGCGGCTTCTTCCTCCATCACGCACGATTTTACAAACGAGACTGGCGAGGAACCCGGTCTCCGCTTGTACACTCCTACACGGCTCTAATCTTTCCTTTCGTTTCGAGATGGTTGCGCGTCTGGGCTGGGTCTATTTCGGCCTGCAGTTGTCGGGTCGAGCGGCAGAAAGCACTTTTCCTTGTCTGCTTTTGAATAAAAGCTGCACTTCTCTGTACCTTCAACTACCCGTCATCCGAACCCTCTGAGCGCCTTCCCTCGAGATTCCCTAATAAGGCGCACGGTCACGAGCACGGATATCCCTCGCTTTATAGCTCGAGATGTGCTCTTTTTCGGACGGTTCGGCGGTTCTTTTCTTGCTCAATGTTTTACCTACCCTTTTTTTGTTCTTTTTCTTCTTCCCTTTTCCTTTCCTGCTCTGATACAGGCGGTGGCTTATGGTGTCCATTGTGGTTGGCTAGCATCTAATTCGAGCTCAATGCAACAGAATACAGAAGCGTTTGACGGTGAGAGTGGCGCGTGGTATGAGAGTGCTAAGAGAGCGACGCGTGGAGGCCTGACGGGCTAAGGTTCTGAGACGATCAGGCATGGGTAGCGCGGCAGGATTTGACGCCAGAAGCATCAGAAGGCGACTGGGCACGAGTGGGCGTCGGGGTAGCGGGGCGCCTGGGGACCAGGCAAGCAATCTCGACGACCCCAACGACCCAAGTCGACGCGGTGATCGCGGTGGACACGAGCCGCGGGCAGCGTCATGCGGACGGGCAGGCAGTGAGTGATGGCAGTGTGACAGCGTTTCGGAGCGAGTTTCATTGGAAGCCCCTTTTCGCAGCATTCAGCCTTAGGACAACGGCGGGTACGTCAGAAGGGGCCTAGGAGCCCTAGTCTGACACGTGGGGTGCCCTGCCGCATCCCTCTCCAGGCACGAGCTGCGTCCAATAATGTCCCCGCGCACAGGCCCCGGCTCACTGAAACGTCGAACCAAGCTCCTCTGCGATCCTCACCCACCTTCCTCTCCCGCCCACGCACGTCGTCTTTCCGTCGTCACTTCTCACGAACCCTGCACTCGCTGCCCTCTTGACTTATAACCCGCCCACTGCCGCCCGCCCCCCAACCTCTTCTCACGATGAACGCTGCCCAGGAGGAATTCGACGAGCTCTTCCGAGACAAGGATCGCAATAACAGACACCCCGAAGATCGCCAGGACTCCCACTCCGAGTCCGACAACGACTCCACCGGCCAAGACGACGAGAAGGACATCGACTCCGACTTTGGTGACTACGACCGCGAGGACGAAGATAGCAGCATGCGGACCCGCTACACCATCCCCCAGGCCCGCTCCGAAGCCAACACTGGTCCCAAGGGCGTCATTGCCGATGCCCAGGCCTTTGAGCAGGCCAAGAAGCAGCGCTTCAACTTCCTGCGCAAGGACCCCGTCCCCAGTCGCCCCCGCAAGAATACCAAGAGCGAGAAGAGCAGCGTCAGCGATGACGATGACGAATTCATGAACCGGTGGAGGGAGAACCGCTTGAAGCAGCTCCAAAGCGACCCCAAGCGTGTCGTGTCGCGCTCGAGGTCGCGCACCGACAGCCCTAGCCAGAGGATGTACGGACGGCTGGTTACCGTCGACTCGGACGGCTACCTGGAGGCCATTGAGCAGAGCCCTCAGAGCACAACCATTGTGGTCTTCATCTATGACGATCACGTATGTTCATCCCGGCTTTCTTTTTCCGGAAAGTATTGGTCGCTGACTCTTTTTGCGCATAGTCTGAGATCAGCAACATGGTGGAGGATTGCCTACGCACGCTTGCCAGGCGCAACGGCATGGTCAAATTCGTCAAGTTCCACTTCGAAGATGCGGAAATGAACGTGGCGGGTGTCCCCGCCATTCTTGCGTACAGAGGTGGCGAGAAGTTCGCCGGCATGGTTCCGGTCATGGACGAGATCCCCGACGATGCGGAGCTCAATGATGTCACCCTGGAGGTGGCCATGAAGAAGTGAGTAGTGGCACACCGAACTACGAATGGAACGCGCGTCACTAACTGCAAGCGACAGGTACCAGATTCTGTTCTGAAGCAACAACGTCCGCACCCATATTACCACCCTCCATCGACGGACATGACGTCCCCACTGCTCCCTCCAACTTCCGTATCGCTCACTCTCGAGCTCCGGCTTTTTCCTTGATGAATAGGGGTCGGAAAGTCGCACGGACTGCACCAAACGTCCCTTAACGGAAATACTCTCCTCTCTACGTCCGATGACAAGGGCCCTTTCACGCACGTCCACCCCCAGAAGCGACTTAGCTTCCTCCGGCTCCGCCCCGCTACTTTACACAGGTAGCGGCGGTTCGTTACGATTTTCCTTTTTTTCAACACCACCACCTCATTTCCTGCCTGTTGGACAAGCCTCGCTTGCCCGGTCTGCAGGCGAGGCTCGCGGCGTTGGCCGCGGCTGCGTGTCGTCCGAGGCTGTTGTTGCTGTGCTTGCAATGTATGTCTGGCGTCTGGCGTCCGGCGTTGATCAGTGTAGAGACAGGGCGGCGGCGACGCGGCATGGCGGAGACGATCTGCTTTCCGCCTCACTCAATTTTCTCGGGCCCCTGGCACACACATGTTGGCGTTCATCATCGCCATACTCGGACGTTCCATCATTTTTTATATGTGCATATCAAATCAGTTTTTTGTCTTGTTTTTTGTCCTGCAATGTATATCCAATCAATGACGACCAACAAAACAAAGAGAGCAGCGCTTTCCCGTTTTTCTTTACTCTTTTCCTTTTTGATTATTTTTAGTCTTACGATTTTTTTGTTGCCTGCAGCAGTCTGCAGAGGATCGTGACATGGATTCGGCATGGGGCGGCGCGGATTATCGCCTTCATCATTGGGATCATCGCTATAGCACCGTTTGTACTACAAGCATGGGTGGGCCGGCTCCATTGCATTATACATCACGTACATATTGCACGCACATGGCTAGCGGATATTGTATCATATCATGGCACACAATGGGCCCAGGGAATCGGTAAGTTAGATAGGTTAGGGATGTACTTTTCCGGACCGCAATGGCTGGGCTGGGCTGGATGGGGCTTGGCGGGTTGTATGTATGTATGTATGTATTGTATGTACAGGCGTCCGTGCAGCGCAATATAGAGCAGATCTCTCCCTAGCCTAGGTGCCTCTCTCTCTCGCTCTCTCGCGTGCCTCTGGGCCCTCGTCTCGGCTTGCTGTTGTACAGATTGTAGCAGGGTCTCGCTTCGAGGCCGGCGTCCGCGCTCCAGGCACTGTCCATCGACGTCTCACTAGCCACAGATCATGCCCCTACCGCGCGCACATGGCCATTCGCATGGGCGTGGGCATGGGCCTACCACCCTGCGCAGAACAGGTCCCTGTCTGTGCTGTGCACGCTACCCTGCCGCTCATTGCTTGAAGCCGGTCGCGCCGGCGTCTAGGCAATAACGATTCTTATTGTTATTGCTTTGCATTGCAGCGCGGTTGGCTGGGCTATGCTGGCGCAGTTGTATTGTGTACGTAGTCACTAGGTCTTGGCTGCTGCTGTTGTTGGTGGTGGGGTTTAATGCTGTGTTGGGTGCTGTTGTTGTGATTGAGATGGGCTGGCTTGCTTGGTGGGGTTTTTGGGGGGTGTGGATCTTGGTGGTGCTGGTGGTGAGTGAGGGCTGGATCGGGTATGGATGGGGTGGGTGGCATAAGGTACTGTTTTTGGGGCTTTGCTGGTATGGTACGCTGTATTGTTGCTGCTTGGGTGTTTTTTCTGCTTTTTGGATTCATGTTGGTTTTTGTTTTTTTGATACCTTTCTTGAGTGTTGTTTTCTGTCTTTGCTTTTTGTTGTAGTGGACGAGCAAGGGTGTTATGCTGAATATCGACGCTGTCGTCGCTGAGAGTCCGGTATTAAGCTGGCAAAGCCAAGGAGCAATTCCACCCACGTTTCTGAGTTAGTTGTAAACATCGGGACCAATTGAACATCTGCTTCACGCCAATTACATCCTCCTGTCTCCAAAAAGTATATTCGTACATGACAGAAGCTGGACAAGTGCCTGGAGTAGCACAGAGTGTCGTCTGCGCTCAAAAATGCTGCGTCTATGTCAACGTCTCGGCCCTACATGTCTGCAAAAGAGCCAATGCCCAACAGCCCAACACCAAATTTCCGTGATTTTCGTTGACCGTCTCCAAGCATCGGCAAATAGTGGCGCCCGTCGATGCGGATTGGGAGCTGCCAGGCGCGTGCGTAATCGGTAGCTGCAGAGAGCTATTTTCTTGGAAAAAGTAAGAAACATGTTCTTTTTACAAGCACCAGCGAAATCCCGAGCCGTATGTGCGCCCTCTGCGTGCTTCTCTGCCCATGATGATACAAGCTCTTTGGCCAATGAACCCGAGTTTCCAAGCCACATGCAAAACGCGGTCTTTATTTTTGTTTTTGTTTTTTTCCTTTCTTTAGAAAACCCTGCAAAGCGGGCTACCGCCCAGCTTCTTTTCCACCGCCTCTCGTATCTCCATAATGCCCTTATCCGTGGTGATGAATAGGCACTCGCCAGGCTTGGTCAAGCCCTTGACGTTCCCGGTATCCCTCCCCAAAACGACCAGCTCCAGCTCCTTGTGCTTCAGATATATGCGCTTGGTGGGCTTGCTGACCAGCTTCATTGAGGACAGCACGGGCGTGTTATTCCAGTACTTCAAGCCGAGCCATAACCGTTGCGCGGCCCTGTTGGTGGGGATCGGGACGGGGGGCGGGGTGGACGGTTCGGCGGCTTCGTTGCTGGGGCTGGGGTACGCGAGCCAGGGCTCTGCGCTCAGCGCTTCGGCGGACGGCGTCGCGGCGTCGTCGTCCGGGGTTTCGAGGGCGAAGGTTGCGGGCGGCGCTGGCCCGCCCGGCGTCACCGTCGAGATGAAGCCTTGTTTCTGCAGCCCGAGCGCCAGCTTCAGGTGCAGTTTGGTGAGCGGGATCGAGGTCAGGCCGAGGCGGCCGCGCGACGCGTTTTGCAGGTGCGAGCACACGTTTGCGAGATGCACGAGCGACATGGTGGCCGGATGGAGGAAGGCGAAGTGTGCGCGGGCGAGGGGGGTCAATGTCGAGGGGCCGTCCGTCCGTCCGGGGCCTGGGTGGGAGGCTTTGGCTTTGCGCGCGCGAGCAATGCGGGGGTGTGCGAGCGCGGAGGGCGGAGCTGTTGATTGTCCAAAATTTACAAAGTCCTGAGGTCGGAGTCGGCACGTGCCTCACCGCCTGCGCTTCGGGTCTGTGCCTTGTGCTCCTCCGCCTTCGTCTTCTCCACATTCACGACTCAACTTGATCATGTACTCGACAGGCATGAAAGAGAGGTACAACAGACAACACGGCCTTGTCTAATTTTGGCATTGACTCCCACAATGGCTCTTTCTTTATACTGCAATTGGCTATGCAAACACAGCTGGATACACTGACAAACGCCTTTTTAACGGCTAGAAATTGCTAACCATCAGCTCAGACGTTGTGTCGGCTTTGATTGTATTCTGGTAGGATATCATCAGCGTTGGCTGAGTAGCATTTGGCGGAGGGAAACAAGCAATAATACTCTCCATTTCTTACTCTTCTCTATTCCACCTTGCTTCACAACAGCAATGAGTTACCCTCTATCAAACCAAAGTCAAAAGACGACTCAACTCTTCACTTTTCCTGCCTTTCCCAACAAGATCAACAACCACTTCAAAATACCAGCTCTCTTTCCCTTTCCAAACACCCCCACCCCTAAACAAGCCCAACCACAATTCCCAAGCTCAGAAAAGCCAGCACTAAGCCTCGGAACTCCCAAATAAAGGCAACGAGCAGAAATCAACCAGCACAGCCTTCAGTAAGGTACGTAAATTACTCATGCCAAACCCCACTTTTCAATTCCTTACACCACAGCACAAAGACCACGCCGATCAGAGGGCGCGGCCGTTGCGGCCTTGGCTGCAGTAGAAGCGTGGGCGCCTTGTGGGGACGTGTCGGCATTACGTGCAGGAGGGACGGCATGGTTATGGCGTGGGTGGGTCTGGGTATCAATGTATTGTACCTATGGAGTGGGTAAGTGCAATCGGCATGGACACAGGCTTTGTCTGTCTTCGGAGATCAGACATTCTGATTGTGCGCTGTGGGACTGGTGGGTTGGTTCTTTGGGGGCGCGGCGAGGGCGTGCTGGTGCTGGGGGTCGTCTGGATGGATGGATGGACGTTGCGGACGAGAACATCGATGGGAGTGCTGGCTGCGCTGCTGCTGCTGCCATAGCTACTACGGGTATTACTACAACCGGCTACCTACCACCACCGTCTCTCCTGTACGTCCACATACATTCTCTCTCCACTGGCCTCGCGACCCTATCCCGCAGCAACCCGCTGCTCCGCTCCCACAGGGCTCTTCTCGGAGCTCTTGAGATGGCCACTCGCGCGCAACGCCTCAATGCGCTCCTGTTCCTTGCGCAAGCTGCGCTTATTGCCGACCTGCCAGACGAGGGTATAGACAGCCATGCAGACGAGCATGAGCCCTAATGAAAAAGCCGTTAGTGAGGATTATTTGCACGAACTGGCCAGGAAAAGGCGCGCGCGCCGCCAAGGAAGGAAAAAAAAAAAGTAGTGTGGGGATCAAAATGAACTCTGGCCCGGCAGTGAGGCTGGAGATTACAGGGTTATAGCGTTTGAGGATGTGCGGGAGCGAAAGGGAAAGGCGTGGATAGGCATAATAGCGGCCTTGATATGATTGCAATAGCGCGGACGATGTCGCAATGAATATCATCTGTGCCCGCCGCGGCAGTGCTTCTCCGGAGATAAACGCCCGAGCGGGTGGTAATAAGAAAGAGTGAAAGAAATAAAAATAAAAGGAAAAAGAAAGCCGCGGGCGCCATCCGGCGTCGCCGGTTCACGGGCGCGCTGATGGTGAGGCGCGGGGTGGAGTAGGGTGGTAAATAACATCATAAGATGGGCAGGTAAGGACGGCATGAATGCCTGATGAACCCCACCCACCCACTCGCCCACGCTATTGTACACTACTGCCGTGACTGGACTGCGCCGTGTTGATCAGCCCGACTTACCAAGGAAGCCGAACAGGATGCCCAGCTCGTGCCCGGTGCTGGGTGCGGGCACGTAGCACTCGTGCTTATCTTCGGCCGTGCATTCGCCCATGGTCGCCGAGCGTGTCTTGCTTGCTTGCTTGCTTGCTTGCTTGCTGCTGCTGATGTTGCTGTGGGTCTGCGTTGCTTGGTAGCTGACTGCGGCGATCGCGGCGCACCGGTGCTGGCGGATGCTGTGTTGGTGCTGATGCTCGCTGCCCGATTATATCACTGCCTGCCAGGCTGCTACTCTACATCCCACGCATCTGCGTCAGCCAGTCCATCCGTCTGAGTAACCGCGGCCCCGTCCGGCCTGCCGGGCGTACGCGGTATGTGCGTGGGTGGGTAGATATGGAGGCAGTAGTAGGGTCGCCGGGTCGTCGTCGTCGCAGCGCCATGACTTACCGATTCCCAACCGCGTGTACGTATGTAATCAAGTAGGCAAAAAACACCGTCCAAAGTATAATAACAAGTCGAGAGCTGGGTATCCCAAACAAACGCGACGCCAACCTTCCTTCCCGGGGCAGGCAGCAACCCGCGCTATATACCGCAGCCTCCGCCGCCGCGCCGTCAGACTCTCAGCACCAAGCCCGCGGCCCCCGGGCATCCTGGCATATTATCCCCGCGTTCTAGTGCGCGGCGCAGCCAGGCTGACTCGGCCGTCAGCAAATACATAAGGTAGGTACATAACCACAAAAACCTGCTGATGAGCCTCGCCCACAAAACCCGTTACATGTGTGCATGGGCACAGCGATCCCACCAGTCAGTTCAGTCGCGTCCTCACGCGGGGAAGCGAGCCACAAAACTCCAACAACGGTGGTCGCCAACGCCCGCCAGGCCGCCCACCCACGACCACGAGTCCGGGGCACCGGGGTGCGGGGCTCCACGCGAGCGGAGACCTCCTAGGTTTAGCGAGCACGACCCGGCGAGCAACACCAAAAGTAATTATCAAATGCGCCTTAGATACGCGGCCGTGAGTGGCTGGCCGGCGCGCGTAGCACGGTGCAACGTCGCTCGCGCGCCGCTGATGTCAGGCGCGTGCCTGCGAGCAAGGTAGGAGCCAAGCCCTGCGAGCATAACGCACACACAGCAAGGTGTTTGATCCTTGGCCACCCTGGCGCCGCCTTCGTCGCCGCCGGCCGCCGCGCTGATAAGCTGCTGCTGCGTGGCGTGCGTGGGCGCGTTACACGTGAGTCAGAGGGTGGGAGGGGTAGAGGCAGCAGGCCGGGGTGGCCGGGGTGGCTGGCTTGGCTTGCTTTGGCTTGCTTTGGCTTGCGTTTTGCTTGCTTGTTGTCTGCCTGGCTGACTTGCTGGCTTGCTGTTGGCTGGCTGTTGGCTGGGCAGAGCGGGGTGATTGATGATGGTCATGGTGGTGGTGTTATGTTATGGATGGTGCGGCGGCGGCGCTCGTGAGGTTGCTTTAAAGTACTGCTTGCTGCTGTACTTCGTACGACGAAGGTCCCTACATACGGACACACGACACACGACACACGACGGGCAAAGTAGTCATTGTTAGGAATAAGTGTTTGATATAGCTCCGTATCTCATCATAACGACCGATCGGCCCTCGTCAACCACCAATACACCCCCCCTCCATCCATACCCATACCCATACCCGCAACCTGATTTCCCGACCGACCTATGGACCGACTTTTAGCTTCGTCGCCGCCTCTTCCCCCGAGTCGATAAACTTCTCCACACAGAAGCAATGTTTGAATTTTTCATAGATAGATCCTCCCGCACTCGCTGGTCCCCAGACGCCAAAGGACGCGTGAAATCCCATCATAATGACAATTGACGTAGTCGCATTGATGTTCATGAGCTAAGAAGCAAGCAAGCAAGCAGACAAAGCAAAGCTAGCAAAGCAAGCCAAGCCACGCATACCCTTAGATCCGTCATTCATGCGAGAAAAGAAGGGGGGGCCTCTTTTTTTTGTATTCTGTTTGTGAGAATGTTCCCGAGAGGAAGGGGGGGTATCGCAGGGTATCAACAAATCTGCAACCAGAAAAATGGTATAAGGAAAAAAAGGAAAAACGGCAAAATAATGTGCAGCAGAAAACGCTCCACACCCCGCCGAAAGGAGACGAGAGAAGAAATGAAAAAGGGAAAAAACAGGAAACAAGAATTTTAAGCCATGGGATGAGGCATGGCTGCTCACATAGGGTGCAGCCAGGACCGTTCCATGTCCTCGTACATGGCACTGCAGCCCTCCAGGTAGCTGCTGTCCAGAACATCAGAGACGTCCCATCTCAAGTGCGAATCCTTCTCCAAACAGTTCCGGACAAGCTCGACAGCCTCATCGTCCGCGCACGCTTCCCTCAGCGCCTGCTCATCCCATTCGCCCTTGACGATGAGCATGACCAGCGCTGGTTGGAAGCTGTGGCTGAAGGGCCGATTGCCAGTGAGCAGCGTGTACGCAACCACGCCAAACGCCCACATGTCTACCGCCGTGCTGTAGATGTGCGATTTGGATGCCAGAAGCTCCGGCGCCGCGTACTCCATGCTGCCGGCGACGCAGGTGCTGGTGTCGCAGGGCCCGATGTTCTCGTCGGCAGCCTCTGGGGGTGGCGACGGCGTTGTGCGGTTCTCGTTCGTGATGAAGTCCGCCATGCCGAAGTCGCAGAGTAGTACGTTACCACCCTGGGTTGCAGCGTCGGGGCCAGACATGTCAATGAGGCAGTTTTCGAGCTTGACATCCCGGTGCACGGCGTGCACATCCTCGTGCAGGTAGCGGAGAGCCGACGCGAGTTGGTACAGATAGCGCTTTGCCAGGTGAGGCTCGAGACGTTTGCCCGCTTGGCGGTTCGTGCGGACCATGTCGAAGAGCGTGCCGCCTGTATTGAGCTGAGTTATGCAGAATGTGGCAAATGGGGTGTCGTAGACAGCAAGTAGGGGCAGAATATACGGATGTTTGAGATATCTCCAAATCTCGACTTCATGCTCAAACTCGGCTTGGAGCTTGTCGTTCTCAGTTTCGTCTTTGCCGGAAACTTGCTTGCGCACGATCTTGACAGCGCGAATGATTTTCCTACCATTGTCGATGGTTGAAACTTCTTTCACAACACTGAATCCGCCAAAGCCGATTTGCTTGCCGATGAAGTACCCGCTGTGGTCGGGGATTTCTTGGCCTTCGTCATCGGGCTCAATCAAAGAAGTCGCTTCATCCTTGCCCCATTGCGACAGAAAAGCGCTCGCAGGGGACATGGATGAGTTTGAACGAGACCTGTTCGATGTTCGGCGAGTGTTCCTCCTGCTACTGTTTTGGCTTCCAAAGAAGTTTTTCGACCTGACGCTGCTGGCGCGGCGTGATCCAGCCGCGCTGCCGTTGAAAGGAAATTCGCTAGGAGAGGACGCGGCGAGCGGCGACTGAAGATAGTCTATAGGAGTTGTAGAGCCGTCCAAGCCAGAAGATGCGGTGGTGGCTGACGTTAGTGAGGCGACTCTGTCGCTCTCCTCCACTTCAGCCTCGTGTGCCAGCGAATCCACCGTATGCTGCAAGAGAGGATGCCGCGAAATGCCTGCGCGCCAGGCCAGATCGGGTCGTCGCCGCTGGCTTAGCGGCTCCCCCGTGTGAGGATCGTAATGCATCTTGTCGGACTCGCTATGGGTCCGATGATGCACCACGGAGCTCTCATCATGGCCTTTCATCTCATCTATAACGGTGTGGTCGAGGGCGTTCGGCTGCGTTCCGTTGGCAGCGCCGTGCCTATGGACCTTAGGGAGCGGCGCGTCGATGGGAATGTGTTTGCCCGTTTCCAAAGTAACTTTTGGCGCGAAACTAATAGAAGTCTGGCGATCGCGGAAGGACTCTTCGAGCGAGGGGGTGTCTCGAGATCTATAGGGGAGTGAAAAACGATCCGAATGCTGGGCCTTTATGTAAGAGCCCCACTGCGCGGCCGGAGAAGAGAAACCAGGAGCGTCGTCTTTCAGCGGCGAGTCGTTGAGCTCGGGACCAGTCACGGAGGGCGGGCATCCGTCGTCGTCGTCGTCGTCGTCGTGCGACCACAAGCCATGTCGACTCTCGGAGAAGGAGTGGTCGCCATGGTCGCTGCCATTTCGTTTGATCGAGGCGAAGGCCGAGGGGATTGGCTTCGGCGAGGACCGCGTGTTCAACTTGAGTTTGGGGAAAGAGGGAGGGCACTCCGCTGGGGCCATTCGACCGCGCAGAGGAGGGGTATGTAGGCAGGTCGAGGGTTGGCCGGTGATAGAGGGCGCGAAGGTGAGCGCGGCGGGCGGCACCCGGGTTTAAATAATAAAAAAAGGACGGCAGAGCCCCCACGCTGTGAATCAGCAGAATCCGGGGGATTACGATTGGAAAAAGGGCACAAGAGGTCAGCCGCCTCCCGCGCAAGTGGGGCTCGGGGAAGAGATCAGAGCTGCATGTGCGGTAGCGGTAGGCTACCGTTCGGCGAGGGCTGGCTTTGCTGGGGTGGAGGAGACCCCGTCGAGCGGTCGTGTCGCGGCGAGGTTGGTGGGCGGATGACGTCGCGCGCAGTCGCCGTCTCCGCTTTATCTGTCTGTCGTTGGATATACAAGAATTGTTAAAGGCAAAATCCAGGAGAGGCGGGTGGATTTTGTCGGTGGACACGGGAGGAGTAGGAAAGAACAGGCCATCACGTGAGCGGCCATGCCGCAGACGGCCCTTGGCGCAGCGCGCCCGAGCCGGTTCTTCTTCGTGCGCGACGAAGGCATTACAGACAGATATATCGCGACCTTTCGCAGGCGCAGGCGCAGATCAGACGTCAGCGCTGGACCCGGGCCCTGCAGCAGATCTCCTTCATGCCCGACCTTGCGCGGTTCGCGCCGCCCGGCCAGCTATACTCGTTGCAGCAGGGGCGCTGGCTCGTGAAGCGTGGAGCGGTTCACGGCGGGCCCCAGGCCCCCGTTGCCCGCGCGGACATGGCAGGTACCACTACCGGGAGGCTTGTGGGTTGTTGGGTGCTTCGGGCAGCCCGACGTCACGGCCTCCGAGGGGGACGGAGGATGACGAGGGATCGTTACGCACCAGGAATCGGTCAAGTGCACTGAAGTGGCACGTTCGTGGCTGCTTTTCCAGCAAAGCGCACTGACCTGAACCCTGTCTGGCGAGCGCTCCGCCGTTCGCAAACACCCGCGCGCCGTCGTCGCCCATAACTATCTAGTCCATCAAGCCAGCCACCGTGTCTGCGTAGCCTGTGCCTCCCCGTCCGTCCTCGCCTTCGTCTTCCATCCTCGCCCGCTTCGACTGCTGCTCCATCCTGGCCCCGTCCTACCCGCCACCCTCCTGCCCGTCTAAGCCTGGCCGTGAGTGGCCCTGACTTGCCAGCATGGTCTCGGCCTGGTGCGCGAAGCTCTTCAACTCTTGTTGCGGTGGTGAGGCCGCCCGACGCCCTCCGTCACCCGTCGCTCGCTGACGTTTCTGCTGCCAGGTCGCTCCTCCAAGGATGGCCTCTACGATCCAGTCCTCGCCGATAGTGAGCGAGAGGCTGTGGCCGACCTGTTGGGCTATCTAGAAAACGTACGCCATGCCTCTCCATCCATCTACCGCCGCATCAATGCTTACCTGCCTCTACAGCGAGCCGAGACCGACTTCTTCTCCGGCGACCCTCTTCGCGCCCTCAGCACGCTCGTCTACTCCGACAACATCGACCTGCAGCGGAGCGCTAGCTTGACGTTCGCCGAGATAACGGAGAGAGGTTGGCACCCGCCCGCCCAACACGACACCTGCATCGCTGCTAACCCATGCATCCCTATTACAGATGTCCGAGAGGTCGACCGCGACACGCTTGAACCCATACTTTTCCTCCTTCAAAATAGCGACATCGAGGTCCAGCGTGCGGCAAGCGCGGCATTGGGCAACCTTGCCGTCAACAGTACGTCTCCACAGATCTCAACCATCTCCACAACACTAACACCTCGTAGCGGAAAACAAGGTGTCTATCGTTACCCTTGGTGGCCTCGGGCCCCTCATCAAGCAGATGAACTCGCCCAACGTCGAGGTTCAATGCAACGCTGTTGGGTGCATCACGAATCTGGCGACGCACGAAGACAACAAGGCGAAAATCGCCAGGTCGGGAGCACTCCCGCCGCTGACGAGGTTGGCCAAGTCAAAGGACATGCGTGTGCAGCGCAACGCTACCGGCGCCCTGCTCAACATGACCCACTCCGGTGCGTTACTTGTCAAACGTCAACCATGCAAGTCCGATTAGCTCACACCATTACAGATGACAACCGGCAACAGCTCGTCAATGCTGGCGCCATTCCAGTGCTTGTGCAACTACTCACTTCGCCGGACGTGGACGTGCAGTATTACTGCACAACTGCTCTTAGCAACATCGCAGTGGACGCGAACAATAGAAAAAGGCTGGCGCAAACTGAAGGCCGACTCGTGCAATCACTGGTACACCTGATGGACTCGTCGTCCCCCAAGGTCCAGTGCCAAGCCGCGTTGGCGCTCAGGAACCTAGCTTCAGACGAGCGGTACCAGCTCGAGATCGTGCGGGCTCGCGGTCTGCCATCATTGCTGCGTCTGCTCCAGTCGTCGTACCTTCCTCTTATTCTCTCGGCGGTCGCCTGTATCCGCAACATTTCCATTCATCCCTCCAACGAATCTCCTATCATCGATGCTGGATTCCTTCGCCCTCTTGTGGATCTGCTTGGCTCCACCGAAAACGAGGAGATTCAGTGCCACGCCATTTCCACTCTCCGCAACCTTGCCGCAAGCTCGGACCGGAACAAGCAGCTTGTCCTGGAGGCCGGGGCCGTTCAGAAGTGCAAGCAGCTGGTTCTCAATGTACCCCTCACCGTGCAGTCCGAGATGACTGCAGCTATTGCTGTGCTCGCTTTGAGTGACGAGCTTAAGCCGCATCTTCTCAGCCTCGGCGTGTTCGACGTTCTGATTCCTCTTACCGAATCTGAGAGCATTGAGGTGCAAGGAAACAGCGCTGCCGCTCTTGGCAACTTGTCGTCAAAAGGTATGAGCTTAAAAATACCCTCTTTCTTTATTGATACGCCATTAATTGACCAAGCATTCGCAGTTGGCGATTACACCATCTTCCTGCAGAACTGGACCGAGCCCAGTGGTGGCATTCACGGCTACCTTCAGCGATTCCTGGATAGCGGCGATCCTACGTTCCAGCACATTGCGATCTGGACCCTACTCCAGCTTCTCGAATCCGAAGACTCGCGTCTCTTGACTCTGATTGGAAAGTCGAAGGAGATTGTCAAGATGGTACAGAGCATAGCCGATCGCAATATCGAGTCGGACGAGGAAGACAATGACGATGGCGAGGGCGAGGTCGTCAACCTGGCGCGGCGGTGCCTCGAACTGCTTAGCAGCAATCCGAAGACGCTGATGGAGGGTTGAGGCAAAACTCGAGGGGCGTTTCGCTGAGCAGTCAGTCGTATAGCTGGGCTGGATGGATGTACGGGACCGCCCTGCCAAATGCGCGCGTTTTCCTTCCATATGGGTATCGGCGCACCAGGCGTTTCCTTCTAGGAATAACAATGGGGAGTGTTTGCGGATTGCGATTTATTTTCACAGCGAGCATCATGGGCGGAGCAAGGATGTGCTTTTTTCTCCATTTTCCTTTCTCCTCAGTTTTCTCCTCGTGTCCACTCGTGTGTTTTTCTTTGGTTTTTTCCTTTGTTAGTGTGCTGCAAACTGGTGGCTTTCCCATTATACCACACCATTGACGATCACCAAATTTTTCCTCGCTCTCAGACTTTTCTCGGCGGCATGAAATTTGGTTAAAGGAGGGGAAAATCGAAAGGTGGGACGCACGCGGTAGAGGTTGGCTTGTTTTTTCTTTTGTGTTTTTGTTTTTTTCTCTTTGCTTTTTTCCCTTATCTCTCAATTCTCCACTTTTTCTTCCCTTTTCTTCTTCTCCGGATCCCTTCTGTGTTTTCTTTTTGTCGTCCTCTTTTTCCAGTTTCATATTGAATAGGTAGTCCGGGGTACCCCTTCTCCTGGAGGAAGTGGGGTGGCGGGTGAGATAGACGATTGATTCGCGACGTGTTCTCGCCGCCCCTCTTCTGCCTCTGCCTTGCTATGCTCTGATATGCTCTTGTCTTGCTGGTGTGTGTTTTTTGACCCGGTGCTGAACTTGTGTTCTTAAGGGGGCTTGTCTGTGACATACCATATTTGGATATTAGCATTAGTGGGAAGCCATCTTGTGGTTTTTCATGCCGCTTTTTCCTCTGATCGTTCAGTCTCGCTGCTTCTGTTCTCCGCTCCTCCCTTCCTCTTTTTCTTCTTCCCTGCCCTTTCTTTTGCCAATTCTTTTCTTTTCTTTTCTTTTCTTTTAATTGTTCCAGACTGCATGAATAAGTTAGATGCAAGGTCGCGTCTACAGCAAAGCTGTACCGACGGGGCGGTGGGTAGTGAATACTTGGAGCGGTACAGTCTGCGCGTGGTGTTAGCGGTGACCAGTGAAAGAAGGAAGGCGGTATTTTGAGGATACTCTGCTGTGATTTTTGGCCGTTTGTATTGATCTCTACTCATCTTCAGACTGAGAATCGAGAGGTTGTGGGGTGTGTGTGCGCTGTTAGTTGGTGGTGCTAATGGTGGTGGGTGGTAATGGCGATGCAGGCTGGCTGTTAATAAGGCATTTAGTGAGAGAAGAGAGTTAAATATCAATGTCTCAGAAACGGGCGTTTGCGCTTCGTTTCCCTGCGCGCGTTTGAATGCTTGCTTGTTTGTCCGGCTGCTCCTGTCCTGTTCTGTCTGTCTGTCTGGTGGTGGATTCTCTGGCTGACTGTCCGATTGTGCGTTTGTTGCTCTTGTGGTGCACGTGTGTGTGTTTAGGTAGTTAGCTGGCTAGCTAACTAACTAGGTAGGTGGGTAGCCGTGCCGAATGAAGCGTGGGTGACACGACATATGCGTCTCCTAGCTAGTGGTGGACGAGCTACGATCTACGTGCTACGTGCTACGTGCGGCTGCGGTGTGATATGCGCTGGTAGTGTGCACGTGTGCGTGCTTGTGTGTCGTCTGTCGTCTTTTTGATATTTTTCCCTCTCTTCGCCCTGTTCTTGTCTGGGGCCGTCTAAGATGTGTTTGTCCTGCCACTTGCGGATATCTTGTACTACCATGGCCGATAGGTACTGTGCCGTGCTAAACCATACTGTTTTGGCATCTGTGAGCAGTGCAGTGTGGTGGGTTGTTGGTTGGTTAATGCTTGCGTAAGTGAGGGTGTGTGCTTTGTTCTGGCTGTGAAGGTTGATGGTGTCGGGACTGTGGGTAGGGTAGGTATGCATTTAATCCTGGTGGGAAGGAAGGGAGACGGGCAAGAAGTTGGGAAATGAGGGAGAGAGGAAAACAGTTAGAGAGTGAAGGGGAAGGGGAAGACTTGACGTGCTTGAGACAGCCACAGTCCGATGTCCGTACGCTTGGACTTGTTAGAGCGGTATAGGGTATAGTCCGGCAAAGCGGCTGCTCTAGCGGCACCGCTGTCATGGTCAAACGGAAAACGAGCAAACAGATGGGATGAAGACGCGCTCGTGGGGAGGGGATGCAGTCGTACTTAGCGGAATCAAAACAGGTGCACGTGCAGCGGCGGTGGTCAAAGCGATTGTAATTGCAATTGTGAAATTCGGACAGACAGGCTTTTTTCGTTACATATTGTAGTAGTTATGTAGTAAGTAGTCGTACGCCGTAGCACGCGCCGTCGTGACAATCGAACAGATTGGCTCTGCCCAACGGCAACAGCAGCGCGACCACCACCATCAGCACTGCCGGCAGCGGCTGCAGTCGCGCTGTCTCGCCGTCAAACTCGGCGTCCTCTTAAGCGAAAGCCACGATAGATCACCGGTGCATCGTCCCGTCCACGCGGGGACCGTCATTTCCAACACCCTCCGCGGAAACCCATAACCAACGTGTCGACGCCGCACCGGACAAATTCATTGTCGGTCAAACTGAGCATCCTCTTATTCCGCGTCATACTCGTGTACACCCAAAAGTGGTGTTGCCTAAGCACGCGCCTTGGTCTTGGGAGTGCCGCTCTTAACGCGCCTAGCCTCAGGGCGCTGAAGGTGGCCGGCGGGGATCCAGCTCTCGTCATAAGCCTTTGCGCCAGAAGTGACAGCCGGGCCATCAGCTCCCACAACAGCGACCTGATCGGCGGGATCGACCTTCTTGGAGCCTCCAGAGGAGGCCTTGGCACGCTCGCCACCCTTGCCGCGACCGCGCTTCTGAGGGAAGAGAGTGGTGATCCAAGTGGAGTAGATGAAGTAGCAGGTTCCTGCGAAAACGCCGGCGAGAACAAGGTAGAGGAAGATGCTAAATTCCATTCGTGTTATCATTGCGATTCCTAGAAAAGGTGAGCGGAGTTAAGTTGCTTACATCTGAGGGTCGAAGATGCTGGTGGGCGCCTCAACAACAGAAACGGTCTCGTTGTAAGCCTGAACGGTGAAGAACTTGTCCCTGTGATCACGGAGGACGGCGGCGAGGTTGAGCCTAATGTCCTGGGGGTGCATCTCGGTCGCAAAGTTGTAGGTCAAGGTCTCGTTGGTGCCACCAGGAATGCGAACATGGTAGCGGGCGGCGGTCAGGTTGCGTACAATCTTGTCGGTTTGAGTGGAGATGAGCGAGCCGCCAATGAGCTGGACGGTGACAGGCGTGTCCTCGCCGTTGCGCACATCGAAGACGACATCGGTGGGGTGGCCGTTGACGAGCTTGACGCCAAAGATCTCCGAGTTGGGGAAGCTGGCGGTGATGGAGACGTCGTAGTTGGGTGAGGTGCTAGGGTCCTCTACCTCCTCGACGTCGAGCTAGACGGCAATGGATGTCAGCGGTGTTAACTGATGTCATGGGGGGTCGGGAGCTTGCTACGGACCTGCGCGACGGCATTGGAGGCCAGCAGGGAAATCAGGAACGAGGCGGCGAGCTTGGGGTACCACATTGCGAATGATTGAGAAGCCGACAGAAACAGGTGTGGACGGGTGACGAGGGGACGGGCGAAAGTTGAGATGTGGCTCGATGGAGGTTCAGAGCAAGCGAAGCTATCCCGGCGAGCTACGCCTCGATTGGGCATGGGCGCGCCGGGGAAGATGGACCTCTTCACCCTCAGTCGCATTCCCGTCGCCGCATTCACCAAACGCCGCCCCGGGAATGCAGGGGACGGGGGAACGCGTGCGGGCGGACGGCCGGCCCTGTGTGAGGAAGGCGCGCAATCAGCCAAACGGCCTCCAGCGTCGCGCCTTCCCCGGTCTGGCAGCAAATCATCGTGCCGTTGATTCAAGCGCCCGAGACTGTGTAACCGTGATTTCTCTCTAACTCTCTCGTGGTCGGCGAGGGCCTGCCTGATCTCCCCCTTCACCCCATCCTTCTCCCTCCATCGCCTTTCGCAGTCATGCCGAACATACCCTCCTCCGCCACCAACACGGCCGCCATGTCGGATCAATTCTCCACCCATACCCCCGTGAGCCACACCTCCACTGACGGCACTGCCGCCGGCCTTTGGCGTCGCCATGAGCAGCTCAAGACCGTCGAATACCAGAAGAACGAGCTTATCGAGGTACACCGTTCCAATTGTCACTCCCGACACTGTGCTCACCGTCCTCTGCTTCCCCAGGAATTGCTCTATCGCTATGAATATCTGAGCGAGCAGCTCAAGAAAGAAAGCGAGGATCATGAGCGCGAGCGCGAATACAACCGTACGGCTCAGCGCACGATCAAAGAGCACCGCACCTATATTGTAACCCTGCAGGCGGTCATGGTAAGCTGCTTCAGCCTTGCCTCAGTGCAGCCTCTAACGTTGTCTAGCAACGTGATCCGTTTGCCTTGGTCCTTATTGACGGAGACGGCATGATCGTAAGCATCTTCCTCTTTCGCCTTTGCTAACATCGCAGTCGCTAACTGCACTACTCCTACCCACATTCGAATTTGAATTCTCCGCTTACTAAATATGCAGTTTACCGATTCACTTCTGCGCCAGGCCGAAGAGGGTGGCAAAACGGCTGCCGGAAGACTTGAAACGCAACTTGAAGAGCATTTGAATTCGCGGCTACCCGATATCCCGGGAAACTGCAAGCTTGTCGTCCGTATTTACGCCAATTTGAAGGGTCTTGGTGAGACCTGTCGCAGCGCAGGTATTATCGCAAATACGGCCGACGTTGAAGCTTTTGCGAAGGGATTTACCCGTAACAAGCCACTTTTTGATTTTGTCGACGTCGGTCCCGGCAAGGACAGAGCTGATGAGAAGCTTTGTGGTTTGTATCTCTTCAATCCTGCCTGATGCATGGTCTAATTTGACACAGAGACTTTCAAGCTTCATCTTTACGATTCTCACTGTCGTCACATCTTTTTCGGCTGCTCTCACGACAATGGCTATGCCCGTTTGCTTGAGCCGCTTGTTACCAACCCTGATCTTGTCCCTCGGGTCACCTTGATTGAAGGTGTTCCTTTCGAGAAAGAGCTTGCCATTCTTCCCTTTGAGACCAAAAAGTTTGATAATCTCTTCCGCACCCAAAAGATCAACCTCTATGGTAACGGCACCTCCGGTTTTGGCCCCTCCCTTCTACTTTCAAACATTGCTTTCCGTAACCCAAGCAGTACGACTAGTGGTAGCACCACTCCACCCCTGCTGGGTGTTGGCGCTATTAGGGTTGCCACCCCGCCAGTGAACGGGAACCCTGTCAGCTGGGCTGGTGCTGCCGCTAAGGCCGCAGCGCTTCCCGCTCCGAAGCCTGCCGCTGCTATGGTCACTTTACGCGATCCGAATGTTGTCCCACGCAACCGCAAGGGTCAACGCATCGATCCGCCTCTGAAGTATGACCGAGACGAGTTCAACCGTGTTAAGCGCCTCAAGATGTGCAACGTACACTTTTTACGTCAGGAGTGTCCCTACGGTTTGAACTGCACCCACAAACACGACTACAAGCCGACCAAGGATGAAATTGAGACGCTCAAATTCGTTGCTCGCAGTGCGACCTGCATCCATGGTACTGGTTGCGACGACATCAAGTGCATGTACGGTCATCATTGCCCATATCCCAAGAACCCAGCCAAGAAGACGGGCAAAAACTGCATCTGGGGCGATGAGTGCAAGTTTTCTCTCGACATGCACAACATGGACTCGGCCATCGTATCCACCATGACAATCCGCAACTAAGCAGCACTTGACAGGCAAGCAAGAATGGTTATGAAAAAGGGCAAATTGGCAATGACAGCATCAAGGTGGTATTCGTGGAAATAGGAAGCTGATAAAAAGGTTCAACTTTAAGGGCACCAGTCTAAAAGAAAATAATGCCCCTCATTCCATTCTACGGGTACAAATTTCTGGCTGAACAGGCTCGTTCTAACTGGAAGATTTCAAACCTTCAACACGTCGGACAGCTTATACAATGCCTTATGCACATAAATGTATATGGCATCCATAACATTTACCCGTGCATCAATAACGTGATTCATTTAGTCTCCGGGACTAACACAATAACAGAATGAGCTTCTCTTCGCCTAACATAGCTCATGGAATGATGACATTCTTCGATGCCATGACTAATTATCGGACTGCGGCGACATCAACAAAATGTGTACACAGAATACCTAGGACGTTTAAAGCCGTGACCATTGATCTTAGAGATGTTGTTACATTTCACTGTCCATGAATTCAGGACACGGAATCTACTTATTATTGAAGCTTCCTGGCTCTGTCGTTTGCGATATCGCACATGGCCTGTTTGCCGCGTCAGCAACCTGCAGGCCCGCCTCAGTCCTCTTCTCCGTAGCAAGCAAAGCCTTACCTGAATAGCCTCGACGCGCTCAGCTGCGATATCGGCGCGCTCGATCCTCCTGCGCATATCGGCAAATATTTCCGGCCTGCCGCGACCATTGACGAAGACGACGTAGCGAAGGCCGGGGAAGCGAGCCTCGTAGTCAGTATTGAGTTGGGCAAGCTCCTTGGCCTCGGTCTCGGCGGCGTGGCCGCTACCGTTCCGCAGGGCGGCCTGCTCGGCGGCGCTCTGCGCGCTCTCGACCTTCTTCTCGCCGAGACGCGGGTGCGCGGCGAGGATGCGCTCGAGCCACTGCGTGTCGGAGGGGCTGGGCGAGGCGGCGAGCTGGGTGAGGGCGGCGTGCACGGCGTCGACGAGGTCGGCGTAGGTGGTGAAGGTGGTGCTGCTGAGCAGCGGCAGAGCGAGGTTGTGCAGGGGCTGCGAGGGCTCGAAGAGGACGTCGAGGACGTAGATGCGGTCGCCGGTGGGGGCGGTGGTCAAGGTGGATGGGGAGGGGAGGTTGAGGGGCGGGGCGGGCGAGGCGGCATTGCGCAGGGAGCCGGTCTGGATGTTCTGGATGTCCATGTTGTGTGTGTGTATATGTACAAGTAAAAAAGGATGTGTATGTATGTATAGAGGCGGGAGAGGCTTGAGCTTGTGGCTTTGAATTGCTGGGATACGTCACGAAAAGTGATGTGCATGGTGGGCAGATCCCGGGCGGGCTTCCCCACAGCACCCGTGCTTTCAGGCACAGGCACAGGAGCGCTTATTGCCCGAGGGGAGGGATTGGCGGAGGACTGGTGGTGAGGCGGGCATTTCCAAGAGTCCCGAATCCCAAAAGGCCTACCCGCATGCAGGCTAGCCGTCGATGGATGCTTTGCCGCCCTCGTGGAACTGGAGCTAAAGATCGGCGGCAGCGCGACGCTCCGAAACGCTCACTCTGATCAGGGACTGCGGCAGCACGGCATCGCATTGCTTCTTCTTCCTTTTTCCCACCGCCGTCCTTCATTTTCCCACGACCTCCCTCCCGCCCCCGACCGAGCGCCAAACCCCGTCCGCCCGTCGCATGTGCGCGCCGCCCTCGACCGTGGCTAATAAGCTTCAATGATCAGCCCTATCCCGTCTGAACCCCTGAGGGCCCGATTATAGCGCGCCCTTGCCTGAGGTGCCACTCTTGACCCTCCGTCAAGCCCAACCCCACGCGCGCCGTACCACTCGCGCAGCAAAGCGCCATGTCGCTGAACGGCCTCGACGACCAGGCCGTCGTCGATGCCTACCAGGCGGCCCTGGCCGAGGCGGGAGGATGGTGAGACTTCGCGCTCCCCGTCTCGCATATAGTGCAGGGGTGCTGATATTACCTTGTCGCCGCCAGGTTCCTCCTCAAGTACGCCTCGAGAGACGCCGTCGAAATATTCCAAGCCGGCACCGGCGCCAGCGGTGGCGTCAGTGAACTGCGCAAAACCGTCGCCCAGTACGAAGACAAGTCGCCGCTGTACGGCTTCCTGCTCTATCGCCACCGTAACGTGCTGCTTAAATACGTCCCGGAAGGCACCTCGAGGTTGTTGCAAGGTGCGGACCCTGCGGTCGTTATAAAACATGTCATACCTAGAGCGGGAAGGCTAACCATGCGCAGCTCGAGTTACCGTGCACTTCACCGAGATTGAAGAAAAGTTCTCCCCTCACGACTCCGTCTTCAACTTCGCCTCGCCCGAGGACCTCTCGGACAATGCGCTCGCCGCCGCCAATTCCCTGCACACGGCTGCACCGCCGAGCCCGTTGGCGGAGAAGAAGAAGCTGGATGGGATACACGAGGATGCCGAGAACAAAGGTCCAGGCTCTGGCGAGGGAGCAACCATAGCAGTGACAGACGCAGACGTGGGATCTACAGTCAATGCGGAAGGAGCACCCAGCCCCAGAGCTTCGGAAGATCAACGACCAAAATCGCCAGGAGGTACGGGCCAGAACTCGCTTGACGACGTTCTCGGCAGCCCCAAGGGGTACGCAACGTCTGTCCGCTCGCTCAACCAGTACGACCCCCTCTACCAGGACGAACACCAGCGTCGCTTCTCCACCCAAACCGCGCGGCCCGGCGGGGCAGACCTCTATGACTTCTCCTACCTTTACAAGCCCAAAGTCAAGCTCGGTCCTAGACCTACGACGGAACGTCCCCACAGCGCAGCGGACGGGAACGGCAAGAGCGCAAAGTTGCCTGCTAGCCTAAAGTCTGCCGTGCGCAAGACCACCCCATCGCGACCAAAGTCGAGAGATACGAGCGCCGTTCCGAGCATCGGCGTGCCACCACCTGCGACGATGCCCCCTGTCCCAGACATACATGCGACGGCCCCCGCGCGACCAACGTCAAGCCCCGGACCACAGTCTTCGTCAGCTTCGACAAAGTCGAACGGCATAACACCGGAAAAGCAACGTTTGATGAAGGCGTTGGAGTTGCGAAAGAAACAGATGGCGGCCAAGGCCGCCAAGGAGAAAAAGAAGACACCCGACAAACTGGAAGTCCCAACGGCGGATGACGCCACCACTGGCGCAAGCAAAGCGCAGGCCTCTGAGGAGGATGGTGCTGCAGACGCCGTCGCGGAAGACTGGGCTACGCAACAGACGTCGGGTAGCACCGATTCTGGAAGGACATTGAAGGCTGAGGCCCCAGCGACCCCGGACCACACTAAGGCTGACTCTGGAGTGTTGATGAGCGAATCAGGAGACGGAGATGAGGATGGCGCACGGGCACCCACACCAGTAGCGTCTTCGCCTATATCTATTCAGGAGTCCCTCAATCCCTCCTCAACCCGTCCATCCTCCATTTCAGAGGCCGGCGACCAGAAAGATCGGCTTAATACCGAGCAAAAGGCCGAAATTTTGGTAACGAATTCCAACGCCGAGGCCAGAACCGGCTCCGTGGCGGCGGATCTAAACCGGGCCTGTGAAGCCGAACAGCCCGTTGCGGCTGTTTCATCTCCGGACAGGGGTGCGACGGGAGTACATCAAACAACGGCCGCGAAGGCCCCAGAGCCGGTTAGGGATAACAAAACCGCTTCGCCTACTCTCGAGGACGCCGCCTCCGTGCCACTCCCGCAACGTCGCTCGTTGTCGACCGATAAGCGCCGCAGCTACAATTCGGTCAAGCGCCGCAGCTACAACTCGGTCAAACGCCGCAGTCACAATTCTGTCATAATTGACGTCACTGGCGACACGTCCGATTCTGACTATCTTTCCGACGACTCCTTCATGGAGGAACTACAGAGCGCCACGGTCGAGGAGGCCAAGCCCATGTCCGTGTCCAAGTCGCCCATCATGCCTATCTTTCCCAGGCGCAAGTCGACAAACTCGGACTCCTCCTCAGGCCGGGAAGCTCAGCGGACGGCTACCCCAAACGACCAGGAACACCTCGCGCCTGACGAGGTCCCGGAATCTTCTTCGTTGGCGCCGGCGTCAACTCCGTCGGCGCCCGAGCCGCACCGAGCCGTATCCAACCCCGTTGTTCCAGGTACCCAGGAAGTGCTCACTTCTGAGCAACCTCGGGATAGGATGAGCAGGTCAATGTCGGCGTCTCACGCAAGCTCGCCACAGGACAAGGAAGTCCCTCTCGCCAAAAAGATTGGCGTTTCCACTGGCATTGCAGGGCGTATCGCAGCTTTGGCAGAGAAGTCGAACCGCGAGAGTGTCCAAATGGTGCCTAGACCCAACGACGCATCAAGCTTTTTGATCGCAAAACGCCAGAGTTCATTTAGAGGAAGGTCGCCTCCGGGATCGCGACCTACGAGCAAACAATCCATGCACTCGAAACGTCTCAGCCAAAGCTCGTTCCATAACCCCACGCCCAAGTTCCTCGCCAAGCAACATACGGGTAACTCAAACGACAACTTGCACACGGTGTACAACAAAAGTTCAAACAGCAGGCCCGAGTCTGTGACTGTGACCGCACGCATCATCCGGACTCCTGGGCCTGAACCGTCTGAGCTCATCACGCCAATTGACCAGCAGCCGACGATGGATTTCCAGCAAAGCGATATCACCATTGATCACATCAAGCCTCAATCCCCGGAACCATCCGTCCAGTCGCCAGCGAGCCAACTTTCTCCTGCTCAGCCTGCTCCGGCCCCCAAATCGCCAGAGGAACAAGCGTCCGAAAATAGCTGGCGCTCCTTCAACCGCAGAAGAAGTGAGATCGGAATGTCGCCCCCACCGGCGGCTGCGCGGAGCCAGTCCATTACCAGCATAGAGAGCACTGAGAGCAGGTCCGAGGAGAGGAAGGGATCGAAAGCGAGCAGATTTTTGAAGCGGATGAGCAACAGCTTCAGCCCGGGCAAGAAGAGCTCGACTCAAACGCTTAGCCCTACGGTTCAGGAAGAGCCGATCGAGGAGACGCCCGCCGCCAAGCCGGTGGCACAGCCCATGGAGATTGGGGACCTGAACGTGCAGTTCCCCGACACTCTCGTAAGTGTTCCCCCCTGACACCCTCTCCTGACGTTTCAGAAGAATTAACCCAATTTATTAGTTGTGGAAACGGCGTTGGGTGGAGGTCGACGACGGCGGTAACCTTGTTCTCTCGCCCCCGTTGCAAGCCAAGGGTATCACGAAGCGGTACCACCTGTCGGAATTCCTGGCACCGATCATCCCGGACCATGAGAGGCAGGAGATGCCTAACAGCGTGATCCTGGACTTCGCCGACGGGCGCACTCTGCAGTGCGCGTGCGAGGATTCGGCGCGCCAGGCACATGTGCTCGAGCTGATGAGGCAGGCGTGGACGGCGTACAAGAATTAAGGTGGACAGACAATTTGTTCTGTACTGACGCCTTAACGCATTTTCTCGACCTTTTGCAGGCAGCCACTGCCACGAGCAGCGAAATGCCACTCGGCGAGCAAGCAAGCAAGTAAAACGCGGCGCCGCATACTCACCCACCTATTCTCGCATCGACTCGAACTCCCTCCTGGCTTTCCTTGACACGACATGTTTTGTGCCGCATGACCGTACGAACTCCCCTCGTCGCAAAATTCCCACCGTTGTTGGCAACTTTGCATATTCTCCTTGCATCTTCCCTTTTTTCCTGTTGTTTGGACGGCTTAAATTGAGGGCAGCATAACTACCTTTATTCACAATATCCTCTTCCTTTCGGCAAATTCCCCCCGGGCTCTTCCTTTTTTTTTTTTTTTTTTTTTTTTTTTTTTTTTTTTTTTAGTTTCTTTTACTTTTTTCTTTCCTTTCCGAATTGGTTTTGTGGCGGAGGTTTTCCTGGTTTAAAGTGTGATTGATGGGCGGTGGTAACGGGGGACAGCGGGGGAGGGGAAAAGCTTTCAAAGCAGGCAGGCAGGCAGGGCAGGCAAAGATCAAAGTCTCTCGAATAGGTACTTGTTTCTTTCTAGGCGCATGTGGACGGAGGGACGGGCTCTTTTCTGAGGCGGGGTTTTCTTTTTCTTTGTGTGTTTGCTTTCCTTGTGTCTGTGTTTTTTCTCTCTCATCATATTTTTCCGCTACACTCTTCTTTTTTTTCCTTGTCTTTTTTTTTTTTTTCTCTTTTCTGCTTCCTCTCTCATCATACTACTACGGTCGCAGTAAAGGTGGACAAGGCGTGTTTTAAAAGAAAGTTAAAGAAGTAGGTCGGTGACACAACATCGATGTATCGGTTCCCGGCGACGAACGACGATTATACATACACAGCAGTGGTGTTTTTGCGCTCGGGCGTCGGGCAGCGCTCCTTTTTGTTTTGTAGTTTCCTTGTCTGTTTCTTCGTTTTCTTTTCTATATTGTTATCCTCATCATCATTGGGGCAGATGTAGCTCCTCCCTCTCCTCCTCCTCCTCCTCATCCTCATCACATCCCCGCTCCTCCCCAAACCCTTCCTTTCGGCGCGTTTCCTTGCTTGCTCTGTAGTTTCCTTGTCTACTCAGATTTGTTTGTTTCCCTCTTCGCTTCGCTTCGCCTCGCCTCGCCTGGCCCCAAGAATGAAATGCCTATGTCTGGCTTGCTGCTTGATTGCATGGTTGCCTGTTTTGCCTGCCTGCCTGCCTGCCTGCCTGCTTGCTCGCGTGTCTGTTCTGTTCTGTTCTGTTTGGTTGTTTGGTTGGTTGTTTACGTGCTTGTATGCTTGTGCGCAATGAACACTGCGCGATAGACTAGAAGCGCGAGGACTGCATGCGGCAGCCGGGCGGCGAAGTAGTAGGGTAGAATAGAGCAGTAGCAGTAGCGGCGGCGGCGGTGGTGGCGGGTTTGCAGTAGAGAGTGGAAGTAAGAAAGAGAGGATTGAGAAGAAGAGTTAGTCGCTACCTACAGTCATGTCGTGTCGTGTCGGGATGTCTATCTGTGTGGCTACTACTACTTACAACTAGGTACAAATGACGTTTGGGTTATGTTTGCAGTGAGAAACCTCTGTTTCGAGCACTGCCCTCCGCGGTGATCGCTGCGATGTGCTGTGCTAGGTAGGTAGGTACAATTGATCTCCAATGGGGATCTTATGCACATCTCGAAAACGAAAATTGAGACATCATGTCTTGAAACTTCAGCCGCTACCGGCGCTTACAGTGCTCACGACACGTCTGAGCTAATGCTTATAGGCTCATTTGTCTAGTATAACAAGGAATTTAAGCGTACTTGGATGGCTAAAGTTTATCTTCGCGCTAGCCGAATCGTCGTTAAGGGTCTATTTACTTAATCTTGTTTGTTAAAGTATAAATATAAAAAGGTTAGGCGTCTTGAACCTCGGTTGAGGGGGTTCTGCATGTTGAGTTTAAGTAATGGGTGCGTTGACTGTGAGGTGTTTGATAGCATATCTCGCTCGGTTGCTTGTTGTTGTTGATATTGGTTTAGTGACGTTCGAATCTATGTGTGTTAGGGGATAGCACTGTTCAGTGACGTCTAGGATTCGTAGAGGCCCAAGCGATGAATACGATTATTCTATAAAACAGATTTGGACAAGTAGGTCAATATATCTCGAACTGAACAGGAATTGGTTAACCCAAGGGGCGTTCCAGATAAACGTACCCCCAACCATACGTACATGTCCGCACTCCTGCTTTCCTTAAGCTCAGTAACCCCCTTGCGACTTAAAACCCCGACCGTGAAATGTAGAAAGACTCCGACTGTAAACATGAAACCCCGTTTTGACCATCACTGAAGCTGCGATATAATCGACGACCCTGGTGCGTTCGGTCCTGGATACGCGGGGCCTTGCTGAGCATTCTTCTCGCCAACATCCAACGCGACCAAGAAGCGGCTTACGCAGTTATACGCCGCGATAGTCGCGGTGATTTCCACAATCTCTTGTTCATTGAAATACTCCTGCAGACGCTCAAAGACAATGTCTGACACGCTGACATCATTCGTCATTGCGTCAGTGTAGGACATGACGGCGAGGTACTTTGCAGGCAGCTTGCCGGTGCCCTGGGTCCGGATAGGCTCGATCTGCACAGCGGGGATTTCTTCCATGTTCTTCCGCGCCTGGGAGGCCGGATCCCTCAGGGAAGAAATGCCGGCGCTGGGGGTGGTGAAGGCTTGGCCTCGGGCGTCATTAGCCCACTTGCAGCGGGTCGCGGGCGGGGAAGTCAGGATATGCTGGATAGCCTCCTCGTTGATTTCGCCGGCGGCGCGCAGCAGCGGGGCATGGTGCTCCCACTCGTACCAGGCGCGGTTCAGCACGGCGACGCGGCAGATGACGATTTCGCGGAGCGTGGGCGGCAGCGAGGTGCGCTCGCGGATGGCGCCGAGAAAGGCGTTCCTGCGCGCGCGGCGTGCTCAGTACCGCCGGGCTTCATAGCGACTGAAAAGCTCACCAGCCATCTGCAAGCGGCGCCGAGTGCAGAAGTGTCAGATCAAGCTGTTGCAGGCCGGCTGGGCCTCGGCGTTGCTGGATGCGCTCTACGACGGCCTGTTCGGCTTCGCCTTTGAACTCGGTCTTGTACGGGAGACGCATATGTTGGAGGGCTTGGGCCAAGGAGGAGAGCTGGACGGGACATGAGGGTGAGGGGGGCAGGAATCCATACGAGGGGAATACATTGTCTTTATTTTCCGAGTGACGGCCAAGGAATCTAGAATTCAGCAATATTGTGTTGCCGGGCGCCAATGACGAAGCGTTGTGACGATCCCCGCTGTGCTCTTCTCGGACACGGCGATTCCTCCCGAGCCCCCGAGATGAAACACACGACGCCATCGCAAAATCATGCACCGCTCTCCCCAATGGCCCCGCCAAAACCCTCCGCAAAGTCGTCCAAGACGCCCGCTTCAAAGAACAAATCCCAGAAGAAGAGTGTCACTGCGAGGTCTGAGGCCAAGCCCGACCAGCTCCCGCCGCCCGCGATTCCCTTGGAACTGCAGCAGCTACTGCTCAACGTCTTCCGAAATGCCTTCCCGGAACGTCTGGGCCCGGAGTTGAAGCCTTTGTTGCAGGAGGTGAAACAGCATCTCTACAACAGAGACTTTCTCCACGCTTTCGGCAAGGATGAGTACCTCGAAGTTTACGCCCTGCGATGGAGCCCAAGTAGAGCGTTGGGGTATGCGCAGATTTTCGACGACCTGTCCGAATACCTCGTTCAAGAGCTTGGGAGTGTGGCCAAAGATGCTCCTCGCAGGATAGTGTGTCTTGGTGGAGGTGCTGGCGCTGAAATCGTTGGCTTAGCGGGGTACCTCAAGCTGCTTGAAAGGAAAAACGTCTTGAAACAGGTAGCGTCATCTGATGACACTGAGAAGACAGTAGAAGGCGCCCCGTCTACCCCGCATTTCGATGTTGTTGCCATTGACATTGCCAACTGGTCGTCTATCGTTGCAGGCTTACAGCAAGCAATCACCACTCCGCCGACGCTGTCCAAATATGCCTCTGCCGCCGCCAAGGAAGCGAATGTTGAGCTGCTCCAGCCAGATGTCCTCCAAACGAGGTTCGTCCAACAAGACGTTCTAACGATGCCGCTCGAAGACCTGTCACGGGAACTCAAAGACACCACTGTAGTAACGCTCATGTTTACATTGAACGAGCTGTACAGCACTTCTCTCGCTAAAACGCAGAGCTTCCTGCTGAGGCTTACCGGGTCTCTGCAGCCCGGTGCGCTACTGCTAGTCGTTGATAGTCCCGGAAGCTACTCGAGTGTGACTCTCAATGGCGCCGAAAAGAAGTATCCCATGCATTGGCTACTGGACCACACATTGCTGTCGACGCCCCAGGGTGCAAAGCCCCAAGACGCTGACGCGAAATGGGAAAAGCTCCTCAGTGATGAGTCAAAGTGGTTCCGGCTTCCCGAAGGGCTAAAGTATCCCATTGAGCTCGAGAACATGCGGTACCAGATTCACCTGTACAGGCGGCTGCCATGAGGCCATTGAGGCTGTGCCATACAGGAGAGTTGCGTGGTCGCACGTGGTGTCGGGTCACCAGACTCGGGGGAGGCAGCTATCCGGAACCTTGGACCTTGGACTTGGCACCTGCGCAGCTTTGAAAGCCGCAGTCGCATCAAGCCTTCCCACGTTGGCCTTTGGCTGCGCGAACCTTAAATGCCGCTGGCCAGTCAGACGACGCCACTGATGACCTCCAATTGCAGTTTCATAATTCTCAGCCACATCGGAAAAAAAAAAAAAAAAAAAATAGTCATTTCCGACCACGCAATGCTGCATTGAGCATCGACGTCGTCTCGCTCTCTATCAACTTCTCAAGCGCGTGACTGTTTCTTCATTGAATTTCCACGAACCTCCCCCCTTCTTTCGACAGGAGAACTCACGAGCCCCCTATGTCCCAAAAGGTGCATCGGACTCAATCGTGGACGCATGATATTGTCCCACTTTCCTGTCTTCGACCGCCTCGTTCTAGCGTTCGCATGACGATCTACCGCCAACTCACCGTCGATCTTATACGAACAACTGGGCCACGATACAGGTGTCCAAGCAAACACCTTCCCCAAAAGGTCACTGAAATTCCCTCTTTATTTCCCCACACGCGCTGGATCCACCCCAGGATTAAACACCATAATCCACAAGGAATCTCCACGTACAGCTGCAGAACACGCAGATGCCGGGACAACGAAACCACCGCCAACACAACGACAGCGACGACGTCGACAGCCTGCACGGCTATGATAAGAAGAGCTTCGCCTACCGGGCGCGCCAGTTCTCTCAGCAGCGGCAGCAGCAGCAGCAGCAGCAGCAACAACAACAGCCGTACACCGGGCCCCGCCCCCCTGTGCAAGCATGGACGCAAACACCGCCCAACTCTCCCCAGTCCCCACGCCACTTCCTCCACCGCTTGAGTTCGGCCTTTTCCTCCTTCACCAAGACGTCCAAGCGCTCCAAGTCGGCCTCGACGCTGTCGACGTCGACGAGTAAGAACCGCGCTCGACCGTCCACGACCACCCCCACACCGGGATCGCCGCCGCCGCCGCCGCCAGTCCGGCGCTCCCTCAGCCCGCTGCTCCAGCTCCAGCTGCCCCCCCTTTCGCCCTCGTTGCCCGACACCGGCACCATCAGCACCACGGGCACCACGGCCAGCCCCGCCAGCACCATCACCGCAGCACCTGGACCCGGAGCTGCACCGGGCCCGCACCACGCCTCGTCGTTCCCGGCTCCGGCCTACCACCACCGCCATCACCGCCCCGAATCGTCGTCGTCGTCGCTCTCGTTCCGCTGCGCCGGCGTCAGCGCCGCATTGCTCGCTTCGCTCTGCCCCTCCACCGCCGCCGCTTCCGCTGCTGCCACTACCACCGTGGTAGGCGGCACAGGCGCGCCCGCGTCCCTTCCGCCGCCCCGCCTCCCGAGCCGCGCCCGCGACGTCCATAGCCATAGCGCGCCGCCGGGTCTCGCCGCGGCACCCGGCCCGCCGCCGCCTTTCTGGCCCTCTGCGCTGCCGCTGCCGCCGCCCTCGCCGTCGCTGGCACCCTCGTCGCGTCCCCCCTCATCGCGCCCGGCCACTGCCGCGTCGGTGCTCGTGCCTTGCGTCTTCCAGCCCGATGCTGGCGATGCCTACGGTTACGGTTACGGCTACGGCTATGGCTACGGCATTGACGGCGGGCTGCCCTGCGCGCGCGGCGTCCGCGGCGCTGACACCGTCTTCGGTGCCGCCGCTGGCGGGGTGGGCGGGGCCGACCGGTCACGGGCCCCGCCTTTGCCTTACTACATGCAATACCAGCACCCGCACCCGCAGCTAGACGCAGAGTTAGAGCTAGGGCAAGACGACGACGACGACGACGACCGCCCTCGCCGCCCGCTGCCCGGGCCCCCCGTCGACTGGGCCGCCACGACGCGCAACTCGTTTGTGTTCCGGCAGCGCGGCGCGCGCGTCGCGTCGCCCGCGTTCGCGTGTCTTGGGCCTTCTTCAGGCAATGATGACGGCGAGGAAGACGACGACGAGGCCTTTGCTCCCGCGGAGTTCGGCGCCTTGTCTGCGTTTGCGCCTGCGGGTGCGGCTGCGTCTGGCGCGGGAACTGGCACCGCGACCTATGCGACCGACAGCAATGGCGCGCGGCAGAGTCGCTGGAGCAGGCAGAGTCGGCGCTGCCATTCCCCGTTGCCGTACAATTACCACTATCAGCAGCAGCAGCAGCAACACCACCCGCACCCACTGCGCCAAGACAGCTCGAGCGCGGACGTCGATGCCGATGTCTCGGCCCCGCCAGGTGAGTTCCTAACGTACACGCTCAGCCTCTCGATCCCGTCGATGCCGCCTACGCCGCCGCCGAAGTCGCAGCTGCGGCTGCGGGGGGGAGCGGGCGATGGCGAGGACGAAGTCGGAGCTGATGCCACGGGCCGAGGCACGCGACAGCGAGAGACGTCGGCGTCGCCTGGCCCCGACGCCCGCGCGCAGAGGCCCGCCTCCCGCGTGCCTTCCTTCTTGCTGTATATCGTCGGTGGCGGCGGCGGTGGGGGCGGGGGCGCGGGGCGGCGGCGCGCGCTTGAGGAGCGTGAGCGAGAGCGAGAGCGAGAACGAGAGCGTGAGCGGGGAGGGGAAAGGAATGGTGATGGTGGGGAGGGGGAGAAGGGAGCGCTGGATAACGAGGGCAAGAAGCTCAAGACAAAGAAGCTGAAACGCAACGTTTTGCTTGGTCTGCTGTTTCCGGGGCAGGGGGGGCGGCGGCTGGCGAAGAGGAATGGAGGAAAGAAGGAAGGAAAGGCTGAGGGTAAGGGTGAGAAGGCGTGAGGGTTAGTTGGGTTGTTGCTGTTGCTGTTGCTGTTGCTGGCGGGGTGGTGTGGCTGCTGGGGATTTAGTTTTGTTTTGCTTTGTTCTGTCTGTTCGGGTGCTTGGGTGCATGGGCTGGTGTCTGGTCTGGTTGGTCTGGTTGTTGCGGATGTGGTTGAGGGAGTTTGGGATAACGAACGATGAGGCACGGCACCTAGGCTGGGGGGGGGGCTGAGGCCAACAACGAAGGCATCACGACACGACACGACACGACGACGTAGGCCCCGCACGCGCTGAACCGACACGAAACTAGTGGATGGTATCTGCTTTTTTATTTTTTCGTTTCGCTTTTACTTTTCGGGGGCATGTTCCATACATATCATATCTACACGCTGATCGTCTTGAAGACACTAGTAGCAGAGAGAAAACGTTAGCTAAGCTTCATGCTTCGTGTCATGTCATGTCAGATAGAGAGAGAGAGAAAAAAAAAAAAAAAAAGACTTACCCGAATCCGCTTCCGCCGGTGGCCATAATCGCACCCGGAATCTGCGGGTGCCAGTGCCCTTCCTTGACCTGGTCCATGTAGTGCACGAACAGCAGCTGGGGCGGGACGTCCTGGACGCCAGCCGTGTCCTTGCTCTCCTCGTCGTCGAGCTCGACGGCCAGATCCCAGAGGGTGAGGGTGTTGTCGCCGGCGGCGACCATGACGATGCTGTCGTCGGTGGGGTGCCACTCGACGCTGGTGATCTGCTCCTTGTGGAAGCCGAACGAGGCGACGGGCGACGGCTTGGTGGCCGCGCCGGGCTTCCACTGCCGCAGGTCCCAGACGGCCCACTCGCCGTCGTCGGCGCCCGACGCGAGCAGGTGCGCCGTCTGCCGCGACCAGGACAGCACGTTGACGTCCGTCTTGCTGGCCTGCACCGTGACGGCGGGCTTGCGCGACTTGGAGCGCGTGTCCCAGATGCGCACGGTGCCGTCGTTGCCGGCCGAGGCGAAGACGTTGCGCTCCGTCGGCGACCACTGCAGCTCCTCGACGGTGCCGCGATGCCCGGCATACGGCGTCGTGTCAGTGACGAAGCCGCCGCCCTGCGTGCGCGTCGTCGTGAAGATGTTGCCCGCGCAGTCGCCCGTCAGCAGCTTGCCCTCGGCCACGAGCGGCGACCAGTCGACGGCGTAGCCCTCGACGCCCTTGTGCGCGCGGATGGTGCTCACGGGCTTTGCGTGCGCGGGCGTCAGCGTCGCGCCCGGCGTGTCAAAGGCCGTCAGGTGCGGCGTCACGTCGTGGATGAGCACCTGGCCGTTCTCCATCATGCTGGCCGTCAGCGTCGTCGGCGCCTGCGCCGACGTGACTTGGGGCGCCTGGTGCGCGCGTATGCGGTTCGTCGTGGCGGGCAAGGGGATCGTCTTGGTCTCGAGGATGGGGTCGGCGCTCTCGTCGTCGTCCGACTCGTCGTCCGACTCGTCCTGCTCGCGGTCCATGCGGCTCAGGCTGCTCAGCTTCATCACCATGAGCTGATTCTCCTTGTCGCGCCCGCTCTCGGCCTGCGTGCCCGCCACCGCGTACACCGTCGCCGGGTACGACTTGCGCTCGTCCCCCAGCTGGTCCCGCACTATGTCTAGCGACAGACAGGGCCACGGCGTCTCCAGACTGTGCAGCATTTCGTACGTCGACAGATCGGGCGCCAGCGTCTCGCCGGCCGACAGCTTATGCCGGCCGGGTATGAAGGTGCCCTGATCTACCTCCATTGCATCTACGCGAGCTGTGTCAGTAGTCGCTTTCTATCGCGCGCGCGGCAAAAAAATAAAAAATGGAAAAACGAAAAGAAAAAATAAAATTGGATCACGACGCACCTTCGCGCTCCTCGGCTTCCCGCTCTTCGTCGGGCCTGCCGTCGACGCCGGCCTCGAAGATTTCATCCTCGCTCTCGAATTCGTCCTCGTACTCGTCCTCGAAGTCGCCGGCCTCGTTGGGCAGGTCGGATTGGATGGGGCGTTCGCCGCGCTTGAGGGCGTCGGGCTGGCCGTCGGCAGCAGCGTCGGCGGGGCGCTTGCTCATTGTGGTGGGGGAGGAGGAGGAGGGGGAGGGATGGTGGAACCCAGGTAGCTAGGTAGCTGGTGAACTTTTTTGCTCCGGCGCAGCCTCGATGATGGTCATGGCTGCCGAGGATCATCCAGGTGTGGCTGCTACGGGAGTTGTGGCGGGTGCACTCGGCTTGGCACGCTTGGCTGGCTGACAATGCGAGAGAGAAAGTGTTCGAGGGGGCGGCGGCACTAGAGACTCTACTGGACTGGGGGGCAAGTGAGGCTGCTCAACTCAACTAGCTAGCGCCTGATAGTTTATTTCTCCCTCCTGGTCAGTCACTCGCGCATCCCAGGCCCACTCTCGTCGCAGCAAACCCTCGTCGACCTTGCTGCAGCCTGCACCTCATGACTTATATGTAGCCTGGCCTGCATCATCATCATCGTTGTCGTCGCTCGCCCACTACAATTACTGCTGCCGTGCCCAACCCATCACCCATCACCTATCTCTCTCTCTCTCCGCATCAGGCCTACCTACCCCTCCCCCTTCTTCCTTTATCCCTTCTCCCCGCGCACGCGCCCACTGCCAACTCGACAGCCTTAGTTCGCCCGGCCTGCGTTGGCCTGATCGCTACACGTCGCATCTTACTTCATTTCACTCCGCCCGGCGCACCAAACGCCCACGACCGCCCCCAGCATGGACACCCAAGTAGACAACCCCCCCGACGCGGGCCATGAACCTCAAGACCCACCCGTCAATCCTCCAGCCGAGCAAGCGATCGAGCACCAAAGTGAAGAAAGCTCCACGACCATCACCGCAAACACGGTCCTGCAAATGCCCGACATCTACCCCAACGGCTCCGACCATCCCTTCACTTCCGGCGCCCACTCTCCCGAGCACCACCAGCGCCCCTCAACCTCGTACTCGGACACGGGCTTCTCGTCGCGCCCTTACTCGTCCGACCACAACAACGGCACGCCGCAGAGCTACAACGCCTTTGTGCCCTCGGACACGGACACGCCGCCGCGGGGGGGCTTCAACGGTTACAACAACGGCTACGGCCACCAGAGCCGCCCGCAGTCGCGCCCTTCGTCCGGCCTCGCCTACACCAATCCCGACGGCACCAGATCCTCGGTCTACCAGGACCAGAATTCGCGGGGCTCGGCGCAGATGGCGGACAAGCAGAGCACGAGCGTGGTCATCAAGGTCGGCATGGTGGGCGACGCGCAGATTGGCAAGACGAGCTTGATGGTCAAATACGTCGAGGGCAGCTGGGACGAGGACTACATCCAAACGCTGGGTATGAACAATGATCCCGTCGGAACCCGCGCCGCACAAGAACAGAGGAGGAGAAGCCAGGGGGCTGCTGTTGTTGTTGTCGCGCCGCCGAGAGAGAACTGTCATACTGATGAGGGTCAACAGGCGTCAACTTCATGGAGAAGACGATATCCATTCGCAACACGGAAATCACTTTCAGCATATGGGACCTGGGCGGCCAGCGCGAGTTCGTCAACATGCTGCCGCTCGTGTGCAACGACGCCGTCGCGATCCTCTTCATGTTCGACCTGACGCGCAAGAGCACGCTCAACTCGATCAAGGAATGGTACCGCCAGGGCCGCGGCTTCAACAAGACGGCCATTCCCTTCCTCGTCGGCACCAAATACGACCACTTTGTCAACTTTCCGCGCGAAGAGCAGGAGGAGATTTCAAATCAGGTGTGTAGCGTGGCCCCGCTTCAACCGTCTTCTGAAGCCTTCCACGGCTCTCTTTCCGATTAGCAAGTACTGACGCAATGATTTTAACTTGCTGTAGGCCAAGCGCTTCGCCAAAGCCATGAAAGCTTCGCTCATCTTCAGCAGCACCAGCCACAGCATTAACGTGCAAAAGGTGCGTTTGTTCACAAATCACCAGCTCCCTCTCTCCCTGCTTTCCTCTCAAAAACGCCGCCCCGCCGGCCGCACTTCCCGATCTTGCGATCTCAGGTGGCCCTGACTCGCACACCTACCTCATGCGTAAACGCGTTTCTATTAATAGCAGCCCGATGCTAACGCATTTCCGTCACAGATCTTCAAGATCGTCCTGTCCAAGGCGTTCGACCTGCGCTGCACGATTCCCGAAATCGAAAACGTGGGCGAGCCGCTGCTGCTGTATCAGTCGGTGGGCTGAGAGCTGAGAGGCGGAGCGCTCGAGCGACGTGATGAGTGAGTGGCGGCCAAAATTCCTCCCTCGCCCGCTCGCCGTGGATCCCGAGCCCTCCCGCCGGAGGAGCGCGGCAAGCGGGGCCAATGGCTCTGCTCTCCCTAGCTCTCGCTCTCAGCCCTCTTTTTTCTCCCTTTTTCCTAGTTTTCTCTCACTTGCATGGGGGCCGGTGCGTTCGGTTGACTTAGGGTTTCTCGTTTTATGCGTTGTGTGTGTGCGGGTTTTTTCTTGAGTACTATCGGTGGGATCTGCCCTTTACTTTACCACAAAATCTCTCGCCTCTTAGTTAGGCTGATGAGATGGGAGGAGCCTGGAGTCAGAGAGCTTATGGCAATTTCTTGTCTTTGGTGGGAGGGGCCGGCGGCAAGGCGGCGGCGGCGGCGGCGGAACAAAGAGGGGTGTTACTTGTGTGTGTGCTTTTTTGGTTCTCCATCTCATTTCTTTTCTCTTGCCGATTTTTCTTTAATCCTGGAGTGGAGTGGAATGGTGTGGAATTGTGGCCGCTCGATGCAGAGTTGAGCAGAGCAGAAAAAAAAAAGAAAGCCAGCGAACAGCAACATCAGCATCATCATCATCATCAACAACCCCAAGCGAGAGCGAATTATTTTGGTCCCTTTCCTTTTTCTTTTGCGCGCGTTCTGCTGCCTTCCTCATAGCCAATATCCCCCCCTCCAATATTTCTTCGTTTCCGCGCTACCTATCTATCCCTAAAACACCCCGCTTCCATATACTACCCATGGCATACATCACTCGAACGCACACTCACGCGCACGCGCGCACGCATTGTTTTTGGCGCAGCCGCGCGGAGCCGGAAGCCTCGCGGTCAGAGGGCGCGAAGGGGCGCGCCGGCGCGGGAGAGACGCGGAGGAAAGACGGGAAAAAGGAGAGGGGTAGGGAAAGGGGCAATGAGGCGGAGGCGGAGGCTGAGGTGAGGCGTCGGGAGGCCTATACGCACGCACTCGACGCGGCGCAGGGGTATACAATACACTACGCGGCTCCGCTGCCGCCGCCGCCGCCGCCGATGCCATGGGCTTGCGCTCTGCTGCGCGGCATGGAACCAGAATAGATAAGCAGTGGGGATGGCGGGTGGCGCACCCCTATTTTTTTTTCTAACTCCTGACCCTTTTTTTTTTTTTTTTTTTTCCTCTCGTTATGAGAGCTTTCGTCACACGTCTTTCGTCGTCTGCTTCTGGGCGGCTGCTGCTGTTGTTGCTGTGGATGTTTCAACATGTTGATGTTGGTGTTGATGTTGTTGTTGCGACAACAAAAAACGAACACAGACACATACGCAAACAGAGACACAAACAAACAAATATGTAATTGTAAAGATTAAGTCGAGAAAAAATATGATATAACGTAAGCCAACATAAGGGAATGGAGGGGTAATGGATGATGATGAGTGTGTGATAGGTTGGGTGGAGATGAGAAGAATCTCACCCCGCTGATGTGATGGAGTGTGGTCCCTGGCGGGGCGGGCGGGACGGGACGGCGCGGCACTCAGTGGAGGCACGAGGATCAAGACGATGACAGCAGGCAGAGGATCATGACGGACTACCCTGCAACCTGTCATGCACCGTGCCATGGCTATCACTGGAGCAAGCAAGCGTACGTGGCGGCAGAGGAGGGGCAACAACGAAGAGCAGCGCTCCGGGTAGCGCCGCAGTGCGATAGCCGCGCCGCCAAGCCGCTAGCGGACCCTTATCGCCGCGGCCGCGGAGCCGCAAACCAACTTTTTTGACCCGCCTCCGTAAGGTCTCCGCGACGTTACTACCTAGGTACGCACCATGACTTCGCCTAGCACCACGACAATTCCCGCCAAAGCGGCTGACGCGCGCCGCGCCGCTCCTTCGCTCGACGACCACTCCGCCGACAACCAACATAAACAGCTCACGAGGCGGGCACCGACTTCCGCAGCACCGTCTACGCACGACAATGAGGCCGCCGCCGCCGCCGCGCGCCTACAGGCGGCGCAGCGCACGTATGGGCGGGGCGCAGAGCAGAAGATCCGCACGCGCAACATGAAGGACAAGAAGCTGCGGGCGGCGGTGAAGCGGGAGGAGCAGAAGGCGCGGGACGCGGCGGTGAAGGCGGCGGACGCGGAGATTCTGCTCGAGCAGGGCAGCGGGTACCTGGAGGCGGAGGGGGAGCTGGAGCGCACGTACAAGGTGCGGCAGCGCGAGATCCAGGCGGGCGTGGCGGTCGAGACGGCCAAGAAGGGCTTCGAGCTGCGCCTCGAGGGCATGGGGCCCTACGTCGCGGAGTACACGCGCAATGGGCGCGGCTTGCTGCTCGCGGGCCGCAAGGGGCACGTCGCCACGGTGCGCGACTGGCGCGACGGCACGCCCGGCTGCGAGCTCCAGCTCGGCGAGACGGTGCGCGATGCCAAGTGGCTGCACAACGAGCAGTTCTTTGCCGTGGCGCAGGCGCGCGCCGTCTACATCTACGACGCGCAGGGCGTCGAGATCCACAAGCTGGCCAAGCACGTCGACCCCACCTTTCTCGAGTTCCTGCCCTACCACTTCCTGCTCGCCAGCGTCGGCAATGCCGGATACCTCAAGTGGACGGACACGTCGACGGGCGACATGGTCATGGAGCTTCCCACGCGGCAGGGCGCGCCCACCGCGCTGGCCCAGAACCCGCACAACGCGGTGCTGCACGTCGGGCACCAGAACGGGCAGGTGACGCTGTGGTCGCCCAACAGCAGCGAGGCGCTGGTGAAGGTGCTGGCGCACCGCGGCCCCGTGCGCAGCATCGCCATGGACCGCGAGGGCCGCTACATGGTGACTTCGGGGCAGGACGCGAAGATGGCCGTGTGGGACATCCGCATGTTTCGCCCCGTGCACGACTACTTCCTGCGGCAGCCGGGCGCCTCGGTCGCCATCTCCGACCGCAACCTCACGGCCGTGGGCTGGGGCACGCAGCTCAGCATCTGGAAAGACCTGTTCAGCAAATCGCTGTCCGACCAAGAAATCGCGCAGCAAAAAGTCCAGGCCCCGTACATGGCCTGGGGCGGCGAGGGGCAGCACGTCGCGCGCGCGCGCTGGTGCCCGTACGAGGACGTCCTCGGCGTCGGCCACGACAAGGGCTTCAGCTCGCTCCTGGTCCCCGGCGCCGGCGAGCCCAACTTCGACGCCCTCGTCGCAAACCCCTACGAGACGACCAAGCAGCGCCAAGAAGCCGAGGTGCACTCGCTGCTGCAGAAGCTCAAGCCCGAAATGATATCGCTCGACCCCAACTTCGTGGGTAACATCGACCTGGCGTCGGCGGAGACGCGTAAGCGCGATCGCGATCTGGATGCTAAGCCGGAGGATCCCGTCGAGAAGCTGAAGCAGAAGGGCAGGGGCAAGAATAGTGCGCTCAGGAAGTATTTGCGCAAGCGCGGCCAGAAGAACGTCATTGATGAGAAGAGGCTGCGTGTGCAGCAGGCGTATAAGGAGCAGAATAAGCGCGAGAAGGCGGGGTTGGAGCGCGAGAGGGCGGCGTATGGACCGGCGTTGGCGCGGTTTGCGCGAAAGGGCGCGTAGGGCGGGTTGGGTGTAGGGGGTAGGGGGTGAAGGGAGGATGAGAGGGAAGGAAAAAGAACATCTTCGGTGTTGGGTTCCGGCGGTGTTTGCGGCGTACAGTAGGTAGTGTGCCTGGCTTACTGGTTCATTTTGCAAGAAGAAGAGAGTGAGGGAAAACCGGTCGATTCTTGCTTCTTTCCTATATCATATTCATATTCATATTCATATCACACACATTAGTGGGCGAGGGGATGGGCGGGCTATGTTTGTATGCTGTGTTGCGTAGGCTTGTAAGGGGAGGGGAAGAGCAGATGTATGTGGAAGTGGAAGCAAGAGATGTTTGATGTTCCGTACAGCTGGATGGGTGTGGTGTATTAGGTAATAACGCATTTCTTCACGTGGTGGTTGAAGAAAGAAAGAAAGAAAGAAAGAAAGTCGGTGCTGTTGCTTACTATATACTGTAACCAACGCAACCGCAGTCCGTCGTTCTGTGCGATATATAGTAGCTAGTCCTCGTCCTAGTCCTAGTCCTCACAGCCAGCCATCCAGCCAGCCACGCATTCACCCACCTACCCACCCACCTAAACAACCAAACAAACAAAACCCCACCCTACCTTACCTTACCTCGCCTCTCTTCTCCCCCTATCCCCCTTAATACGAAACCCCGGAAGGTAACTATTTCGTAGTAGTTAGGTAGTTAGGGCGTCTTTAACGTACCTAGGTACGTAGCCATGGGTTTCAGGTTTGTAGATTGTGTCTGGCATGTATGGACAGGGATGAGGTTCGTTGGTGCGGGCTGGTTGGTGTTGGGTTGGGTGTTGGGTTTGAGTGTTGGGTGTTTGTTTTAAATGTTTGTTGGTTTTGTTGTTAAACGGAAGTCAAAACGTATATACTGCTCCGTAGCGGGACGCTTAAGTATTAGCCTAGATAATTTACTACGTCTTAACTATATACTAACTATTGAGTAAAACCAAACCTATAATATCTCGGCTACCGAGTATTCCTTAGGTAGTTATAATAGGCTATTACGCTACGGTTAGGAGGTGCTATATAACTATATAGAAGGAAAAAGATATAAGATTTAATAGTATTTAAGAGAGTATACTGGTGGAAATATAGAGAAGTACTAGAGAATTCTATAAGGATACGGTAATAGATATTCGAAGGGTATAAAGGTACTTATAAAGGTACAGGGATGTAAATTATCTAAAGGTAGAAGGATGTTATAAAGTTTTACAGATATGTTATCATGTAGGATGAGCAATTTTTCCTATGCCTTAAATATTGTCACTGACATAACCTCAATCAAATCCTTTGATGTATCAGAATACTAACATCACAAGTTTCTTAAAACGAAAATGCCGAAGACGGACTTGACGTACAAACAACAATAAACCATATAAAACGCCAGAAAGCTCCAAACTCTACCAAACTCCTCACTCCATTTCTTGAAGGCAGATCAAAGACTTCCCTCCCCATGACAAAACGAAACCACACAAGCCTGAACGTCTCCTGTTCGCCCAGCTCTCCTCGTTCCCACATGTCGATGACCTCTCCATACATGATGCCGTGAACGTAGCATTGACCACAGAATCGGTAGTCGCCGTTCTCTTGTGGTCTGAGTATGCTAGGCATACTTGCTCCGAAGAGAACGCAGACTTTGTCGTTTGGTATCATTACTGTCGGTCCCACCCCGAAGTGCCCTTTCTCCGTGACGAAAAAGCACCGGTGATGCGAATACCCGAGACTGGTTTCAAGGAATCGAAAGCTATCGCCACCTTCAAACTGATGGTTGAATCTGGTTTCCGAGGAAAGTTCAATTCCAGCCTTGTCGAAATATGCTAGGCAATCTGCCATGCGGTCTCGGATATTTAAGGAATGCGTGCCTGTTTTCCCTCTTACTGCACCTCCTACATTGAGTGTCATGCAGAACTTCTCAAAAACATGCTCTTTTTCAGACTCGGTGGACCAGGATACCGGGTACATGTTCTTAAGATCTTCCCACAACTTCTTCAGTAGATTGAGAGTGTTCGTCTTAGTGAGCAGAGGCCCTTCTATATCCCAATAACGTAGTTTTTCAGAATAGAAAATGACAGAGTCAATTAATAGGCCTTCAACTTTTAGAACACGGTCATAGAGGGATAGGTGCTCAGCCATAGATCTGGAAACGCTGTAAAATCTATAATGGAACAAGGAATTCCAGTTAGGTATATCCCATTGGGGAGCCCAAGACGTGCGTTCGGGTGCTTGAATCGAGTCCTCTGTATGAGAAACGATTGATAGAAAATTTAGGGGGTTATCCAGTTCTAGTAATGCTGCAGCAACATTGAAGCAGAAGTCCAAAAACGGTAATGAATAATCGACCACAATGAACTGGGATTTACGAGAGTCGATACAGAACTGTTTGAATGCTGCATGCCCTAACAGTGCATACATTCTGTCTCGGTCGTCGGAACAGTCAGAGTTGCTGGCGGTGTAGAGGATAAATCGGATGTCTTCCTCAGTATCGGATTTGAAGGAAAGGTCCATAATATTTATAACATTGGTAAGATAAAGTTTGTAAGCCCTTCTGATCTTGCTGCATCTCAAGTATATCTGATCACACACAATTATGAGATCTGACCAGCTTATCCAGTGTTCGCCACAGAACACTAGAGCTTCAGAAGCAAGGCCAATCTCTTGGAGGATCCAGACGCGTGTAAACCATGGACAACAAAGAAGCTCTCCAAAAGCCTCCCACTGTGATTGTGCGACACATGCGACGTGTGCTTCGAGGTCAGGCGGTTCGACATTAGGAGAAGGATATCTAAGAGCATCGAATATGGGATACAGTGACCTCACAAGTTCAAAGGCAGCACCTGAATCGAAGTCTGTGCCCAGGCCAAGCCATACGAGGACCCTTTGGGCGCGTTCAAATATAGGCCCCATAATTTGAACTTGATGTCCACGCTCTTTCTTGTCGCCTTGGTTGATACATATAGCGTCTGCCCAAAGGGTTCGGCTAGCATTTTCATGCCTCAGTCTTCGGAGTGCATCGCGCAGGTGGATTGCGACTATAGTGTGCTTTCCATGGCAGAGGACGCTGATTTTATCTGCTGGCTCTCCCCAGGTGTAGGATATTGCTTCATAAGGTGGAGCATTGTCGACGTCTTCGATCGAAAGCTCGCATCGTATGGGGTCTTCGCCTTTGCCAGGTAATAGCTTGAGAAGTCGAAAACTCTTGCGTTCATCGGGAAGACATTTGTAGTGGTATTTCCACGAGGATCGGACCTTGGGTTTCATTGGTGCGCTGCTTCTTGTTTCCAAGTTTCCTAAACTGACTTCTCTACAATAGTCTTGTTGCTTGGCGGTGTTTCTTGGCGGTTACTATTGATCGATTTGATAGGTTGCGAATATTGCTGAAAACTCTGGCCCTTCCCCAGGCTAATTGGAATTCGACAAGGTCGTCCTCCCGTGGTGTGCCTTATCCGGGGAAGGCAACCGTCTTAAACTGATAGGGTGATGTCCCGAGTAATATCTCACAAGAGTGGAGATACCAGAAAAGTAAAGAATCGAAGATTGACCAAGGAAGTGAACAAGGAAGTAGACGAGAGGATCCCAGATCCCCAGAACACCGGGGAGGCGGGGCTTCAAATACTAAAACACCAGTAAGCAGCATTCTGACCTGTAATCCGATGCCATGCATGGCTTCAACGCCACAATATCCTTGTGATCAGCTGGACGACAAGGGTCAGCAACTCTGAACCAATACCGAATGTAGCAACCTAGCAAAAGTGGAAGGGCCGGATACACAAGGCTGAAGAAAAAGGTTATGTAGACAAGACTGATAAAGCCTAGGGAAAAGCGGGGCAGCGAAAGAAGGCGGTAGTAGTGGGGAGGTGCAAGTGTCCGATGCAGAAGCCGCAACCAACCAACCCCACCACCAAGAGACACTGCCACCAATTAGCCCACACGCACCACGACCGCCCACAATCCCTCCCATGTAATAAGTACATACCCCAAGCCCATACTAGGCACCCACTCATCCCACATCAAACACATCCACCCGCCAGCTCAAGACCTCAGAGCAATAGCATAACATAGCATAGCACAGTAACTCTGCATTGAATGAGCTACTCCCCAGTCATGCTATCCCATCCCACTCGATTCGATGCGCAACCGCCCGACCTAAGACACCAGAATATGCTGCCTCTGGATCCTCCAGCCTAGCAATTACTTCGTCTCGTCTCGTCCCGCCATAAGCCGCCCCTCGTGTGCTATTGCCGCCGCCGCCGCCGTCCCTGCGAAGAGTCCTGCTTAGCCGCTCTCGCGCCCTTCTGCGCAAACCATAGTGTGCATCTCTTATGGGTATAGCAGCCGTGTCCCTCGTAACGTGCTCAATAGAAGTCTTCTACCGGCACTTGAACCCCCATTCGCTTCACTTCACTTCACTTCAGCCCTGTCCATGCCTGGCGCGCAACAACCATCTCAATAGTCTTCCATGTCCTCGTCGCCGCCCTCCTTCTTGCCTCTACCCTTGTCCGTCCTGACCCACTCGACGAACTCGTCGATGACGCCGGGCCACGCGCCGTCTTCACTCCAGAAATTCAGGCTCTCGTCCTTCAGGCTTTGCTCCGCGAAGTTGAACAGCTGGTCCCACATGTCCTTGTTGACGGTGCGCTTCCACTTGCTCTCGAGGAACTCGATCCACCAGTCCAACCAGGGCGTGCTGCCGCTGGCCCAGTTCAGGCCCGCGGGAGAGAAGAGAAGACGCCAATACTCGATGGCTTGGTCAAGTGGGATGGCCTTCTGGCCTTGTGGCCGACCGAGAATGAACGTGTGCTTGTAGACCTTCTTCATGGGGGCGCGAGACGAGGGATCGGAAAGAGCAGGGCGCAGTTGGGCGATGGCGGCCTTTTGCTTATCGATGGTGTCGACTCTGTGAGGTGAGGGTCAGAATACAGCTCGTACGGCATCCGAGGCGCAGAGAAGCAAAGGAACCCTTCAATGGTAGAGCTTACCCTCTCGCAGTCCATCCCTCGACAAATCCCTTCCTTGTCATCTCACCCATGGTCGGGCTCTGCACCACCTCAAGCACGGCGAACGACGTGATGTCGTCAAGCGGAACGTCGAGCGCCTCGAGGTACTGCATGGTGCCTTCTATGCCGATTGTGTCCTTCTCAGCCGGGTTGTCGAGGTATTTATCGAAGAGCTTGTTGAGGTTTGCCTCTAGCGGTTTCGTGGGCGCTGCGCTAGCGGCAGAGTTGAAGTACCTGTCGACGACGCGTCTCTTTTTAGCTTTGACGGGCATGCAGTCTTCAGCTTTGCGACGAGGCATGGTGGGCAGGGAAGGAGGGGTTGTGGGGTGGTGGTTTGGGGTTGGAGAAGAAGCAGTGGTGTTGTCGTGGGCGGCATCTTTTGGCGTGATTCGACAGATCAAGAAGGCACCACCTTGGCCACTGCCTCTCAAGGACTACCATGTGAAAAGTGCCTTAATATGTTAAAGGCGCTGAGCCTCACCGCCTAGGCATTTCTCCAGCCGTATGGTCCATGTCTACGGCTACGGGCATAGTCGCATCGGAGGAGTGGGGCAGAGGCGAGGGGCTTCACGGCGGGAAATGCTGTACATACCCGTTGATCGCTTGTTCGGCATTCCAGTTGGCCGACTTGAGAATCTGCTCAGGGTGTCAGCGACGGCAACCAGCTATACGGGACGGACGCGGCTCACTCACCCTCGCAGCGGTCGTCCGGTCACAGTTGGTGAAGTTGACGACTTGCTGGATGGCGGACTTTTGGGATTGGGTGTAGGCGGGCGGCATTGTGAGGCGTGCGCGTGGGGAGCGACGGGATGCTGAATACAGAAAGCGAAGGAAAAGAAGTCTTCGTTACTCGTCTAATCTGGCGCGTCAGACTCTCATCGACCAGGTGAGAGATGGCGGCAGCGGTGACGCACGAACGCTGCCAAGCATGACGATAAGATAGCCGAATCGCATGGCTTGCTGTTGTCTTACCCGGACACGTCGTTCCTTCTCCACTGATGATAAAGGGGCACGAGGGGACACGTGGGAATCGGTTCATCTAGGTAGGCAACGTGGATAGCATCAAGTACACACACACGACGGAGCATAACCCTGGTGGTCTCTTAGGCGCCATAACTTCTCTCGCGACCAATCATATATCAATGGAGTAAGTAAGATCTCTTATGACACTTGACAGATCTTAGACATACATGAGTTACGTTACGTCAAATGTTTGGATTGGGAGCAAATACTTACTCTTCATACGTATAGACTATTTCCATGTTTTGCTGGTCTTTCGCCATAGCTCGTTAAGTAATATCAAATAATTTACACAGCACTAACAGTAACAACTTTACCAGCACTCACTTTCAACAGGACGAGGCAAATGAGGTTGATACAACCCATCTTCCGGAAACACATCTGGAAGTTACCACGGAAAGATTGGAATGGATTTCTCTTGGGGGAAACGCCGTAATCACAAGACATGTACGGAGTCGATAGACAAAGGCGTTCAAAA